AGCCCATGACTTGGTCGTCCTGTGGAAGAAAACCAGACCTGTGGCAGTAAGTGTTTGTTCTGCCCCTTTCTTTTGGCAAGTCCTGTGAAACACAGATGCATGTGTTCATGGTGAGAGGTGATAACGGGGACTGATCACCCTTATTTAAGAGTAAGGAGGAGGTCCCCGTCCACTTTCTACTTTCCTAGTTTTAATACTGATTATTGTTCTCTAGGATAAAAAGGAACTACTTTAATTATTTATTAAACCATTTTGATTTTGATTTCAGTACATGTTCATTATCCCAAATTTTCCTTCACGCTTGTTATTTGTTTTAAGGGTTTTACAAAAAAAACATTGTTTTATTTGTATTGATATTCAGTCTTTCCTCCTTTTAGTCTTAACAGCAACATTAAGCTTAGATGATTGAAAATTCTCACCCATAGAGACATTTTTACCCACTCATAACTGTTATTCTTTAAGGGCAAAACCCTTCAGACCTCATTCTGATAATACATTAGGCTTCACTGAGAGCTTTTCATAAGTATTTGGGGATCTGGCTCTCAGCTATTTGCCTGTTACAGTTTTTGCCTCCAAAGGTCAAGTGTCTCTGTCCTGGATGCTTTGTGTCCAATACACTGCTCAATGATGGTTGTTCTGTTGTACCTTTACTCCTGAATAGTCTCTGATGTTTTGTTACTTAGGAGAGTAGATCTATGTTTATTTGACAGATGTACCTATAACTAATGTGTTACTTAGTGCACACTCCAGATGTTTTTGCATGTATTGTAACTTATCTTTTGACCTGAGGTTATTGCTTTGTATTGTTAGTAAGACCTATGAGGCAAGGTGTTGTGCCTCTACGCTAATTAAACTTTCTTTTATTTCCTGAGTTTCAAGGGTCCTTACTGGAATTTGTTTGTTTTTTTAAACCCTGATCATGAATAATTAAATCTCCTGCTTTTGATTTAGCAAGTCTTTTAGAAAAGCAAACCATTAAGGGCAAAAAATGAGGGAAAATTCTGGGTTTGTACTGGGAAGGAATGGTTTGAATTACTGCATTTTATTATTTTTTTACACTCATGATGCATTGCAGCTGTTGTGGGCATCACTGGGAATAACTGACATTGGGTTTGGACTTCTCTCTAATTATCCCTTGCCTTCTCTTGGCTGGTGTCCTGCCCTGGATTTAAAGAAGTCATAAAGCCTTATTTTGTACCCAGGAAAAGACAGAAAACATAGTAGGTTTGTGAGTATGTCCTGTCCCTCCTCTTGTGATAGGAAAACAAGTCACATAGAGATAAATGACTTGCAAATTGAAGAAAAATAGTTAACAGAATTTGAGACCAAAAAACCAGGTCTCCAGCTTGTGTTATATACTTTAATCACTGTCCTGTGTTGAAATCACTAATTTCATTAAGACAGAAAGATTCCTGGTACATTTGTTTCTAGAATTAACATATTTTGAGCAAGTAAACAGCAGTGGCCCATCAGTTCTGTGTAAGAAGGAGATAAAACAAGATATTAAAATCAATATCTATTCAGTACTCTGTGACCTTGCAGTCACATTTTCTCAGTTTTGCCTATATTTGTTGGTGTTTCACATAAAAACTGAAATTAACTGAGAGGAACTTACCCTTAAGGTTGTCAGATATTGTCAGTACAATAAAAAAAATACTTCCCAAGAAGCTCTGTTTAAAAGTACTGCAGGGTTTTTAATTTCAAGTTGTTTTCCCAGCCATGTTTTCCAAACCATTTTATTTTCATTATGCCAACGAGTTGGCTGATTTTACATCTTTATTCTAAGACCATCATTGTTCTGGTTCCCTGTCTGCTGGAGACAGCCCTGTATGTGTTGGTAAATGCAGTAGTGGCAGAAGTAATTTCAAATTTGTTTTCCTAGAGGTAGAAACTCCACTGTGTAACTCCCTTCAAGTCAGGCACCACCCTGCTGCACTAATGCTCATGGTCTGCAAATCCCCAGATGGGTCAGAAACACTGACATAATTATTACTGTTTAATTACTGTTGTGTTCTTCCCCACTACATTTCCTAGAAGCTCTGCATTTATACAAATTGGTGACAACATGTAAATCATGTCTAGATTCTTGATGTATGTGCTTCATGTGGACCAAAAGTAGTAACTTGTCTGGCCAGAAAAGACACAAAATCTTATTAAGACTTTCTATTCTGCTTGAAATCCAAATATTTTTATTCCCTTTTATTTGCTGTTAAAATTTCATCTCCAATGGGAAAGCCATCTGGAAAAGAGCACCTTTTTCCTCCTCTAACCATTCCTGCTGGAATTTCCGGGACAAAGAAGCACTGGATCAACAGGATGGAAATGTGTCCAGAGTTCAAGATACCTGAATGTTTGTCAGCTGTGGTTCTCCAGTCATTACTGTTTTGAACTCCCTAACAATCACCGTCTCAGAACTGATTCATTTGTCTTTGTAAAATATGGTAAAAAAAAAAATTTAAAATTTAAAAAAAATGGTGACCACTTTTTTGATTTTGGGCATTCCTGCTTGTTCAAAGGGTCAGCTCCATTTCTAGGAAAACCTTTTCTCCTCCCTTTAGCCAGAAAACACACTGCTAATTATAGAGAACCTTTCCTACACTGTGTGGTGGATGTTCTGTGAAGAGTGAGTTCAATAATTTAAAATAACTGGGGTTATTTTTAAAACCACAGTTGGATCTTGTTGGGCTCTTTATTTAGTAAATGTGTATTAGCACCTTAATGTGCCTTCCTTTGGAGTAATATTAAGTGTAGGACAACTGTTCTGTGCCTCCTTGTCCACTTGGTCATGGTCAATAGGTGCCCATGCTTAGCACAAAGTACCTGATTTAACTCCAACTTCTCTGGGATGGAGGGCTTGGATGCCACCTCAAAATGGAATGTTTTCCCAGTTTTGAGATCTCAGTGGCTGCACATTCTCTATGTAAGAGGATATTGAACACCCACAGCCATGAGGACACCCCAGTAAGAGGTCTGCTAAACACTTGGTAAACAATTATATTTCTTGCCAAGACAGTGTGCTTCACTGCAGTATTCTGAATATAAGAATTAAAGACCCATCCAACTTGAAAACCTGGGATTGCCATTGCTTTGGGGGAACAATCCAACTACTGCTTTATAAGGACACCAGTGGCTCTTTGCAGCTGAACTATAGCAGAGCTCTGACTCTAACAGCAGGAGAGATAGTGATCAGTGTCCTTGCAGGCTCCTCAGAACGAACACAGCACCTTGTAATTCCAAATTCAATACCCAGACTTTGTAAGAAAAACTGGGCTTATTGCTGTCCTCACTCCTTTCATTACTAATGAATTATGTCCCATATATGGAAACTTCACTTCAAATAAATTTTCTTTGAAATTAATGTGTGAATCGGAAAGGCCTTCCCAGAAAACATAATTACCTATGTCTGGTCTGTACAGGTAACTGGTCAGCAGCTCCCATGACAAACTCCAATAAGACACAAATTAGTGCTGAATTCCAGTTGACCTCCCTGTGCAGGGACTGGTGTCATTAATATCAATTGCACTTGAATTAACACTCAACTACTGCTGCCTCCCCAGCACAAACAATGAAACCATGGCAGCATTTTAATTGTTAGATAATTATGTTAGAGAGACATGAAAATGGGGCATTATTCATGGAGGGTTCTTAGCATCCCAACTGTTTTGGTACCTGAGTTCCTCACAAAATAGATCACAGAACAGTAGTAAAGCTGAATTATTTTTGAAGTATTAATGATATATTCTCTAGAAATCATTAGGGAACTTGCTAACAGTGTTTTCCAGGTATTTGTGGTGTTACTTCACAGTCTGGGGTTTGTTTGCATCTGCTGTTCTTCCAGGCTCTGAGCTGGCAAATACTTTAAACCTCTGCCTAAGCCAGCAAGGCACTCCATGGCATCCGCTGCTTTGAGGGGAAAGTCTTTGTCTGTTCAAGAGCTTTACAAAGAAGGCTGCCTTTAGTAAAAAATTTAAAATTAGGTATGTGCTGAGCTGGTGTGCAGGGGCTGTTTGCTGACACAGAAAGCTGTTTTCTGTTTCCTTTCCCAGTTCCTGCACAGGGACAGATTTGTTGTGCTCCTGTTTCTTTACTCGTGTTACCTCAGGAGATCCTCAGCGGATTTTTTTTTTCCTCTCTCAATATCAAGAATGTAGTGTTAGGTTGATAAAAAACAGGTGTGATGAAGAGGGCGTGTTTCCAGATGCACTGATCTGGACTGTTTCATTTCTAATTACAGTGGGAGTGCATGGCTCTCATTAATCCAAACAAGCCATGACATTCTGGGGGAGAGATGTCTATGTTTTTTAAAGTTTCAAAGATCTGAGACGTGGGTTTAGGAAATTGCTGTGTATAAGTCAAAGAATATTAAATGTACAAAGGAAAATGGATTTTGAAATGTTGGATTTTTAAAAGCTGCACAGTGCTGGCCTCTGTGTTCCTCTGTCAGCCTTGGTACATGTTCAGCTTTGGTTAGAGCAGAGCTAGGTGAATGACATTGATTATTCTTTCATACTTTCCAAACCATTTTGTGTTATTTCTTACAGTACTTTACTGCTATGTAGCTATAATTCTAAATGCAATAGAGTAATAAAATAATAGTAATTCTTAATGGGAGGCTTTAGATACCCTCCTTTTACATTTGATGGGCCCCTCTGCCTTACAAATAGTTGAGAATTAATGTTGTAAGTTAAGAAATAAAGGGGGAAAAACAGTCAAAATCACCCACTGTGATCTTAGCTCCTTCAGTGTATGGTTCCCTGCTCTGGCCTGTTCCCACATGGGATTCAAGCAGCTGGAATTTTCCTGCTCTGGATGTTTCTCAGGAGATGTTCAGGCAGGCAGGACTTGACCTTTCTCTTTCAGCTGTTCTTAAGTTGGAGTGTGGGGGTGGAGCAGCATCTTTTGCTGTTTCCCGCCTGCCTGACCATTTGCTGACATGAACACGTTCCACCTGAGAAGCATTTGAAGGGTGATATTGCTGTCACCCCACTGCTGCTACATCCTCCTTGTGTCCTCAAGGGCACCCCTGTGCCAGCAAATGCCACTAACCCAGCAAACCAGGATTGGCCCCTGCAGCAATTATTTTTGTTTCCCACACCTCCTCTTCCCCGTCTCGTATTACCTGAGCTCCTCTCAGGGCACCAACTTGCTGTTCCTTTTGCGCTCTGGGCTCGCTGCAGGCAGCAGGACGTCCCTACCTCCAGCTTCAAGGTCAGTTTAACTACATATGTATTGGTTTTGTAGCCTCAAAACATAGCACTTCAAGTACAAGGGTTATTAAATATGGATTCAAAGTGCCACAGGATGTGGTGTTAATTTGGCTATAATTTATTGACTTGTGTAACCACTTGGTGCAGGGAAATATTTGTCAGCCCCGCACTGTACAGCTGGTTCAAGTTATGGAGTCAGAGGGTTGTTAAGGCTGGAAAAGACCTCTAAGACCATCAAGTCCATCTGTTAATGCTGACCCTTAAGTAACAATTTTAGTAAGGGAAAAATAGGATGTGTTATAAGTTCAGAGTAAACATCTCCAATTACGTGAGCTTTTTGTGATTTTGATTGTAGCTCTCTGCACTGCAAAGATGAGAGGTTTATACTGCAAAGTAGCATCAGATGGGCTCAGAAGGGTGAGCAGTACCTGTACCTTTGGCAGGGCTTTGGCAGGAGAATTTGGGCTGCTGGGTCTCACCAGGTGGGATCTGACCAGCCAGATCTTCTGCTGACAGAAATCAAAAATCATATTGTTACCAAGGGGTCATTGTCTGATCTATGAAGAGTTGCAGCTTTTACCATGTCTTCTCTATTCATATGAATCTAGTCACAGATACACAGCTTGGAATTTTTTTTTCTTAATTAATATGTTTTTATAACCATTCACTGACCTCTGGCATTGCAAGGAGAAAGAAACTGAAATGTAGTTGATTTTTTCGGTAGAGGTACTCCATGCTGTGATAAGGCACAGTCAAAAGTATGTCTGCACTTGGAGCATTGTTTCTGCACTTTTGGAGGCTGTATCTGAAACCCAGATGAGTCAGAAAAGTTTGAGTGAAACTACGAAAAAAATCACCAATATTGCTTTATGAGATCTGATGTTTTAATTTGCATCTTATTCTCTGAACCTGTAAGGTGACACAGCAAGCCAAGAGCAATGTAAACTGATTTCTGGGCATCTAAAAATGGTCTGTCATGCATGTAGTGACTCATGACATTTATTGCAGATGTTTCTAAGGTGCCAGAACCTTTCATGGGCGGGCGGAGAAAACTTTCCAATGGCACCTGTAGGCTTCAGTTGAGCTAAGGATGGCTTAGAGGAATTACTTCTCAAATATAAAAGGCCAGCCTCCTTCTCCCTCCAGCACATAGAAGTCCAGCTCCCTGCAGTGATACCTTTGGCTAAACAGCTTAGTGGCTTGAGACATGCATTTACATCATCTGTGGCGCTGAGCCTGTGTGAACTTTAGCTGTGACCGCCATTCCTCCAAAATGTCACTCAGGATCACATGGTGTGGCAATTAATACCACTTTGGACATGGCTCAAATATTTAATCTAGTTCTATTTCTAGAAATGTCACTGTAACCCTCTGTACCTTCCTCCCTTCTGGGTTAAAAGCACATGTGATGCTAAGTGTGAAATTTGGGGTAACCAATACCTGTGCTAAAATACATCCAGAGAGAAAGACAGCTTCCTCGTTAAAAGAAGTTCAAGAAAATTAAGAACTAATGGCAAGAGCTTTTTTTTTTTCTTTCTTAAATATTAGAAGTAGTTGTGAAGTTGGCGAGTTCATGGGGTTTGAGCTGGGGTTACCCCTCTACCTTAAGGGGTACCTGCAATCCTTTGGGCTGTTCATCAGCCAGCGCCAGATTTGCAGTAATGACTTCTTTTAAACCTTGCTGATGGCTTTTGTCTCCACTTTTAGTGCAAGGTGGCTGATGCACATATTAAAGTACAGTTTTAAACCGAAAATACACTCCTGGGAGCAGGGAGATAAAGGCTGTGACCTCTGTGACCTTTTGGACGCATTTTGCTGATTCAGTGGCCATAACTCACCAGGCATATGGGAATATTTCCTTGGAAAAGCCAATGCTGATTTGACTCTGAGTTTGTTGACCCTTCATTGTGCTGATGAGGTGAGAATGAGGAATGTGGAATGAGAAAACCTTGGTTTTGCACGCACTGAATGCCACATGCTGCAGTAGCTGTTTCTTTTTGTACAGAGTTAACCAAAACTGTGCCCTATAGGGGGGAACCTGGTGCATGGAGGACACACAGCAACTGTTTATGGGACAATTGCTCTGTATTTCTCCTCTCCTGTACAACAGTATTTTTGCTTTCTTCAAGTGATATCACGAGTACAAATGACCTTGGAAGTGAAAGTTTAAAGGACTTTCTGCCAGTGACAAAATCCAGTCCCAGAGGTACTGAGCTGTGCTCCATGTCCTGCTCTTGGGCCAGAGGCATCTGTAATCCTGGGAGTGCACAAAAGGCATCCAAATGAGTAATTATGCGGCAAGTATTCAAAGCATGAGCAGACTGAGATAACAAGGGGAAAACGTGCAAGGCAAGTCGTCCAAACACTTTAATAAATAAAAATAAAGATGTTACGCTCAAATACCTGGAGCCTTCAGAACGCCTTGCAGTATACTTGAATAATAAGAAAAAAAACCCCAAACCATCCATACATTTACCTGTAGAAAATATGCCTGATGCTGGATATGAGCCAAGACATCTGACCTTCCACCAATGAAAGGGTGCCCAGCTATGAGCACTGTGGAGGCTGTGCTACCTGCAAAGGAGAGGGACACAGACAGTGCAGGTGCTGGGTGACAGCAGAGCAGCTCAGCCCTGACCTGCGCTGAAACAGCTCAGTTTAGATCACATCTCTGAATGTGCCAAAACCCCTATTCATTAAATTATTAATAACTCTTAATGGGCCTATCCATCACATTTTGGAAAAATGGTTTTATTACTACAGATTATTATATACTACTATATATTATATCATTTAACATTTTATTATATATTATAGCTATTATTTGAGTGACACATGATTGAGGTCTTGCTATGAATCCTAAGAATCTTGTTAAAATCTATTAAAGAATTAAAATCATTAAAGCTTATACCGCAAAAAAGGTGTTGTGTCTAATCCCATAGAAATTAGACCTCATTTGGACAAACTGAGAACTAAAAATCAGTGCAGGTTTAGTTCACAGAACTAAAAATTAGTGCATGTTTAAATGCAGCTAATTCTGTCTAAAAGAAAGTCCAAATTCTCATGAAGCTTGTGGTAGACAGAAAGAACTTGAAATTTCTGGAAGGTTGATGCAATTAATGCGCCACTTAGCACAGATAAAAATTAAGTAGAAAACTATCAATGATAATTGGGAGCCCTTTAAGAATGTTTTATTGGTACCTTCAGAATCCCACAGCAGAGGAGAAAACTTCTTGGCTTATGGGGAAGCATTCCAGTTTAAAGAGAAAATGAAAGTACTAATAAAAAAAAATAAAAATTGATGGGACTGATGCAGGCTTAAATTAACCAGGTTCCCACTGTTGCAGACAACTCTCATCACAGAATCTTACTTGGAAGTGTATTTATGTCCTGACTGGAAATAATTCCCTACTGAGTGATGACTCCCCAGAAATCAGGGGACTGTGACACCCCAAGTGACCATGACCTGTGGTCCCCAGGGCTAGTGTGGTCTCCAAATGCTTGAGCTGTTTAATGGAGACATGCTCTGCTGCTCCCATGCTGGGTCCTGGTATGCTACTGGTTTGAAAGGACAGTTCTGGTTTTGTGAGGATGTTGAGGATAAAACACAGTGGGAAGAGTTCAGGGCAGAGCCAAAGCGCAATTAGTAAATACGAAACTGATGTAGAGACACGAATTATTTTTACCTGGGGTTGATTAATCCTCAGAACTCCTATATCTCCTCCAGACCGTGCTCTCTCTAGATTGTTTTGAACACAGATACTTTCCTAAGGCAGGTGTTCTCCTTCCAGCGCACCTGGTCAGATCAGGAAAGCACTAGATTCCTTTCCAAGGGTTAAAACTGATACCCCCCAAAATTATTCTGATCTTGAGACAATATTCTTTCCCCTTTCCAGCTGCGTCATGGCAGCACTACAGACACCCATGAGAAAATGAGTTTTCTATCATGAGCAGACGGGAAGACACTCGGCAAAAAGAAAAATGTGCACTTTCATTTCTTAGGCTGTGCAGAGGTTAAATTTCCCTAGTGAAAGTGAAATCCTTGCAGTGGGGCCTTAAAGATGGTCTGTGGTGAAACCTGAATTACAGCAGGGTATTTCTGGTAAAGTGCTCCTAGAAAAAACATACTCCTTTAATCAGAGGTACTGATGGTGCAAACCTATTGTAAGGGCAAGTTGACAATTTCTGTGCAGGAAAAACCAGCTGAATCTGTTAATGATTTGAGGTCAGATTTGAAAAAGAGCTTTGATGAGGATTTTCTCTTACTTTGAAACCATTTCATTCAGACTCTTTTAAAACGAAACTTTTAAAATGCTTGTTTTGAAGCAATGCATTACTCAGAAATCATGATATTTTGTGAAGAGAAAAAAATTTGAAAAAAACCCCAATGCTTTCCTATCAAGTAAAGTTTATTATTAATGTTGTACCCCCATTATGTAAAAACTGTTTGCTGAACTTAACTACCTGTGCAAGGCACAGCAATTTGTGCTGCAGGACTATATACATTTATATTCAGGACTAGAGCCCACCCTTGTGGCAAGAGGTGTTTATTGAATTAGGAGTCACATCACTTTGGTAAAAAGGATTACAGTCATCTGTCCACAGCACTCAAGATGATGTTTTTCTTCTCATTAGGAATTCTAACTTTCCTGGATCCTTTGCATTTGACAGTCATAAATGATGGCAATGCCATGCTCCAGTCAGAAGATTCTACCTTCAGTTGCAGGAAGGGACATGTAGTTAGGCACTACTTCTTTTAAAAAGAAGGGGGAAAAGCTTGTCTTATTCTGACTTATTTCTTTTAGGTAGACAACCTGCACGGTCTGTGGCATCTCTAGTGTTGGAGGCTTTTAAGAGCTGTCAGAGAACTGTCTGTCAGGTAAAGCAGAACCTGCCCCAGGGTAAGGGAAACCTTTTGTGTGGTCCAGCAATGCCAGACTGTCCTAGGGAACAAGGCATGCAGCCACAGTGCAAGATAACAACAAGAAAAATACTTGTGATAAGGGACATTGTTTAAACGGACAATAAAGCTGAGAGGGTTTGCTTTAGGGGTTAAAGCCCAGCAATGCACACCCAGTCAAAGACAGGCATAAACCAGGGTGAGGAGGGGGTTCTCTTATCATTCAGCAGCAGCAATGTCCCTTAAAGTGACACAGGATTCAGAAGCCCCAAAGAAACCCAAGCTGGTGGAGATGCTGATGAGTGCCTGGGGTCGTTAAAGTCATAATATCATCATCTGCAATGGAATTTTTATATGGCTTCTAGTTTTCAGGACAGGAATTTGACTGGCAGCCAGTTCCTTGTTAAAAAGATGCACCAGTGAAACAGGGCTGTAAATACACAGGGCTGCTGTGAAAATATACGTGATGTTTCTCAGACACTTGGGTATAACAACAATAGTTCTGTGCAGATTAGTCACAAGGAAATATTTCCAGAGTGTAAGACAGGGATGCTGTACCGTGAAAAGGCACAAGAACCACCTGCTAAACACACAGAAAAGAAATAATCAGAAAATCTCCATCAGAACCCCCTTATTTGACTTTTATTTACAGTCAAACATTTGAATCTGAAAAATCGACCCGAAAAACTGCTCAGAGACTTTTCTTATCTTTAAGCAGCAAGGTATTTGTTTATTCAATGTTGGGAGCAAGCCAGCTCACGCTAGACCAACTTGCTCGACTTGCAAGTGCAAAACTAAGCCATTTTATACATTTTAGATACATGGTTACATCATTTATTATACATATTAATAAGTGGGCTAGTGTAGGGAACATGTCCCGAGGTGCAACAGGTAGGCACCGAAGCTAGGGGACATGCGCAGAGCCAGACCCTCCTATTGGTTAAGAGTCACGTGGGATCAAGGTATAAAAAGGCGTGCGCTCTTTAAATAAACCTCTTTGTTTACCACCTCACAGAGAGCGTGCCATGATTTCTTTATTATATAAAGGCAGTGCCACGTGCACGTTACAGGCTAGTCTCTGGGCGGAGTCTTTCCAGACATGCGCAGTCTTCTACTGTGGGGGTCTTCTCCTCCAGCCTTCATCCCTCTGGTAGTCGCCATGGACGTCTTCCTCAATTTGACTTCTTCAATTAGGTGACCTGAATTCTTCAAGCTTGCAAAATCCTGGCTCTGGGCCTTCTAGATCTTATTCAAACATCTAGTTTACCTAATTTATTACTGTGTGTGTACTACTCCTATTCTTTCTATAATAAGGCCTTTGGTCCAGTGAGCTGAACAGAACATGATATTAACCAGTGCTCCTAAAATGTTCTTCTAGCAAAACAGGTATTGAGATTTCTTAGCAGGCCAAGATATCTCAGTTAACTCTTTAGGCCTGGCTCCTGTTTCACATTCTCCCACTACATTTTGAGAGGGAGAAATCCTGTTGCAGTCATGAAAGTCTGTCCTGCAGCTCAACCAAAATGAATTAATAGATTTAGGGAAATTCTTTCAGTGAAAAAAATACTGAATACTAAAATTTCTGTCAATTTCACTCAGCACCTTTCTCTGGAAGTAAAGTTAAATTAACTGTATATTGTGTTTCAAAGGCATGAAGGAGAGAGAATGAAAAAATTCAGATATAACATTGCTTAAAAACAATAGAGGACATGAAACAAATTACTCCAAACTTAGAATACATCCATGTTTCTCATCTGACATATGTGACTGATGGAGAAGGTGGTATTGCTTTGCAATAGAAAAACCAGCAAGAAGAGAAGATTTTTTTACCAGATGAGAAGATAAAGATGCAACATTGCATTTGTCTTTAGATACTAGTGGGAAAGATGAAGAAGTAAAGGGTTTGGGTATAACTAACCCAGATCTACATGAAAAGTATTGGAAATTAGAACTCTTATTTTACTGGAAATAAAACCAAATGCTTTGAAGTGTTTATTATTACCTCCAAAATTACATTGAAGAGATTGCATGAAGAATCATATTTTAAAAAACTTTTGGAAAAACAACTGAAACAGCATATTCTGGGGGAAAGGTTGTGTTTACTTGTAAATCTTCCATGCCCACTTCCCAAAGATGATTTACCAGAGTCCAGTTTTAAGAATAAGCTTCTGTCAATTATACAAATTTTTATTGTAAATTTAGATTTGTAGAATCGTGGAATTTGTGCCCTTTATTTAGAATGGAGTTACATCTTCCTAAGGAACTCACAATCGCCAGCAAGAGTAGTTAAATTCTGAGTCTTGGAGGAAAAAATGTGCACAGAACATGCCACTTTCTTTGCTAGGCTTAGAGACCTCCTGTACTCCAGACATAACCCCAGTAGAATTAAATAGGGAAAATACACCTGTGAATATGAGCAATTTTTATGAACACTCTGGATAAGCGCAAACCAATATTAAAAAACAAATTTCTCCTCTTGCAGGACTGTGGTGTGAGGTGAGGGTTCACTTGTTGAGGGCATTGTGCAGGGTCTGATGGGCTGACTTGGGGCTGCCTTCTCTTGCAGAGAGGAATGGCTGGCACCTTCTGCCGTCTGCTGGCCGGCCGTGCCTCCACCGCACTGTTTGCAGCCGCGGGCACAGGGGTGCTGACCACGGGCTACCTCCTAAACCAGCAGAATGTGAAGGCTGCTGTGCAAGAGAAGAGGAAGCTCTTCCCTCCGAGGTGAGTACGGGGAGACAGGCAGGGAGCTGGGCACAGTGCCCTGGCCGTGGGTTTGGGAGAAACACCTTGCCCTTGGGAGGAAGGGGATGCCCATGGAAGTGGCATGGTCATCGTGTGGTCTGTCCAGGGGCTGAAAAACAGCACCCTGTACGAATATCTCCAATTTCAGATAACACCAGCAATGACCTTCAAGACCAGCCTAACATCTTTATTTTCCCTGGCTTAGTACACCATGCAGCTTTTGTGCAAATACAATGCCATTAAACCAAACCCTGGTATTGCAGAAGAAGAGCTGCCCAGCGGCCGGTCAGATGGGCCCACTGGTGTCAATGAGAGCAACTGGGCTCCAAACTACAGAGCACTTCAGCTAAACTGAATTCCCTTCCTGCTTGAACTAATCAATGCTGGAATTCTTTTATTCCAGAATAACGGTGTTTTAGCAGAGCTTCAATGGAGCTTAGTACACTTTCAGAGCTCATTGGGATTCATTTTCCTGATGGCAGAAGACAGTTTGTGGGGCAGTTCCAGCAACCAGAATCTTCCTTTCTTCCTAAAATTCAATGCAACATATAAACAAAGAATAGTTTTAATGTACTCTGAGTGTTGTGTTCCCTGTAATAAAGCAGCCAGGATCACTGTTCAGAGGGAACAGGTTAATGTCTCCAGGCTCTTTCACCCCCAGCGCGGACTATCCTGACCTGCGCAAGCACAACAACTGCATGGCTGAGTGCCTCACCCCCGGCATCTACTCCCGGCTTCGAGACAAGATGACCCCCAACGGGTACACCCTGGACCAGTGCATCCAAACTGGGGTGGACAACCCTGGTCACCCTTTTATTAAGACGGTGGGAATGGTGGCAGGGGATGAGGAGTCCTACGAGGTAAGAGGTTTCACAACACTGTCGTGTTTGGGTCAGTTTTCATGGTGTCCTTCCCCATTAGATGAAGACAGATTTCCAGTAGGGTATGTGTTCCGAAGGCAAATTATATCCCAGAGGGTACATAAGGGGCAGGGCATGTGCATAAAGATGGTGTTTTCCCTACTTTTCCACATTAGGAAAAGCACGAACATAAGGTATTGCTACAGGTGCACTCTGCTGCAACTGATACTAACAAAATATACCTACTTAGCACCTGCTAACTGCCTCCAGCAGCTGCCCTCCTTCCTACAACTAAAGTTAGTTTATGGCAAAGCTATCCAATTCTTGGACACAAAACTGAATGTAATGTGGAAATCACACTGTGGAACAGCAGAGGCACAAGCGAAACAGAAACATCTTCTGTGAAGTGCCAGACATCGTTTCATTAAGCCACAGCTTTTGGGCCATGAGGAAAAATGAAGACAAAAAGCATTAGGGTGGACAGTTTATTTAACTCTGCAATGACAAGAGGAAAACAGAAGAAAATGCTTATTTTTTTTGACCACTGTGGTCTGCTTCCTTCAGTCTACTGTGATGGTACCTGTTATTACACAGTCTCTTAACAGTATCCCAAGCACTGGGCAGCTGAGGGTGGATTGGGACACCCGCCATTCTGGACTGTCCCCTCCTGGGGTTTGGTTTACCTGTCCGGGTAAACTGCCACTGCTTCTTATCTGAAGGTGAAGTGGTGGTTGGTGCTGGCACAGCCAAGCCAAATGACTCTGACCAGAACTGGTATCCCATAGCAGGGAAAACACAGGGTATTCCTGTATGACCCAAAACCAAGAGACAAGTGGCTGGGGGGCTCTGGGTGTGTGTTCTGGCTGGTAATACACCCCAAAACCCAATCTGGTTGTCATCACATCCAGTCCCTGTCTGTGGTAACTACAGGCAGAGACTGCTCTGTCTGGAGCTGGTGCATCAAAGGATTTCTGTGGTGCAGACTCTTTCTAGATTCTCTTGAATCCTTAGGTGTTTGCTGAGATTTTTGACCCTGTCATTAAATCGAGACATAATGGCTATGATCCACGGACAATGAAGCATCACACTGACCTGGATGCATCCAAGGTAGGGTTGAAATAAAACAATGAGACAATAAAAGATCTGAGCTGCTTATTACAGGTATTGCATGCAACAGTACCTTTCTTGCTCCTGATCCAACTCTGAAGACACCAGCTTTCTGTTTAAGGAAAGTGGGATACCACTCAGCCCTGTCAGCTGCATCTCTTGTCCATAGCAGGGACCCAGTCCCAGCTGAAATAAGCATTTGGGCACCGTGGGTCTGCTCATGAGCTTAACAGATCACCGAATTGTCATGGAATGGCTTGGGTTGGAAGGGACCCTACAGCTCATCCTGTTCTACCCCCTGCCATGGGCAGGGACACCTTCCACTATCCCAGTTTGCTCCAAGTCCCGTCCAACCTGGCCTTGGATAGTTCCAGGGTTGGGGGAGCCACAGCTTCTCTATATTCCTCCCAGGATACCTGTCCTTGCTTCCACTCTCTGTAGGCTTCCTTTTTGTGTCTGAGCTAGACCAGGAGCTCTTTGCTCATCCACACAGGCCTCCTGGTGTTTTTTCCTGACTTCCTTTTTGTTGGAATGCATCACTTCTGAGGTTGGAGGAGTTGATCCTTGCATATTACCCAGCTTCCTTGGGCCCCTCTTTGCTCCAGGGTTTTATTCCATCGTGCTCTAACAAGCAGATCCCTGTAGATGCCAAAATCTGCTCTCCTGAAGTTCAGGGTAGTGAGCTTGAACTTCAGTTGATCATTGTTGCAAAGGGTGACACCCCCTCCACAGCTCCCCTGTCTTCCTTCCCAAGGAGCCTATATCCTTTCATTACAACACTCCAGTCACAGGAACCATCCCACCACATCCCCTTGATGCCACTAAGATCACAGCCCTGCAGGCACGGGCACACCTCTGAGTCCTCCTGTTTACTTCCTATGCCACAGTGTGTTTGCACAGAGACATTTAAGCTGGGCCTCCAATGAAGTCGATTTACTGGCTGACTTGGATGCAATTCCTTGAGCTGGAAATCCTTGGATAGTCACCTGTGTAAGGGTTGGAATGAAAGGAGTTTAATCCAATATGCCCACATACATGTGGGCAAACCTGAACTGCATCTTAACATTTCCTTTATAGTTCAACTACAGCCTTATTTTAGGCTTCCCTCTTCCAGACGACCTTCCCCACCTAGTTTCCTGCTTTTGCCCATATCCTTATTTCCAAAAGCCACCCAGATTCCCTCATATTTTGGGACCACAAAGGATGAGCTGGTTACTCCAACATGTTCATCCAGCCAAAGAACCACATTGCTCCTAAAAAGAGCTCCCGGTGCCTGAAACTCTTGAAGGGCTCCTGGTGCCCAGAGTGGTTGTGACCCAGAGGAGAGGCCACCATGCTTGGGCAGGAAGATGCCCCTCTTTTTGTGGGATGGGGTTTGGATTGCTTTAATAGTGGACTACAAGATGTGTGTGTGTGAACTAACAGAGCATCCTCCCCCTCAGATCACCCATGGGCAGTTCGACGAGCGCTACGTGCTCTCCTCGCGGGTGCGGACTGGGCGCAGCATCCGTGGGCTCAGCCTCCCTCCCGCCTGCACCCGGGCCGAGCGCAGGGAGGTGGAGAACGTGGTGGTCACTGCGCTGTCTGGGCTCCGGGGGGACCTCTCGGGCAAGTACTACAGCCTGACCACCATGACTGAGCGGGAGCAGCAGCAGCTCATCGACGTAAGTACAATCCCAGTGCCAACACCGCCTTCACTCCATCCTCCTCCGGGGTACTCTCTGTCCTGCATGGCCAAGGAAGGTAATCACAGTGTTACCCCTACAGTTAATGGCCTGCCAATATCTTCAGTAGAATAGCAAATCATCCAGGGTCTGTATTTTTGTGAAGCATGTAGCTGTGTAGGTCTGAAACATGGGCTTATACCCCAGAGAGCAAGATCTGTGTCAAACCAAACACACATGGCTACTGCCACCTCTCTGGACAAATAACGAGGTGAATTCAGACCTTTCCTGGCCATTTCCTTGAGCAAAGATTGATATTTTCTATATTAATAACCATTCTGACTAAAGGTACTAAACTGGAATAGGCAATACATGGTATCTGTATTTTAGACTGTCGTGGTGGGGGGCTTTGGCTGAGATTTCTTTATGCCAAAACTACACTAATTCTAATTTCCCAAAATTTGTCTGTAATTTCATTAAGCTAAACGACATTAATTCTTATTTCCCTAAAATGGCTGTAGCCTACCACACCCAGATGACCTTTTCCCAGTCCTGTCATTGTGTTTAAGAATTTGAAGGATCAGGCCCATAACGAGAGTTTTCATTGTCACACAGATTGAAACACAAGGATTTTCACCATGGATTTTGTCACAGCATGTGACATGTCAAACAAAGCTTGAAAGTGCATTTTAAATATCCAAAGGAATGGCTGTACCTTCTTAGCTATATTCATGGCACATTAATCAACCAAAAGGGAGCTGATAAAGTAACATAACTATTTATAACCTCAAAATAGGTGTCATAGTCTGGATTAACCAGTAGTTAAGAATTTAGGTAAGATCAGTAACTTTTTTAGTTGAATGTCCTTGGTAATATGTTTATTGACAAGATTGCAGGTTTTATTTCCTTGCCTTACTCAGGAGGACAGGCTGAGAAAGCAGAAGTTGAAATTGGAGTGTGCAGAATGTAATTCCTTCATGGTTTAGGGCTAAATGCTGTGGGAAGTGGAATAGGCTTCACAGACTCAGCATTTTACCTTGCTTTGTTTAGCTTTATGTTCACAAAAATTTATAGAAGTCAGGGCATTGAGTGTTATAAGCTCATATTCGTCCCTTAACTCACACCATTCCTTACCTCCTCCAGTACTTTAGGACCTTGAACCCTAGATCAGACTTTGTGCCAGGCTTTCATAAGCACCATTTGATCTCAGTGAGATCAAGTTGATCTCAGTGATACCAAATCAGTGCTACATGACTGGCTCTCAGCCCAGAAGGCTGAGTATGTTGCAAATCTGGCCATATGCACGTAAGGGAAACTAATAGCTCTTTTCTTGCAAAAAGGGGAATTTTTCTTTCAAGAAAAAGCATTGAGTGGAGCCAGCTGAAGAAGGAAAATTTGTGTCCCTGTGATGAGCAAAGAGATCTCTATACCTTTTCTTTCTGCATAGTTGGAGAAACTATGGCTGCACCATCCATCACAGGGTATTCAAAGGTGAAACCTGAAATTCTCCATTAAGGCAAAAAGATGTAAAGCATATCGATGTGTCTACCATGTCAAATGTATTCGGGATAGCTTGCCTCACTATTCCTAGTTAAACCTGAGATTTAAAAAAAAAAGAACAAAACCAAAATCCCCCCAACATTTGATATGGCAGTATTCAAGGAATGAAGAACTAATAATTTTTCAGGACACACATGAAAATCAAATATTATTTGGTCTGGGGAAAAAAACCCCCAAGAGTCCAACTATTACTTTAAAAAAATCTAAACAATTTGGCAAGTTGGTGGCACAGCAAGTGCTACATTTATTAAGTCAGAGATAGCATCTCTGTTAAGGAACAGAATGAGTCTCTGATTCCAAAAGGTCAAGATTAACACTGGTTTAATTCCTACCTTGACTTCATGCTCAGAATAAATATCTTTATGCCGGAGAAGCAGCTTTTCAGAAGTAGCACTTTTTGTGAGTTTTTTTTTTTCTGTCTTTAAGAACTCATTACCTTCTCTTACTTACCATAAGGTGTGTGTGTGTGCAGAGAACCCCTCTGGATCTGGCAGACAGGTCCCTCCAGAGTACCCTTTGGTGTGTCCACGTGGTGTTAGGTTCCACCTTCCAACACTCCCTACCTTTGAAAAACACTTCTGGCAAAACATGGTCACTGTACCCATGTTGGTGAGAATCTGCAAGGCTCAAGAATATCACCTGAGTAAAGTGTTTTCAGCTGCAGGCAAAGGAACCAGGTTCACAAGCTGTACTCTGTGATTTGCCTGTGCTTCAACTGCCTTCACATAAAATGTATTGGACAGTGTTGCATTGCTGCCTTGAATAAACCTGAATTTTGTTTTATTTTCTCTCCCTCTCTCTCTTTCTCTCCCTTCGGCCCCATTTTGGCACCCAGGATCATTTTCTCTTTGACAAGCCAGTGTCCCCCTTGCTAACATGTGCTGGGATGGCACGTGACTGGCCAGATGCCAGAGGAATCTGGTATGTTGTATGATGTGCAAGAGCTCGTGTGTGCTTTAAAGATCATGTTACAAACTTCCTTGCTTGTCCTAACCTTGCAGCCACTCTGTCTCCATACTCACTGCATTTCCAGTTGTTTTTTTAGAAAAAAAAGAATTTTAATTCCCAGGGCTGAAAGTAACTCTTTCTTTCCAAATAATCTGGACAAAAAGGAGATAGGGGAGTTGAATTTCCTGTTTTGTTCTAGGTCTGTTTCTACTGTCACAACACATTTGATGCATTTTGTGCCCAAATGCCATATTTTCTGTGGAGATAAAGGGATAACAGCTCTGAGAGGAGTGCACATACCCACTAGGAGAGGATGGGGGAGGCTGTGCAGTGCACAGCATCTGCATCCATCGTGCTGTACTTCTAGGCATTACCAGAGGCTTTAATGCTGAAAAATGAGGCAGAAAGGATTCTGAGGAATCACCTAGCTGTGAAACCTGATCAGCCATGAAACCCAGTGACCTGCTGGAAAACTGTGAGGATTTTTTTATTTCAACAAGCTTCCTATTAGATTCAACAAGATGCAGGTTCCCTGGTCCCCATCTAAATCTGAGGAAAGAAAAAGACTAAAGCTTGAGGCACATAATTCACTGTCTCTACAAACAAACAGGAGAAGGACCAGTAATTTAATTTCAATCCAGGGATTTCCTGAATAAAACAGACGTGGTTTTGGCTTCTTTTACATGTGAAATATCATGCGGACTGGGAAAAAAAATATTAGTGTGATTGGAAAGTATTTCTGTAAGTAACATTTTGAAAACCTGCCTTCTTTTGCAAGAAATTGTTGTCAAAAAGAGTAAAGGTTCTGGAAATCATTTTGCTTTTAATGATTGTGATCCTGTCCTTGTTATGGGCTGCAGGACTATTCTCACCAACATCACCAGCAGCAATGGCATGTTTGTTAAAGCAGTGAGGTGACTTGATTAACTAAAGGCTGAGGTGAGCCAGGCCAAGCTCAGACTGTAAAACCTTCCCCTGAGCATTTGTATGTGACTGAGGATGAGGTGACTGTACCCCGAGTGACCCAGTGTCAGGGCACAGGATGTTTACACCTCCTCAGTGTTGCACTGGCAAACTCTGAGTGCAAAAAGGAAAAGGAGACACAGTAAAAGACCAACTGAATGTCAGGCTCTCAGTGAGCTTGAACTTCCACTTTCATGTGTCTCAAGCCTGGTGATATTTCACTGTTGGCACAAATCAGTCTGATCCCATCAATCACCTTCTACATGCTGTAGAAAGGCTGTAGTAGAAGCCAGGAAAAGTGACCTTGGGTGTGACATAGCACTTAACAAAGCTGGCTATGACAGTCCAAGGCAAGAGAGGGTTTTCAGGTGTTTCTACCTTGACTGACAAACCAGCACTATCTGGGAGCAGCATCTGCGATCCCTGGACATGGCACTTGATGCAGCCATCCAGTGCTGCCAAGTGACACAGGGAGCACCGGGATTTGATTTAAGGGAGAACATAATTCAGTAAGAACATATTTCTTGGCCCCTAGCAACATGTAGGTCTTTGGGTTTTTCCAAGAACAATAAACCTCATCCCTGGTGACAGAGGATGCAGGGCTTGGCTTCTCCCTTGGCTGCAATCCCCCAGCTGTGCTCATGCTAGAGGACAACACATTTTCCCTCACTCAGCACTGCAGCAGCACAATGTGATCAGGAAATTGCTTCAGCTGTGCCCAAGAGACCTGTGTGTTGCCACTGGCATGAGAGATCTGACAGTCAAATCTGCTCAAATCCCTCACCATATAGAACAAGTTATTTCTCCACACTTAACATCTTTGCTGCACTGAAAGACTATGATAAAACCAAGACTATTCAGAGCTTTTTTTGAGGGCTTGTCTTTTAAAAGACACTCCTTTTCCCCCCCTCTCTCAACCAGGCATAACAATGAGAAGACATTTCTCATCTGGATTAATGAAGAGGACCACACCAGGGTGATCTCCATGGAGAAGGGTGGCAACATGAAGCGGGTGTTTGAGAGGTTCTGCCGTGGTTTAAAAGAGGTAGTATCTCAGTGATTTTATTATTCCTGTTTGTTTATTGCTGTGAGCACTACTCCCTGTGGTTCACACTGAGCTGACATGTCAGGGAGCAGCAAAATGGAGTAACACCAGTCCACACAGCAGTTAAAGGAGGAAACATGGGCAAACTGGTAACTGAGCTGTAGGGAAAAACAAATAAATATCCCCTTTTTTTACCATTTTGGGCCTGTGGACTGTGGAAATTCACAAATCAAGCATTTTACTTGGATTGCTTGATTTGCCTGAGTGAAGAATTTATTTGGCCCAACCTCCTGGTTCTCGTTTCTGATGCTGGGAGACGAGTGGAGGCTGCTGAGGTTGTGCGCAGGACTTAAGGCCCAACCACTTTTGGGGAGATATGGGTTTGTGATTAAAATACTAAAAACCGATAGCCAGGAATCCTGGATTTTATTCTGGTCTATCTATTCGCAGTGACAAAAAAGGTTTCATGAGATGGTGGTTTAAAACAGTTTTGTCCAGACAGTCCAGGTATGACTCAAGTCCTGTGTACTTACTGCTCTGGGACAAAAAATGTTGATTTAACAGAGAAAGTGGACTTTACTGTGTCCCACAGGCAATATCATGACACCCTTGAATGTTTTGGGTTGGAAGGGACATTAATGACTAACTAGTTCCAAGCCCCTGTGTACCTGTTTACTTTGGCTGAATGCCAGGTGTCCACCAAGACTGCACAGACTTCCCCCCCCAAAAAGGGGAGACGAAAGAAAAAAAATCGTGAAAAACGGGGCTTACCAAGAAAGAAAGTTTATATTTACATGGAGAAAAAGGAAGAGACTAATAATGCTACAAACACACAGGCAAAGGAAACTAACAGTAAAAATTCTACCTCCCCCGCGGAGCAGTGTTTTGGACAGACGTAGCTGCCTAAAGGGCCATCTCGGAAGAGGAAGAAGAAGAAGGGCCGAGTGAACTCTCCCTTCCCTTTTATAGCCAGGCTGACGTAACATGGTATGGAATATCCTGTTCCTCCCGGGAAAAGGAAGTGTTAGTTAACTACACAAACCCACTACACCCTGCCATGGACTAATACAGCTGTGTACCCCTTCTTTATCACTTCGCAGCTCTCAGTCAAAAAAAAGCAAGGCTAAGTAGGGACAGCAGTAACTACAGAGTCTTCATTGTGGAAGCAGAAGATGCTCGGAGCATCCATGGGGAAGTCTGAGTATGGAGTGGGCTTTGGGGCACAGAAAAACAAAGTCACCTGACAGGTGTTTCTGTGCCATCAGGGAGGTGACTGAGCCCTGACCAGTTCCCAGGGCACACCTGTGGGGCTGAGCAGTGCACAGGGGGTGGCAGAGGTGACACAGTTTGCTGAGGTTGCTCCCAGCTCTGACTCCACCACTGTGCTCAGCCCATGTCAGCAGAGCAGCACCTGTGGACCTGGCCAGGTGTAGCAGGTTGACCCTGTCCAGATGTCAGGTACCCACTAAAGCCACTGTCTCACTCTCCCTCTGCAACTAGACAGAGGAGAGAGAAAAAAAAACAGCTAAGGATTCATGAGTTGAGATAACAGCTGGGAGAGGTCAGTTACTGATTACCTTCATGGGCAAAACAGACTCAAAGTGGGGATATTATTTAAATTTATTACTAACAGGATAAGAGCCAAAGAGTGAGAAATAAAACAGTCTTAAAAACACCTTCCCCCCACCCTTCCTTCCTTCCTTCCATTTTCTCCCTCCTCCCCCCCCAGCGGTGCAGGGGGATGGGGAATGGGGGTTGCGGTCAGTTGTTGTTTCTGCCGCTGCTCAGGGAGAGGAGTCCTTCCCCAGTTCCCGAGACAGTCCTTGATTAACCTCTCCAGCGTGAGTCCATCCCTCAGGCAGCAATTCTTCCCAAACTGCTGTCCTGTGGGTCACTCCTCCATGGGGTGCAGTCCTTCATGAATGAGCTGCTCCACCGTGGGTCCCCCACAGGGGCCACAAGTCCTACCCGGGCAAAACCCGCTCCAGTGTAGGCTTCCCTCTCCACGGGCTGCAGGTCTCCGGCAGGACCCTGCTCCATCTTGGGCCTCCCATGGGGTCACAGTCTCCTTCATGCATCCACCTGCTCCAGCATGGGCTCCTCCATGGGCTGCAGGTGGGTCTCTCCACCCCAATGGTCCTCCATGGGCTGCAGGGGCACAGCTGCTCCACCATGGTCTGCACCATGGGCTGCAGGGGCCTCAGCTCTGGTGCCTGGAGCACCTCCTGCCCCTCCTTCTGCACTGACCTTGGTGTCTACATTGTTATTCCCATGTTCTCACTTAGCTCTTCCCTGGCTGGAATTTTTTCTCTGCAACAATTTTCTGTTCTTAAATATGTTATCACAGAGGAGTTACTATTACTCCTGATTGGCTTGGCCTTGGCCAATGGCAGAAAGTCCATCCTGGAGCCAGCTGGCATTGGCTATATGGGACTGGGGAAGCTTCTAGCAGCTTCTAGCAGCAGCCACCTCCATAGCGCCCCCCCCACTACCAAAATCCAGCCACAGAAACCCACTACGCCAGGCAAAGTGATCAGGCAGCTTTGGGAACTATCACTAGAAGAGGTGTCTGGGGTAGGAAATCAGGCCTAGTTTCCCACCATCTGTTCTGTTGTGCTCACACAATATAGAAATGATTTTAGAAGGCCATTTAGTCTGTATCCTTCTGCAGAACAGAAGTATTCAGCTATATTTGCAGAAGTCTTGTGAGCATGAGCTGGTTTATGCATCCAGTTCTCCTCAGGAGGAGAAGAGAACTGAACTGAAATTGTATTTGGATTGCACAAGTAAACCTGGGGAGAGCAGATGGGTGAACAAAGTACCAGCCTACTCAAAGGTCAATAGACCCTTGTGATTTTCCTGCAGATAATTATTTCACTCTCCTGTCTAATCTGGTGAGAGACTTACTAATGAAAAGCATTGTGTACAAGCTGTGTCTCCTTATAAAGGAAGTGTGGCTGTTAATACTGGATATTTAGAGGCCAAGTGTCCTCCCCAGGAGTCAGGGCATCATCTTGAAAATTACACAAAACTCAGGTTCAGCTCCTTGTTTTCTTCATAGTGTTTGAGTCCTTTGGGATTGTGCGTTGCAAACCAGCTCCAAAATTACCAAGTTAGAAACAAACAGCAAAAGCCACAATTCTTAAGTAGACATGGCTTCATGAGCTAAGGCTTCACAAAAACACCAGGACAGGGAGCTTTGTGATGAAGTGGCAAAGAGTCTGCAAGGTAGTGGTCATGAGAAAGCGACAGAGATATCCTTCTGGTACCTGGTGAGTACAAACATTTTTGTCACACCTAAACCAGACTGGACCCAGGTGTGAATTCCTGCCACTCCACTGGTGTTAGTGAAGTTCATCAACACAAACACATGGCAAGAAGAATCTCAGCTACCAGCAGACATCTTAAAATGAGACATTTGCATGTTGCCGTTTTTGCTTTCTTTCTGTCTTGCTACCATAGGTGGAGAGATTAATTAAGGAACGTGGCTGGGAGTTTATGTGGAACGAGCGTCTCGGGTATGTCCTGACCTGTCCTTCCAATCTGGGCACTGGTCTGAGAGCTGGAGTCCATGTGAAGCTGCCCAGGCTGAGCAAGGTACGCGAGTCCTTTAAAAAGCTGGTGACATAACTCAGCTCTTCTGATTTACAAAGGAACAGATGAAAAATGACAGCTCATGGCGACTGCAAGTTAGCAGGATGCATGTAATGCACATTTAATTGAGCACGCTTTAATTCTGCAAATTATTGTCTTTGTTATGAAAATTAATGTGCTCAGCAGGAAGCTGCCAGGATGGGGAGTAATCCAAGGACAAGAAAACTCTCCACCGCTGCCTGTCACTCTGGCAATGCTGTTAATCCATGGATCACAGCATGGCAAGGACGCGGTATGACACACACACTGACAGGCAGTAAGCTCAAACCTGTTTCTTGTGACAGGACCCCAGGTTTCCCAAAATCCTGGAGAACCTGCGCCTGCAGAAGCGTGGCACTGGTGGAGTAGACACAGCAGCCGTGGCTGATGTGTACGATATCTCTAACCTGGACCGCCTCGGCCGCTCAGAGGTAACCTGTCCTTGGTTTGTGGGTTTTTTTCCTGATTTTTCCTCATGCCTCCACCAGCAGTTTTTACTCCTGATGAATCTGGTCCAGTGGAAATGCTTATTGAAAGAAAAAATTATTAATGTGCATGAAGGGCTTGACAAATACTCCTGTTATGGGAATGAAAAAAATCAACCCTGACCAAGTTGCACAAATGTGATTTGCACCATGTGCTGAGGACCTCTGTGAGAGTATGCAGGTGCTGGAAAGGAATAGGGATGGAGTCCTAATCCACCCAGGCAATCAGGCACTAAAGCAAGGCTTGGATTAGGGTGTTGTGTTCCTTCCACTATTGTCACGCACTTCCTCCATAGTTACACAGCAGGACAAGGCTTTCACTCCACAATAACTGAGGAGCTGGTGCCTTCCTAACGTGTCCTGTGTGGCTCCAAGCAGAGAACAGAGGAGAGCTGGGTTTAAATGACAGCTAAGTTTAAATCAGGGCAAAGAGTTAATTGCCACCCATGAGCCCTCCCTGTTGGGCTGCAGACCATGATGAGATGGGTTTGTCTCAGACATTTGCTTTGAAGCCATTTCAGTCAGAAGGAGCATTTGTTGTCCCAGAGCATGGAAATGACCCTGCAGCCTGGCGCTGCTGCTGCCCTCCTGGGAGGCTCGGGTCCCACACCTCATTCCAGATTCATGTTCAATTGTTCTATAAAGCAGAACAGCTCCCAAGAGCAAAGCTAATGAGGATAGGGCAGAAAGAGCCATGTCAAAGAGCTGCAGCCTCCTCCCACCAGCTCTCTGAGAGGCTGTGGCAGCTGGGATGCAGTTTGGTCCTGGTGTTGCAGCCCAACACCCAGCCTGATTCTGGGTAGGTTGTCATAGCAGAAATATAACCCAGGGATAAAGCACCCGGTCACAACTAGACTCAGTGTAGTCCACAGCCAGCCAGGTGATTTCCCTTCCTCACTTGCCACTGGGACAGAGCCAAGGCAGGTATCCTGCGCTTTCTTATTCAGAGGTGCCCTTGAATGTCTCCACAACCACGAAGAGAAGTTTGGAGATTTTAAATTTTGAAGTTTGATGTAGGCATCTATGTTCCTTTGGGTCTAGAAAAAAACAAATGACAGTGAACAAAATAAATAAGAGTGAAATACAATTCAGCTGTACTATTTGCAAAAACAGTCTGTGACAAAGACATCTATTAATACCTGAAACATCATAATTTGTGCTTTATATTAAAATAACATCAGTAACAAAAAAGGATTACACAGCATGATTGAGTCATACTGACTGACAGCCTAAGCCTACAAATTCTTGCTTATCTGAAGATTTCCACTAAAGTCAGTGATGCCTCCTACAGCAAGGATCCAAAGGATTAAGCCAACAGATAAGATACAATCCCTACCTTGAAAAATCTGAAATCTAAATAAGACAAGACATACTCAAAGGGATAGAAATGTTTTATTATAAGATATAATTTTTTTAGTACATAATAAAATAAATTCCATTATGTGGTAAACGTTTTTGCAGAATTGGATTATGTTCCCAAAGCTGCAAGATAAAATTGTTTGTATTTTTGCTCTATTTCAGTTACTGGTCAATGCAAACTTAATAGGAAATTTGTTTTCTCCTGGAGGCTGCAAATTCAGACCTCTGATTTCCCCAAACAGCTGGTCTGTAAAAGACAATAAAATAAAGTGTTAAGTCACTGAAATGCTTTATAGTAAAAATCCCTTGAAAATCAGCAACTGTCACAATAAAGAGACAATGGAATTTAGTCTTTGCACTCGGTTTTAACAAGCCAGTCATTAAAGGTTGCTAATGAACCATTTCATGAAGATGAAGACATATCAGTGCTATAGTTTGCTGGCTCACAATGCCACCAGGCCTTTAGTCCTCACATGTCACAGCCTGTGCAGAAAGTCTGCTGGGGACAAGCTCCTGGTATTCTTCAGCAATTCTGAAACAGGTTACAAAGGCACCACTCTCCCTACTCCTCCCCTCCCCCCCACACATAGAATTACAAATTTTGGTGCTGCTTCTGGCCTGGAGCTGATCCCACTCCTGCCAGTGTAAATCAGGAGCTAAAAACAAGGAGTGCTAGATGATGCAGAGCCAGCCTGAGTTCAGGATGAGTGTTATGCTCCAGAGATGTGGGTGCTGAGCCTGGCAGAATGGGGAGGACATTCATCCCACTGGGGCCTGGGTCATCTCCAGGGGAAGGACAGGGGAAGGATATCTGTGGGAAGGATATCTGTGAAGAAGGACATCCATTGGGAAGGACATCTGTGGGGAAGGACCTGGCTCTGAGTTGATGAGCTTTCTCAGGCAGCCTAAAAGGCCGTGGTAGTGCTGACATCCTCCCAGTTCTGGCCATGTGAAGGACACCCATCCTGTGCTGCCAGCAGCACTCAGAGCCAGTGGGAACTAGAACAATGAGCCTCTGCCTTCCTCTCCTTGCACCAACATCCCTGCTAATTCATTTCCATGTCTCTGTGCTCACATGAATGTTCCTGCAAGCACAGGGTGTTCCGGGCCTGGAGCTGGAAACACCCAGCAAGGGACTTCAGTGCTTCAGCAAGACCTGCCTGGTGATGCTGAGTACACACAGCATGGTTATGTTCTCATCCTCTTATATGGAGTGTGGGGAACAAGCTGTGCCAGGCATCCCTCCCCAGCACACACCTGGGGAGGACCCTCACGGAGTCACCTCTGAAACAGGTCTCAGCTCACGCCTAAATATTTTATATAAGGACTTTTGTCATATTTGTTACAATGGGAGCAGAGTTTGGTGGAAATAACTGTAGGGACCTAATTGAAAATTTCTGTTTCTGGTGGTCCAAACTTGGAGCAAACAGGAGAAGGGAATTACTGTGGCTTTGCACGACCGATTCTCCCTGTGCCAGAGGGTGCGTGATCTCCATGCCATGATGCTTCTCAGGGGTCACTTTACCTCACAGCTTTACCTGCTGTCATTGCAGTACAAGCCAACTTTCTACTCCTCTATTAACAGATGAGCTCAAGCTTCTATTACTATTATTTTCTTCTTGTTTTTGTAGGTGGAGCTAGTCCAGATTGTCATTGACGGGGTCAATTACCTCGTTGACTGTGAGAAGAAACTGGAAAGAGGTCAAGACATCAAGGTGCCACCTCCGCTGCCTCAGTTTTCCAGGAAATGATGTTGCTGCTGATTGTAGCAACTGATGGTAAACTGGTGGCTACCATTCTGATGGGAAGGCACCTCTGTATATGTCTGTATAAATATGTTGTGTAATAAAATACTACCTGATACCCAAGGTCTCCTCAATGCCTGGCTGTACTGGCAGAAACTGGTCTTTGTGCAGCTTCACTGGGCTGCACCCATACAACCACCTCCCTATCCTCTCTTTGGGGCACTGCTTCCCTTTCTTTCTTGGTTGGTGATAAGAAAAGTACTACTCCAGTAGTACTACTCTAGTTCTATGCTGCACTTGCACTTATGGCCATATTTACGATAGCTCCTGTAAGCACCCTATTCATGCCCCATGGCCTTGGGCTGCAGTCCAAAAACCAGGAGGCAAATCAGTTTGTTGATATCCTGCAACCCACATAACCCTGCCCACCATGGCCTATTCCAGGTAATGGGGACCTAGCTCAGCTGTCAGTCCTCAACATGCTTGAGGATTTGGTGACACATCTCCATGCTCATCATGATTTCATGTGTGAAGCAGCTCCGTGGAAAGGGGAAAACCAGCAGATGCTGACAGTCCCTTTGATTGCTTCTTTTTTGCATATTGAAACACACTCAGTGTTTCACAGCCACCACATTCAGAATAGCAGTTCACAGGAAGGTCTCTTAGTGAGTCACATCTGCAGAGTTGTGGCTGAATAGCTGGGCCATAACTGGTTGCAAACTTTAAAAATCACAACTGGGAGCTAATTGAGAGCTGGATGGTGAACCAGCAGCTCTTAATAATCAGCAGCATGGTGAGAGCTGTTCAGTGTAAAGCAGGCTGGAGCTTCTATGTGACTGCTGGTTCTTCCTCATCTATGCTGGGCACATTTCCTTACATTTTGCTACTGGCTTTCCAAATGGTGGTTAATAATAGTAATTCTGTGGGAAGGAAAGAGACTTCTGCTGATTTTACATAGAACATAAATAAGTAAAACTGGAAAGATTTCAGTGTTAGCTCTCCAAAACCCTCATCTCTAGATGACCATGGCACTAAGTGCCACATCCAATCTCATCTTAAAAACCTCCAGGGATAGTGAATCCACCACCTCTCTGGGCAGCCAATTCCAATGTCTGATTACTCTCTCTGTAAAATATTTCTTCCTAATATCCAACCTAAACCTCCCCTGGCACAGCTTAAGACTGTACCCCCGTGTCCTACTGCTGGTTACCTAGGAGAAGAGACCAACCCCCACCTGGGTACAACCTCCTTTCAGGGAGTTGTAGAGAGTGATGAGGTCTCCCCTGAGACTCCTCCAGGCTAAACAACCCCAGCTCCCTCAGCCTCTCCTCATAGGACTTGTGCTCAAGTCCCTTCACCAGCCTTGTTGCTCTTCTCTGGACCTGCTCCAGCACCTCAATATCCTTCCTGAAATGAGGAGCCCAGAACTGGACACAGTATTCGAGGTGTGGCCTCACCAGTGCTGAGTACAGAGGAAGAATCACTTCCCTGGTCCTGCTGGCCAACACTGTTCCTGATCCAGGCCAGGATGCCATTGGCCTTCTTGGCCACCTGGGCACACTGCTGGCTCCTGTCAATCCAAACTCTCAGGTCCCTTTCTACCTGGCTGCTCTCCAGCCACTCTGCGCCCAGCCTGTAGCGCTGCAGGGGGTTGTTGTGGCCAAAGTGCAGGACCCGGCACTTGGCCTTGTTGGACCTCATCCTGTTGGAATCAGAGCATCTCTCCAGCTTGTCCAGGTCCCCCTGCAGAGCCCTCCTGCCTTCCAGCAGATCAACATGCCCCCCCCCAACTTGGTGTCACCTGCAAATTTGCTATTGGTACACTCAATCCCCTCATCTAAATCATCAGTAAAGATATTAAACAGAACTGGGCCCAACACTGATCCCTGGGGGACACCACTGGTGACCGGCTGCCAACTGGATGCAGCACCGTTCACCACCACTCTCTGGATCCCGCCCTCCAGCCAGTTCCTAACCCAGCAGAGAGTGCCCCTGTCCAAGCTGTGGGCTGCAGCTTTCTCAGGAGTGTGCTGTGGGAGACTGTGTCAAAGGCTTTGCTGAAGTCCAGGTAGACACATCCACAGCCTTCCCCTCATCCACCAGGCGGGTCACCTGATCATAAAAGGAGATCAGGTTGGTCAGACAGGACCTGCCCTTCCTAAACCCATCCTGGATGGGTCTGATCCCTTGTCCCTCCTGAAGGTGCTGTGAGAGGCACTGAGAATGATCTGCTCCATAAACTTGCCAGGCACTGAGGTCAGGCTAACAGGCCAGTAGTTTCCCAGGTTCTCTTTGCAGCCCTTTTTGTGGACGGGCGTGACATTTGCCAACTTCCAGTCATCTGGGACCTCCCCAGTGAGGCAGGACTGCTGGTAAATGATGGAGAGCGGCTTGGCGAGCTCTTCTGCCAGCTCCCTCATCACCCTTGGGTGGGTCCCATCTGGTCCCATAGACTTGTGAGGATTCAAGTGGCTCAGCAGGTCGCTAACTGTTCCCTCCTGGATTACAGGGGGGCTATTTGGCTTCCTGTCTCTTTTTACCAGCTCTGGAGGACAGTTGTCCTGAGGACAACCTGTCTTACTGTTGAAAACTGAGGCAAAAAAGGTGTTAAGTACCTCAGCCTTTACCTCATCTTTGGTGACTATGTTCCCCCATGTCCAACAAAGAACAGAGGTTTTCCTTGCCCCTCCTTTTGCTACTGATGTATTTGTAGAAGCACTTCTTGTTATCCCTAATAGGAGTGGCTAGGTTGAGTTCAAATTGTGCCTTTGTCTCTCTAATTTTTTTTCTGCATGAACTAACTATATTCCTAAACTCTTCATGAGTAGCCAGCCCTTTTTTCCACAATCAGTAAGCTCTCTTTTTCCCCTAATTTCCTTCAAAATCTCCCTGTTCAGCCAGGCTGGCCATCTTCCCCACCAGCTTGCCTTTCGGCACACTGGGACAGCCTGCTCCCGTGCTATCAAGACTTCCTTCTTGAAGCATGTCCATCCCTCCTGGACCCCTTTGTTTTCAAGGGCTGTTTCCCAAGGTAACCTCTGAACCAGCCTTCTGAGTAGGCTGAAATCTGCCCTCCAGAAGTCCAGGCTAGAAGTATTATTGATGGCCTTCTTTGCGTCCCTGAGTATTGAAAACTTGATTACTTCATGGTCACTGTGCCCCAGACAGCCTCCGACCACTACATCTCCCACCAGCTCATCTCTGTTTGTGAGCAGCAGGTCTAGCAGGCCCCCACCCCTGCTAGGTTCATTTACCAGCTGGAGCAGGAAATTATCCTCTATACACTCTAGGAATCTCCTAGACTGCCTCTTCTCCGCTGTGTGGAGTTCCCAGCAGACATCCGGCAGGTTAAAGTCACCCACAAGGACAAGGGCTGGTGATTTTGAGACATCCACCAGCTGCTTGTAGAATAATCCCTCATCATCCTGGTTGGGTGGTCTGTAACAGACTCCCACCAGGATGTCAGCCTTGTTGGCCTTCCCCCTGATTCTGATCCACAGGCACTCAACCTTATCGTTACTGACTTCAAGTTTTACAGAGTCAAGAGACTCTCTAACATACAGAGCCACCCCTCCACCTCTCCTACCTCACCTGTCCCTTCTGAAGAGCTTGTAGCCACCCATGGCAGCACTCCAGACTCCAGTCATGTGAGTCATCCCACCACGTTTCCATGATGGCCACTACAGCACAGCTTTCCTGCTGCACGATGGCTTCCTGCTCCTCTTGTTTGTTACCCACACTGCATGCATTGGTGTACATGCACTTCAGCTGGGCTGCTGATTTCACTTCTAACTCTGGCTTTCCACCCTCAGGCTCATCTGTAGAGAGCCTGGTTTCAACCTCTTCCCCCTTCAAACCTAGTTTAAAGCCCTCCTGATCAGCCCTGCCAACTTATGGGCTAGAGTCCTTTTGCCCTTGCTAGACAGATGAAGCCCACATGACTCTAGCAGGCTTGGTACCACAGAATTTGCCCCATGGTCAAAAAAACCAAAATTCTGCTGGTGGCACCAGTCTTTTAGCCACCTATTGATAAGATGGGTTTTCCTACTTGTCTCCTCATTCATCTCTGCTACTGCAAGAACTGAGGCAAACACCACCTGTGCTCCTGTCCCATTAATTAACTGACCCAGTGCCTTGATGTCCTTAAATACTGCAGACATAAAAGAATTTAAGAGGAAACAGGATTTATGTTTACTTTCTCTCCCTCAAATCAAAATTAAAGCAACTACAGAAATGTCATCCTGGTACTCTGGCAAGTAGCATTAAATATCAAAACCACACAGGCAAAAACCAGTGAACATTGTGTGTGCACAACCAAAGCTTCTGGTACCTCTTCAGCAGACAAAACCTCCATTTTTGGGCTTTGAGGATTACAAAGATATGAACACCGTACTGTGGACAGGCAATTTGCTTAAGAAGATATGAAAAAAAATGGCACAAAATGTTACAATTATTTGCATGGCTGCTGTCTTGCTCATTTCTCACCTGGTGCCCAGGTACAGGTGAGCTCCCAATGTCAAACTGGAATGTCAAACTGGAACAAACCTAAACCAGTGAAAATTTAAACAGGTGTGGCCACTGTCAAATTTAAGTGATTTTGTGGGGGAAATACTGCCTTACAGACTTGGCTGAAAGGTATTAAACACCCTTTTCCACTGCCTGCAAATGCAGTCGGGGATGTTAAGGGCAGCTGATCCTGCCTAGACACAAACACATAAAATTCCAGGCTGAAAAAGAACAGACAACACATTTAGCACTTCAGCAGAGCAGAAAGCAAAGCAAGTTGCAGGAACAACTGGGACCTCATGCTGTGATTGACCTGTAACTATATCAGCAAATGAGATTAATTTTAAAATTAAAAGTACTACTGATTTTTTTCCCCCTGGTTTTGTTTCCTGAGCAGTGGCTCTTAAATGGCGTTCATCAATTATTTTTACCTGCAGTCAAAGCTAATTGTTCTTAAATACGTGCTCCTTTTAAGTGGCAGCGATGCAGTTTAAAAGACATTTTGTGCACATCTCCCTCTGGTGGGCTCAAAACCACGGAAAAACGACAAAATACAGCCATTTACCCAGGGAGAGAAAAGTATTAAGGAAAATTACTGAAGAATATATAATATCTTTTATATAACACATATAACATAGATATCCTTATAAGATCAACTCAAGACCACCAGGATATGTCATGGAGATCTAGTGCAATGCTAAAAATACAAGAAACAGAAGACTCACTTCAGGGGGAAAAAGAACGTCTTTTGGGTTTACAAACATTTATTTAAACTGCTGAGTAGCATCCTCCAACAACACAGTCCTGGACATGTGCTCTGTGAGCCTCCAGCGAGCAGTTTGCGTTCCCTCACCACACCTGCACAGGGGCAGCAGCTCCTGGGACCTCTTCCAGTCCTCAGGTAAGACCCCACCTACAGAGCTGCCTCCAGCTCTGGGGTCCAACAGCAGAGGGTCATGGAGTTGCTGGAGCGAGTCCAGAGGAGGCCACGGAGATGGTCCCAAGGCTGGAGCCCCTCTGCTCTGGAGCCAGGCTGGGAGAACTGAGGGTGTTCACCTGGAGAAGAGAAGGCTCCAGGGAAACCTTAGAGCCCCTTCCAGTGCCTAATGGGGCTCCAGAAGACCTAGAGAGGGACTCGGGACACGGGATGGAGGGACAGGAAAAGGGGGACTGGCTTCCCATTGCCAGAGGGCAGGGTTAGACGGAATACTGGGAAGAAATCCTTCCCTGTGAGGGTGGTGAGGAGCTGGAATGGATTGCCCCAGAGAAGCTGTGGCTGCCCCATCCCTGGAAGTGTCCAAGGCCAGGTTGGACGGGGCTTGGAGCAACTTGGCATAGTGGAAGGTGTCCCTGCCTATGGCAGGGGGTGGGATGGGATGAGCCGCCCGCAGCCCCCGCCCCGCTGACACGGCGCGTTCCCCTCGGTCCGGGGTCCCCATCTCCTCCTCCCCCCGGTCCTGGTCCTGCTCCTTCATCTCTACCTCCATCTCCCCTCGGTCCCGGGGGGCTCCCCCTCCTCTTTGTTTTTGTTTTTGGCCTCGGTCTCGGTCTCGGTCTCGGTCCCGGTCCCCCCTCTCCTCCTCCTCTTCCTCCTCCTTCCCCATCACCATTCCCCACCTCCCTCTGATCCCGGGGGCTCCACCTCCTCCCCCTCCTCCTCTTCCTCCTCCCTCTTCCGCATCGTCATCACCCGGCGCCGCCGGGTTCTGCTCAGCGGCGGGTCCTGCTCCTGGGACTCTGCGGGACTCCGCGGGATCTCCCATTTCATTTCCACTCCCCATTTCCACCCCCTCCATCCATGACCCGCTGGGCGCGGCGGAACATCCCGCCCGGGGCGAGGGCGCTGGACGCGACCCCCTGGGAAGAGATGGGGGGCCCGGGAAAGGATGAGGAGGAGGAGAAGGAGAGGAGGAAGAGGAGGAAGAAGGAGTATGTGAGCGAGGACGTGAACGGGTTCTTGGCGCACCGGAAACAGCAGCAGCAGAAGGAGGAGGAGAAGGAGGCGCTAAGGAAGGACCGGCGGCGGGAGAGCAGGAGGGTGAGGAGGCAGGAGAGAAGGAAGAACGCCATGGTGAGTCCTGTGCCACGCAGAAGAGGGACGTTCCCTTAAATTCTTAGTGTTTGATCAGTCTGCCAGAGCCCTTGGAGGGCTCACAACAACACTGTGCAGAAAACACCCTTTGTTAATATCGTTGTGACAAGTTCGGGGATTGCCGGTGACAGTGTCTGGCTGCAGAGATGTATTCAAAGCAATTTACTAATTCAAAACAAAATACGAATTCAAAGCAAATTCTAATCACTAATAAGAGCTGACTGGAGGTAATGATTCTGCACACAAAGAGCACGGTTCTTACCCAGGGAGTCCCTGTGGGGCAGAGAGAGATTCAGTCCATCGACTGATCCCAAAAGTTAGACTGGAGTCTTCCCAAACTTCTCCCCGTTCTTAACTTGCTTTTATACTACTTCTTTATGTTTAGGGGGAGCTTGAGTGACTTTAGTCACACAGCTTAATCAGTGAGGGGTAGTCATACCTTGAAGGTGGGTATCTCAGTCCAGTACCTGAGGTGGCTTTGGGGTGGGAACACAATCAGCCCAAGGAGAGGGATTTCACCAGGGCTGCTGATTGAACAGCAGGACATGATCCTTTATCTCACTTGGTTTTCAGCTGCTGTGTGGCTTATCGACTAAAAAGTACCATCAAGTTCCCTCCTTTGCAAGGGGTCCACGGGAGCCATGGGGTCTCCACCCTCCCTTTAATCCCCCTTGGATTGTGTTGTGTTGGAGGGGGTTCAGTCCAGGGAGTGGCAACCCTATTTTCCCCTATAATTTCCATACCATTATCTTTTTACCTCCAGTCATTTTCCCCCAACGTTGTTAAACCCCCAGGAAAACCCATGTGTGGGAGGTGCAGATCCCCCTCCCTGTGCCGGTGCTGCCAGGGGGGCTCAGTGAGGACCTCAGCCCTCACCTCCCAGGGGGACACAGCATGTCAGGTGAGGCTTCAGGTGAATAAAGTGAAGTCCCTGGAAGTGTCCAAGGCCAGGTTGGATGGGGCTTGGAACAACCTGGTCTAGCAGGCGGGTGTCCCTGTCCATGGCGGGGGGTGTTATGACATGGGCCTTAAGGTCCCTTCCAACCCAAAACATTCCATGATTCCATGGTCCAGGGCGCGCAGTTGTCAATGAGTGAATGCCCCAAACAGTGTGTTGCTACGAAAAGGAGAAAAATGTCCATGATAATGTGGTTTGATGGCACAGAGCACTCACAGTTGTTTTGTGGCAGAGCACAAAGTCTCCTTCCCTGCCTGTCTTTCCCTGAGGAGAAAATCCCTTGGTGTGTTTGTCTTTTAGGCTCTGTAATGCCGGGATTTGCAGGTCTTTGGTTGCCATTCACAGAATCACTGAATTTTTCTCTTCAAAGGTGTGTTTCCACTGCAGAGAACCTGGGCATGGCATGGCTGACTGTCCTGCAGTCCTGGAAAGCCAAGACATGGGGACGGGCATCTGCTACCTGTGTGGATCCACGGAACATGACATCAGCAAATGCAGAGCCAAAGTGTATCCAGCCAGTGGTGGGTCTCAGAAATTTTTTGATGTTTTGAGGAACTTTCGTCTGAGTTGTCTGACTACAGAAACAGCAGCTTTTTGTGTTAGTAATTTAACTCTTGCAATATGATAATGAGAAACCTCACGTGTGTTTTGTACATAAAGTAAGATATTGTCATTGCACTCTGTTCAGTTTGTGGCTTCACAAAGGTTTTGATGTGCATCATAAGCCCTGTGGGATTTTGCAGGGCCATTTCCGTATGCAAAATGTTTCATCTGTGGTGAGATGGGGCACCTTTCAAGGTCATGTCCGGATAATCCCAAAGGACTGTATGCTGAAGGTGAGTGTGCTGATTTACTAAATTAAGTAAAATCTAATTTCTGTGTCGTTCTTACCCGATACAGAGTAAAGTAACATTGCAAGTGAATGAAGACTTGACTAAAAGGAATTTCTGTGTCTTTTTTGGTGAAAGCAGAGTAATTCTAGGGAATTCATTGTCAATTAATTATCTGGGGATTTCTGTTTTAATTGTAAGCTTAGTGTTAAACAACGAGATGACTGCAAAGTGTGAGAATTTGCTTGTGCTTCAATATCAAGAGATACACAAGGAAACAAAATCATGTTGTAGTCAGTGTATATTTACATGTTGTGGTGGTTTGAAACTCCCAAGGATCTAATTTTTAAGTTCAAGCCCCCCTCCCACAGTCTGCCCCTGTGAGAGGGTTTAGTGATGGTATGGACTTGATATCTTTTTCACCTCATGTGGAGAGTTTTCAGACAAAACACAACCATTCGCTATTGGGGGAAGGGGAAAATATTTACAAAGGTTTATTTACACCCACATATATATATTTACATTGAATTAAATTCCTCTTTTCCTTCAATAAAAGTCCAAGAAGGAAAAAAGAGAAAAGTCCTTCTGTCACTCCTGAGGCCACACAGTTCCCTTATTTCAGTTTCCTGTGGCACTGGCTAGTGTCCTTTTCTTAAGGCAGCAGATTTAAGTATGGCAGTCAGGATTTTTGGTTCTTACTTTGTGGAAATTCCAACCCCGAGCCCGAGCCTTCGGGGGATTTCCTTGTAGATCTTCACTCCTCTTGGGGTAGAACATTGAAGGCAGCTTTCAGTTCAGTCTTACCAAAGCTCTTTTGCTCTGTCTCGGCTCGCCAGCATGATAGTAGCAACGGCAGCAGCAGCAGAGGGCACAGCCACCTCCCCCATGTTCCATCCTGGCTCAGCTCTCAGGACAACTCCAGGTTTCTCGGCTCCTTTCTCTCTCTCTGAAGCTGCTGCTGCATTTCAGGACTCCCTAAAAGTTTGGAAGTCCACCCCTGCTCTTCAGCAGGTCTCTGGGTTTTGGGAAAGTAATACAGTCTTACCCCAAACCAGTTCTGTTGAGTTTTCCTCTGTTTTATTGCCAGCTCTCCCTCCTGCAGGAACATCTCTGCGTCATGCAGCCAGCTTCACATTATCTTGTTGCTACTGGCTATGTTTTTGGCTTTCAGCCATCGCTGTCTCTGTTCAGGACTGCTCTGCTGCCGCTTTCAATGTCTTCTGCTGCGGCTAACAGTAGGAAACTCCTCCAGCTCTTGATTACGGGACCCGGTCCAGTTTTGACACTACACCAGGTCTCCCGTAGCCTCAGCTGGGGCTGGGGGCTCTTGGCCCCCAGAGGGGCTCACTGGCCCCCTGCTTCCTCGTGGCTCAGATCATGGCTACCAACCTACTAAAACTACTTCACCACCTTCTCTTCCATTGCTGTGGGTATGTAATTTCCGTAGGGCGCATATGAACCTTTGATTGGCCCAGTGTTATCAGTGGGGCAAACCATTGCTGCCCCAGAGAAAAGGTTTTTCAAATCACCACACCAAATTAGGTGGTAAAAATGTACTGTCACCCTATTAAGATTTTGGGAGGTGGCAAATCTCATTAGAAGAAGGATATATTTGGTTTGAGTGACTTTAATGAGAAATGGGATCCAAGTTTGAAGGTTTCATTCAGATTCTGCTCTTCTTGACTTCCCCATTGGCACCAACAACCAGTAACCTGTTTCCCCAGTACAAACTGGGGTCTGGCAAATTCCAAAGGGTGATCTTGCAGCACAGTGAAAATGGGAGAAGAATCACTTTGCTTTCAAATGTTTGGATTAGGAGTAGAATTTAAATTTCATATCTCAGTTCCTGCCGTTGGATTACCTACCTCTCAGGGGCTCCTGTCAACTTCAGAAAGTTCCTTTGAGTATGACTTTTGGCAGAATGCAGCTGGTTTCTCAAAAAGAGAGCTTCCAACAAATCAGAAATGGTATGTGGTTCTGTACAGAGCAGTACACAAGCAGATCACAAGCAGCTCTGTCCCTCAGAGACATTGTTGGGTGGTTTGCTGGTTTTTGTTTTCCTCGTGAATAACAACTTTCTCTGTGAACAGGTGGGGGCTGCAAACTTTGTGGCTCCGTGGAGCACTTCAAAAAGGACTGCCCAGAGAAACAGAACACAGGTGAGCTGCAGGGGACTGTGGGGTGGAGTTTGAGGCCAGCAGCGTCCATTTACTGGTTTGCCTGACTTTGGTCAGGAAAAAGGGTTTGGGAGAACTTGGAACAGCAAAGGTGACCTTTCTTTGGGAATGAGTGCTGATATTCAGGGGTGTGTGGAGGAAGGCAGTGAACTGCAGTGCAAAACTAAGATAGTTCTTGTTTAACAGAAAGTTATCTTGTGTGTTGCCAAAGGTGATATGAGATAATCTGTATTTTTTTGGCCAGTGTTTGTGCTGCTGTTCATAGCTTGGCTGCTGATTTTTGATGATTCCGATGTGAGGTGGTGGAAGTGAACACAATGTCAGGTGCAAGGTGGTGGTGTGTGCAGACAGGTGTGTGCAGACAGGAATGGGGGAGAAAGAGGAGACAGGATGTGTGTCCAGTTGGATCCACAGCTAATGAGCTGCTTTCTTACATGTCCTTCAGTTTTCCACTGTGGGTGGAAAAATTATATAATGTACCCCAAAACCCCACTGCGCTCAGGGAGGCAGAAGCATAAAAAAAGGGTTTGAAGAATGATTCTGTTACCACCTGAAGTGGTGACAACATCTGTGATTTTTTCTACTTAGTTTTTATGGTGCTTAGAACTTCTGGGTTAATAGTAACTTTGGTGAAATTTATGTAAGAAATATTTATGGATGCAGTAGAGGCATTTTCTGTATCTAATTTTACATATATGATATTGTTAGATCTGTTACATGAAATGTAGCATTTTAGGTGCATGCTGCTTAGCCAGCTTAGAGTGGGTGGGATTGAGTCTGAAGAGAAGTTTCTAACACAAAAAGACTCTTAAATTAAATTTCCCCAAACTCATCAGCAGATAGTTGGGCAGTGCCCACCCAGGTGACTGCTGCGTTGAAAGCCTGTAAGGAATTCTTTTCTACCTCTTTCTGCTTAAGTTTTACATCCACAATGAAGACTGACTAGTGCTGTTCAGTTTGTCAAGGGAGATCTTTGCCCTTACATTGGTGTTTCAAAACTGGTACTGCTGGTTTAAAACAGTTGAATTAATTGGAACTGTGACACCGTTGGTAAGAACTGTGATATTCTGTGAAATCAGTTTGCATCATGCAGAGTACTTTTAGATTACAGGAAGAATTACAACTGGCAAAGAGGTTTAGGTGCTGCAGCCTCTAATTTTTTCAGGTGGATTTATTGGGCCTGCTTTAATATAAACTTAGGTTTATCTGTGTGATACTCTTGGTATGATTTGATTTGTTGCCCTCGTGGGCCCAGCCTTGCTCAGATGTGAAGATTTGATGCTGGCAGTGCTGAGCCTTTCCCCACCCTGTGTGTCCCCCTGCAGAGCAGGTGACAGTTGGGCGATGGGTCTCTGGAATGAGCGCAGACCACGAGGAAGTCACCGAAGCACCACAGCTGCAGAAGCCAAAAGCCAAAGTACCCAAAGTTGTGACTTTTTGAAGGTCTCTTGGCCCTTCACTGCTGCTTTGCTGCAGAAGAGTGACTACAGAGAGCTGGTTCCAGAAAATCAAGCAGAATGCTGCTGAATTGTTATTTTTTTGTCTCCCTTCATTTTTCCAGTTTGCCTCCCAGACTCCCCCAGCTCCCTGAAAAGCTAGGAACAACAGAAATACACCAAGCGGGTATTTTACTAAAGGGATTCTGGGTATTTTTTAAAGGTTCTTGTTGGGTTCTGGCTTGGTTTTGCCTTCTCCTTTTAGGAATAACCGATTTATTCCTCTATATGTCCCAGCCTGGCACATATGTAACTTCTTGTGGTGAAGTTACAGGTAAGCCCCACGGCCTGTCGAGCTTGGGGGTGCAATTCCTGCTACTCGTGGTTGTAATTAACAGTCATTAACTTGATTGTTAGTGCATGTTGGATTGTTTATTTGTTCAGTAACAAACAGAATCATGCCCTGCCTTTGATATCTGTGGTGAAAAACACCTGAAAAGAGCTGGAGAACAAGTGAGAAGTTTGCTTAGGTTCTTTACTTTTTTTCAAGGAAAATGCTCAAAAATCTTCATTGTTTCTATCTCTTGGCAAGTTGGGAATGTGTACTACACTTCCTGCTAGCTGGCAGACCTGCTGTTTTAAATGGAGACTGCAGCCTTAGAAAAACTGAGGCATATTAAAGAAAAGTTAGGAAATGGGGAGTTAAATTGTGTGGATATATTTTATATTTGTACATGTTAATTATTTTTAATAAAAATGCTGCTAAAGAATATAATGGTTAGAGCTCTTATTTTAGGTTTCCTGGTTCTGCTGTGGAGACAAGGGCACACTAAGTTGACTGAGATGGGGGGGTGTATATTCAGTTTGTATTCATCAGAGCACACATTTAAATGGGTAAGAAGAGTGGATGTGAATGAAATCAAGAATTAATTACAGAGTTTTAATTAACTATTGGATTAAAGCTCAAAACAGTGTCACTTCTATGTGGACATTTTGCAGTGGGCATCCTAATGTTACCCTTTCTATTCTATGAATTAAATATATTGTCCAAAAAGCATCTTTTTAGATAATTTCTCAATTCTTTGGCTTTGTAACCCGTTCTCTTATGCATAGGAACCTGGCGCCACAGACTTTGAGTGTCCTAGTGTTACCAGTACATCCGAGTGAGGGCTAGCGTAGGCAGTGGGGGTGAGCCGTGGGTCAATCTTCAACTCACTCAGAGCAATCCTCAGTAATTGTTGGACAAAACTACACCTTAAATGCACCCACTGATGATTTCACAGAGGTGGATGTAGCTGAAGAAAGCTGTTTGAAAAGCAGCTGTAAAAGGTGCTGCACGTAAAGGTGTAAATAAATGTACAGTGCTTGGTGCAGGCAGCATCCAGGTTCTGTCCCCACTGTCTGTGTTCAGGGCCAACATTAGGTGTCTCTCTTCACCAAAAATTGGGATCTTGGAGGCTTCTCTGCCCAGCCCAGGGCCTGTCTGCCCTCACCTGCACCCAGCAGGACTTGGGGAGCTGAGCTCCTGGTCCTGCAGGGATCTGGGCCTTCCCAGGGCCAGCTGAGCCAGGAGGTGACAAGCAGCGCCTCAGTGGCTCCTGTGTCCCAGGGGGGCTGTCCCTGCTCCCCAGAATGAGGAGCTGCACTTCACCCTCGTGATGACCATGCTGATCCAAAATCAGGATCTGGGTCTAAGGATGGTCCGCCAGAGCCCAGGACCTGCCTCCCCGCCTCTATTCCAAGTAGAAGGAACAGCTGTGTGTGCCATAGAGTAGCCAGCCCCGGCAGACAGAGCTGGTTTCACTAAGGCTTTGTACCCCAGCTAAGCCAGACCTGTGGAGAGCCCAGGTGACTCAGGTGTTGCAGCACCCTGAGGGCTTCCAGGGCTTCCCTTGGTGTCTCTCCTGCTGCATTTCCCATATGCAAAATGTGCTGCATCCTATGAATCCCTGAAGAGAGCTCTGGTTTGGCTGTAGGTTGAACTGAGGATATGTTTAAGTGGGAACTCTGCCAGACCCTGAGAACTCTCCCTGTACCAGTTGTGATTCTGCAGTGAGATCAAGTGGCCCTGCTGCAGCTCATGCTTTGATCCCCCTCACATCCCTGTCCATGCCAGGATCTAACTGCTGATGAGCACACTCATTCCTCTCAACAAGGCTCTTTTAAGTAAAAATAAGAGCACACACCACAATAAAACCTCTGAAAACATTCCCCCTTTTCATCTGCGAGGGAGTGGATCCAAGAGTTACTGTTCTGCTCCACAGCCAGGCACTGAGGTTGCCAGCAGTCCCCATCACCACCACAAAGCAGCCATTCTGCACCCCAGATATCCTGTAATGAAATTTGTGATGAATTTGTAACCTCAGAAATAATAATTTATTGGAAGTCACACATAAACAGACAAGTATTAAAAGCAGCAAACTCTAATTTACATGGGCTGTAATCAGTTTATAAATAATGGGGGTGCAAAGACTTGGACAGCCAGGTCAGAGCACAGGGAAAGCTACTTGGTAGCATTGGTTTGCAGGTTACAAGGGGTGGTATTTACAGATTTAAAACTGCCTGGATGCCTTTTCATACAGTATAACATTAAAATAGGGAAACAGTCTCATGAGCTACAGCTCCACTGAGCCAAGTTCTGCCTCCATTCATACAAAATTCATTAATGCAATAAAAGCAGAATCTGTCCCTTAATCTTTTTTAAATTAAAAATTGAATTTGGATCCTAAGGCCTAAGCTCAACTTGATAGCAGATGCTTGTAAAGGTATTCTCAGGTTCAAGCCCAACATTGGCTACATGATCCAATGTAAGTAACCTGTAGAAAAATGATCAACACACTTGCAGGAATTTAAACCAGAATTGCTGGATAATCTTCAGATGTCCCTTCAGAAATCTGTTTTTAACTTTAGTACGTGCAGCCTTTCATCTCCAAGAACTTTATACATTCCAAAGCTGTGTCTTCAATGGATTTTGATGAGCCGGCGAGATTTGCAGCTAAGTAAGGCATCACTCCTGATGTCATTTGATTGAAGTAACACACCTGTTTGAACAAAAAATGAGACAAAAAAAGCCTGTGGATTGCAAGAGTTAGCCATTTTTTGCAGAGCCTAAATGAGCATCAAAGTTTTTATGGATGTGAATAGAAACACACAGTGCTTCTGAAACTGAAGGTAATAATTTGCAAAAAGCATGTCTTTTCACAGCACTTCAGTGATCTCAGTGTCCTCGCTGCTCTCAGATCCTCAAGCATCTGCAGGTAGATGTACAGAGCAGTACAGCAAGAAACATTATGTATACCCTGTTAAATATACGTGCTTTGTGAACAAAGCTGTTGCCTGAAAAAAATAATTGCAGCCACTAAGAGCTACTGAATATTTTCACCAAATGTGTTTTCTTAAATGGAAAAGTTTTGGTCTTCCCATGGAAAAGAACAAGAAAAGAACATTGTCACTCATCCAGAGATGGGATTCAGATTGTGTGATTTCTGGCATATGAAAGTTAGAGTTAGGAATTTAGTCGGAACTATTTTCCATGGACTTCCTCTGTAGTCAGTGAAAAGAGATGGACACCTCCAGAGACCAGTTTAATGCACACCTTCTAGAAGTGTGTTTTAGGAGTGAATGAATGACTCTATAGGTGCACAGCAACCTCCAGTGCCTAGTTTAGATCTCATTCCTGACAGACAGATTGGCCAAAGTTGGGTAGAGCAGGTTCCACACAACCAGACTGGGGGAACAGACCCATTTTTTGGTTTGTATTTTGCTGTTGCCTTCACAGGTTGTCAGTGACATGCACAAGTGATGCTCCCTGAAGGGAGGCAGAGCTGAGGCCTCAGAGCTACTCACGGTACAGGAGCTGCTGGTGCTGGTGTGTATCTGGAACCCGGCACAAAGGACTTCACTCCTGGAGAACTCCGGGGATGGGGGCACTGCCCTGAGGGTCACCGACCTCACAGCCACAGTGTAGGGTTCACTGTGGGCAAGGAGAACTATCAAACACTCCTTCTTGTCCAAAAAGATACAGAGAAGTGAGTACAACATACACAGCTGTACCAAAGGTGTCCCTTTCATATGAAGGTAAATAAGCTCCTGTGTGTTCACCTGTACTTGTTGAAGGGCGGGGCTCTCCTGGGTCTCACTGAGGCTTTATAAGACCTCTGTGGAAAGCCAAAGAACAACCACTCACATACAACATGTCCTTTTTTAAATTTATCCTGCTTTCCACAACCCATGTTTACAGAACAGCTCTTACTAAGAAGCAGCCCCAGCAAAGGTTTTCAAATTCATTCAATCCCCTGATGTGAGGGTAGAAAGCAAGCCCAGTACAGAACACTGCCTTTTACTGTTACCTTGAAGAATTACTGAATATAAGAAAAGAAATTGAGACTAAAGAAGGATAAGTAACACCAAATGGTCCCATTTACCCGTGTTTCATTATGCAAGAACAAAAGGAAATCCCATAAAAAATAAAAAGCAGTGGATGTTAAACTGATCAAGGGACTTGGCAAAATTTACAGGTAAAATAACTGCATGAGGTTTCAAGATAAGAAGATCTCCAGAAATATGTTGAATGGGACTACAACGTCAGTTAAAACAAATAACAAGACAAATTCCCAGTTCAGTGCCTCAGCTCACTGACAGGCCTTCTGGGACATGATATTTTTTCCTAATTTGCCCGTTTGGAATTCTGGCCTATTTTCCCTCTAGACAGACCACTCCCAAAGAGTCACCATCAGAGAAGCAATACTGGACTATGCTGCAAATTTGTGATGATCCGGATTTACTTCACTGCACCTTCATGTCGCAAAACAAATCTGGTTGTACAAACACAGGCATCAACATACTAATCTAGCTTCTTAAAAAATAAAATCTTTGTCCCCCAATGACAGGAGAAGGTCAACAGAACCCAAAACTGTGGCCCCAAAGTGCTCACAGTGAAATGCAAAAGCCCTACTCACTGTGGCTTGCAGGGTTGCCTTTGAGACACGAGAATCACAAAGTCTCTGGATTCATAGCCCCTTATGGGGGGAGACGTCACATAATATATTTTCTCCTCTTCACTCACAGCCTGCAGGACCTCACAAGTCCTGCAAATACATGTAACACACACATGCAGGCCCTGATGTATGCAACAGCATCCCCTTTAAAAAACCACAGTGCAAATGTGTTCCATCCTAACATTAAACTTTTGATTTTCACATTCAGGCGGCAAGAGAGAGAGAGGAACACAGAGTGAAAAATTTAGGTTTTCTGCAACACGTAATTAACATGGTATTTCTTCAGATTTCACTTGTTACAAGCTATCAATTCAGTAGAGATTGTATTTTTTCAAACATCCCTAAGTTTCCACTTTCACCTGGTAAAAACCTTTCAGGATGGAATAATTATCTGAAAGTGCTTCTCCTTTAAGAGAATATTCACCAAAACCAATTGGCATCATATTAATTCAACTGTCTCTAATCATTATTTTACACCATATAAGGTAAATAAAAACCCTCAAACACCTTTTACAGCAATTCCAAAACCTACTCCTTTTCAGATACACTTTAAAAGATTTTTTTTCTGAAAATACACATTTTGAAGAACCCCATTTCTTGATTTCTCACTTTCACTGTACAGTGAATCTGAGCATCCGTGTTCTAAACAACACAAACATGAAGGAATCCAGAGTCTTCCTTAATTTTCACAGACAGCATGCACAATATATCCACCTCATGTCGTACGCAACTTGAAGTTCTTACTAGCAACTTTTGTTTTGGTTTTTGTCACTTCTAACATACACATGTCTAGGCATGGAATTGTGTTCATTTAAGAAAGGCGTCACCTCTGTCCCATTCCTCTCTTTTGACAGTCCAGGGCACCTATAATTTGGAATCAGATTGAGTATAAATCAAATTTTAATGTAAAAACCAAAATCCACACTTTGACTAACAAATCTTTGATGTCAGCTTCTTACAACAATTTCTTCTTAACTGGGTAGAAAAGTGCCAACATCTCAGGAAATATTTGTATCAGAAAGGGTTAGTTGTCAGTGGATTCAAGGCCCTGAAGAAAGGCAGGTTCTTACAGGAAATGTTTGTCCCATTGCTGGCGCAACGTGAAGTCGGACAGAAAGTAAAAAGCCAGGTCGGATGGGATCTTAACCTGCATTTCAACCTTGAAAGATATCACATCACCCTCCTCAAGAGTCCATAATTTTATCTGAAAGAAAAAGTGAGCACGTATTGAAAACAAAGAATGACTGCATGAATATTTTAAGATTTATAAATGTTACAGATTTAGGACCTCAGCAGATTTTCTCAGGAGTACCCATGAAATACCAGATACCTTTGTCCATGCAAATCAGCCACACCTTGGCCTACGCCTCCTTCCCCTAAAGTGACTCAGCATTTCTCTTTCCAAAATACCCTTTTTTCTCTTTTCTGTGAAGCAGAGCATCCAGAGTCAATGATATACTGGAAAACTATTTCAACCCATGGTTTTGCCTCTCTTGTCCCACACTTGTAGTATCTTGTCTTGACTATTTTGGGTCTATTTCTAGTCATAGGCCTAAACCTTAACGTTAAGAATTCAAAAGGAACAACTTGTACATAACAATGCACACACAAAAGAAGGGTTGGGCACATTCCATAAATCCTGTATAATGGAACAAGATGGGTAAAAGAGAGTACTTAGAGTTAGTAGGTGTTATTCCCAAATTACTAGAATTCCTTATTATTTGTGTCTGCTCTTACTCAAGCAGCTCATTAACCAGATGCAAGCACATCTCAGCAAAGTTTCATAGCCTGTGATGTGCAGAAGGTCAGACTAAAATACTGCAACCACCTCTTCTTGCCCCCAAACATCTCTGGATTTACGTGATTTTAAAGTGATCTGCCAGTCACTAACCCTATTTCAGAAATCCAGCCTTAACAGATATCTGATGCCTCTCAATGTTTTGGGAAACATGCCCTGCAACTGGGTTAACACCAAGTTTTCCCAGCTACACGATCTTGCTGCTGGTTTTCTTAGCAGGATATTCTTCTATTAGAACTGGCTTACACAAGTTTCCTTGTTGATTTTGAGTTTATAACAATAGTAGGTGAACAGAGAGACGCTTTGCTTTCAGACTTCTGTAATCTTTTAATAGAAAAAGAGCTGGAAGAAGAATATCTGAAAGGAAAATCATGAATAGGAACAGCCTTAAGTGGCCTTTTGAGAAGACAGATAATATGGTATATATGAAAAACATGGCACATAAATTGCTGTGTGACTGGCAGTGTCCACTTGGAACTATCACGAGATAATGCCCTGCTGCTTAGAAACCTCTGCAGAGCTGGTGAAGGCAGTGTATTACAGATATACATACAGTAAAACACTGCTTTTCCTCGCCCAGCTCTTGTGGTGGAGCACAACTCAAGTGGCTGTGCAGTGACTCCACAATGATGCACTTACATCATCCAGCGTCCTATTTATTTCCCATCCTGGTTTTGCTGCCAGGTGTATCAGTGCTGCTACGTTGTTGTAACTCAAATATGCCTGAAATGTAAGACACATGTCTGAAAATGAAGGGGTAAAAGCACATTACACTAAACATTGCAGAAATGAGACGCTCTTTTTTTCTATCATTACCCCTCAACTGCAAACAAATGTTTATTTTCCTTATAAGTGAAAACACAGCCTAGTAGTTTCTGAATTAAACTTCCAGTGGGTAGATTATGTGCTCACATGGCTGTTGGCAAAGTAACCTTAATTAAAGAACAACAAAATACTACTTTCAGCTTCCGCAGGTATAAAGCAGTGCAGAAAAACTGTGACCACCAGGGAGATAACACAGGCAACCTCTCAGACCACTAAATTAATGGTTTTGTCCATCTTCTTCCTAAGTAATTAGAATCTACTAGAAAATTAACCTCTTCTTTGCTATCAAGCTGTGGTCCATCTTGGCAATTGGTTTACACAGCAGGCTCACAGCAGAGAAAGTGCAAATATATCCATTATTTATGCTTGGCTACAGTGGATGGAGTTCTCATTTAACCACCATATAAAAAGAACACAGCCTTAGAGTCTTTCATGACAGGTTTTAATTTCATAGTAAATAAATCTTAAGTAAGCCATTTTTATCAGTGTGTGCATGTTTACAATCATTGTTTTTCAGAAAAAGAAAAATGCTGCTTCAAACAGTGGTGATGCCTCTGTTAACAGCAAATCCCTTCCTGCATTATAATTCTCAACTACTTATTTTTTCATGTAATGGGAGTAGATGAATGCAAATTTATGTGAGCTACTGAGATCTTAAATGCAATGAAAATTTAGCCACAAAAACTGGACACTGAAAAGTTGTCTGTAAGTCCCTCTAAATTCAAGTTCATCACTATTCACTGCGTAACACAGGCACAGTCTTACACACCCAAAAAGTCTAAAAAACCACGTTTTTATGCACCTACAGATTACCTGGTTGCTTCTCTCCCAGGGTTCAGAAGGTTTATCTCCTTTAGCAGAGAGCATGCATTTTCTAAAACACAATTAAAAAGAGAAATAATAGCATAATTTGGTTCTTTACATTTACTTCTATGTACACTAGAAACTATCATTTTCTATAGCCTTAAGTGTCTTCTAAATACAGATATTGTATCAATTTTTGGATGCAATACAGACATGCAATAACTCCCTTTTTCTTTTCAAGGAAGATGGAGAAACAAAATAACCTGTAGAGCAAAGTAATTTTGAGACAAGTAGCCTCTAATAATTTGAGTGCATCTGAAGCAAAATTATTTGGAAATTTAATAATATAACATCATATATATATTAAGGAGACTTTGATTACTTAATGAATGATCAGGTTTTTTATAGGATGGATTATAAAATTAAGTTTTCAAAACCAAGTCCTCCTTGTAGCCCAGCTATACCTGGTTAGACGAATTCTCCTTCGGGCAATAGCTCCATGGTATCTTCTCATACCATCCTTCATCAAAAGTAAACCAGACAGTAACACATCTGATTATTTTAGAATAAAGTTTGAAAAAAGACCACTAAAAATTATTTTTTACAGATTAACAAATGCCAGAGAAGTAATACAGGCAAGTAAAAAACTGTACTTTGTACCTCACCTTTCCCCAGATCAACCCAAGTCAGGGGTTTATTTTTGGCTTGGAAATATTCCCTTAAATTTGAAAAAACAATGTGATGAAAGAGTTGTATCACAGTTGCTCCCTCTTAGTGCTTTTTGGTTGTAAACCAGTGGCAGCTGGGCAGTGAACCACACACATTTTACTCTTTCTAAATGTGCCACCAGCAAATAAACTATCAATCCAGTTCATCATCATCTGGTGTCCAAAGCACGAAGAAAGCATGGAAAAAATTTATTTTATTTTTTTAAAGTCAGTTTTTCCTCTTGGAACAGCCTGTAAAGTGCACAGTGAACTTTACTACTTCAGTTAGTACTTGGGACACCTTGATTTATTTGTCTAGTTGCCATTCTATAAAAGATAAGATCCCTGATGTTAAAAAATCATTTCATTTCTGCTAATGCTGGCTCTCTAAAATTCTTCTAATTGGAGCAGGAAGGTTCATGACAGGTGACATCACAGCAAATAATTTAACAAAGTATTCAAACTGCTTCAAGTGCTTCATGAACCACTTTGAGGGCAACACATGCTGAGATCTTCATGTCCAAGGGACTGGAAAGCACACACAGATCATGGGATTTGTTTGATTCCTCCTTTTTTATTAAATCTATTTCTCATCTTTGTGAAGGATTTCTAAAAATAACTACTAATACTGTAGAGTTTTATCTACAGTCAGTGGAAATTGCATAAAACATACAGACAGGTGGAAAAATCTCCAAAAAGCAGATTTTTCTTCCCTGTCCTGGTAGTAGTGATGATCTGTTGCACACAGAGTGTGCTGGGCTGGACCAGAGCACCTCAAACATGCATCCCTGCGGATGAGAGCTCACCTCTGTTGTGGGTTTGACTTTGGGGAAGGGGAGCAGCTGTCCTTTGTCATTCACAGCACTAAAGATGAGGAATGCACTGTTAATGTGCCGTGGCTGGTCCTTGATCCACTCCTCACAGTCATAAGCCTCAACACGGACACCAACCTCCACACTGAAAGAAAAGTTTATATTAATTATTGAACTACTTCAAATGGTGCAGAAGAAGCCCTGAGACATGCTAAAAAGGACTGCTCTGCACCCAGGTGTGTATGAATGAAATACCTTCTGTAGCATACCAAATAAATTACTCAATCTGGACAGACACATTTCAGAAATAAAATAAAAGATGGGAGTAGCTAAGTAGCATTAACAAAAATAAGTGATAAAATAGAACCCGGATCTGCCAACAGATGTCAAGACGGGTAAGCTGGAATATTCTGAAGAATCATTGCTCTGGGACCAACTGAACCCTTGGAAATCAGTGAGTTTTAGAGGAATATTTAGTAACTGCGTTTGCAGGAGTGAGATTTGGTTACAAATGATCTTTGAAATGAAAGTCAGGGAATAAATTTTTTTAAAACTTCCAGTGAGAAAAGCAAAAAAACCTCCACATATAGACAGACAGTTTTAGATATAGATACATCCTTCAAAGTTTCAGCTGAAAAAATAATTCATTCAGGAACACAATTCTCCTGGATTTCAGGCTGAAACCTGAAATACACAGTTTAGGCCGGTGCTGGAGAAGTCAAGGAAGACAAACAGATGAGGAGCTTCACCTGTTCTGGAAGGTGTTGTTCACAATGGCGTTGAAGACGAGGTGGTCGCCCACAAAGGAGGGTCCCCAGAACTTAAACATGTTCACTGATTTCAGGACAGGGTATGAACGACAAAGGCGGCTGGGAAAGAAAGCGAGAGAGAGAGCAAAACACACAATCATGCTGAGGAACCTCCTTTGTTAGGTCTGGAGTGGGAAGGGATTAGAGCAACAAGGTTTGCACAACCCAGAAGGTCACTACATTACACTAATTTACTCCATAACCCACTGGAATACACTGATCATGTTCAGCTCTAAGAGCACATAATTTGAGCTTCAAACATAATAATGCCACTTATGTCAAGCTGTTTCCTTTTCAACACATTTTACAAACACCAATTAATTCTCACTGCTTGATACTACCCTCTTTCAGAGCCAGACCATGAATCTCTTACCTACAGAGTAACCACTTATTTCACAGTTTCATTAAGCTCTGTATGCATAGGGAGTACATAAAAATGCCAGCTCATAAAGCCTTTGAACAATTAAAAGAAACCTGAGCAGAAAGGTTGAGTACCAGAAAGAGTGTTCACACAAAGCAAAGTCAGTCTATCTATTCTTTTTAATATTTGTACTTTTTTTTGCTTGTTTGTTAGACACTTTCTGCTGGTGTGATAAGAAATAAGAACAAAAAAACTACTTGTTGTTGCCAAATGCAGTTTGTGTAAATGGGATCTAGTTTGCAAGCTCTCTGGAGTGGGCAAAAATTAGGTTTCTTCATCAGTTCTAAATGCAGTCAAAGCCCTTCACTTTCTACTGGGATCTCTGTGCATCACACAAGTTGGGAACAATACACAATAATGCCATTTATTTTTAGACTCTGAAAAAACACGCTGTTCTCAGTGAGAAGCCCATGTGCACATCTGAGAATAGATTTTTCATTGTGCATCTTTTAAATTTGAAAACACAGTTTTGCAGCACTCCTAGCCTTTAACTGAACTGCGCTTTGAAAACTAATGTACCGGTATTGTTAAATACACATAATTATCTGCAGCTAATTAACTGACTGGTACATCTATTTAATAGCCTAATACATTCAAGTGACTTTGTAATGAAATTAAAAATAACTTGCTCTTCTGATTTAAAATGTTAAGCGTTGATTTTATTTACAATGTTAAAAATGCAAACACAATGTATTGAAGAGGAACAAAACAGAAATCTGGCCTAAATATTCAATTTTTCATGGTAAAGTTTGCTCTGAATGCTTTTACTGCAAGTGTAAGAAATAAGAAAATACATATCAAGTTCCAACTAATATTAGTAATATTAGTAATATTCAACTGGTTTTATCTCTATCTTCAAGATTTTCATGTATTGTCAGTCAGAACGAAGGTGGTGGGGAGGGGAGAGGGCAGAAGGAAGGTGACTAAACTTTAAAATGCCCTTAGAATTTATTTGTCAAGGGATATCCCTCCTTTTCCATTCTTCCATCAGAGTTTGCAGTCATGGCAACTCTTACCTCGTACCTTCAAAGGTCAGGTCTCGCTCTGAGTGGCCTCACAAAAGATTCATAGTGAGACCAGTTATCTCTCAAGCAAAAACCTACAAAATCTCTGTTTTCAACCAGCCTCTGACACTAGCTATTATTCCTGAATTTTTCAGCATGATAAATCATGTTTGACACTCATTAGCCCAATGGAAATTCATTCAATACTCAGTTTGCTGATATTTTCCTTCCCTTTTTAAATCTAAATGTGACTCTCACTAGGTAAAATTTATCCAATGAAAACAGGTAAATATTTTGGGTCATATTACAGCAAAAACCTGCAACAATCCCTTCAAGCTGCACACTGGGGTAAGGCCAGTGCACTGATGTTACAAAACAAGCTGTTTATCCAACCACTACAGAAAATCTGTTGTTATCAGTACAACCACTGACTACAAATCAAAACCACATGAATAATGAATGGCAAAGCCATTTAATTATTAAAGTTGAAAAGCGAAAACATATCTAACATCCCTGCAGTGAATTAGGTCACTTGCTGTGCAAGGAGAATTCAAACTGAAACTTCAGTGGTGCTCACAAAAAAGCTTTGTGCAGTGTCCAAGAACAGGAAGGGAGAAAAACAACGGTTTGACTCCAGAAGAGGAGGAATTGAATGATTTTATGACTAGTCCACACTGAGTAGCAGTGTCACAAAAAATACTTTGTACTTGGCTTTATCCTGATTTAACAATTACCTCTGCTTTTAAACACTGCACCAACCAAAAGGAGGGCAAGTTTCAGTTCCTGCGTCCAGTTCTGACTTTCTGCAGAGATTCCCAGAGAGGATAACACACTCTCTTTGGCCTTAGGGTCTGTATGTGCAATATTTGACTCTGAATGCGGCTGTAGGAGCTGTACCACATAAATAGTTCAAGAGTCTCCTGCAATGTGAGGAGGAAGAAAAGTCACAAAGGTCTGGGTCTCTATTCTTCATGAAATAAATCCCTGTGAAACCCTTAATATCTAAAGCACATCTATTTAGAACCATATGCAGAGATTGTGGTATAGGAAGTACCTTGCTGAAATACTTGCCACTGTCTCCATCCAAGCCATGATCTGGCCACCAAAAGTGTTTCCATGATGGTTTGCATGAGGAGGCAGGACAAGCTCAATACTCTGTACATGAGTAAGTTCAATTGAAATTGCATCTTCCTCTTCAAAAGTATCTGAAATATGGCAGCAATGTATCAATGAATTTTTCAGAAGAAAATGCACCCTATTACTGAAGTGTGCATTTGCTTCAGGCATCGTGAAAAGAAGAAAAACAGCAAGATGCAGAAGAACCAGAGCCCTGTTCATCACTTATTCAAATGTCTTTCAAAGACTTTGCCACTGTGTGTGATTGGCATCTGTGCAAATGTGTCTAATTAAGGTTAGAGTATGACATGATTATGTCAAACTTGTTACAAATCTTGTGATTACCTGAGACAACATATAACAGACAAAAAAGAGAAAAAGGATCTGGATCGGTGATCACCTTCCATTGTCTGAGTATTTCCAATATCACTTTCAAATGTTTAGCTATACATCCTCACTCTGATCTTTGTTCTTCTCAGTGGTGTTTTGTAGGAACAGATTTAGGCACGAGATTATGTCAGTTATTTTAAAAGTGCTAAGGCTGTTTGACCTGAATGGTACTTCTGACTTTCACCATAATTAACTATCTTTGTGATTATATAAACGTGTGGAAACACATGATTAACTTGTACTTTGGACCTACTTAAGTTGTTGCCTAAGATCAACTCAGCAGACAAGGATCACTTTCTGGGTATGATTTGTACCTATTTTGCTACCTACCAGCCTTTCCATGAAATGTTTTCTCCTGTCCCCTATTTTGCTTGTAAGAAGGTGAATTAGTGCTACAATAAATACCCTTGAAGGAAGTTTCCAGGAAATGCAGTGGAGATAAAACCCATCAACCTCTGATTTGTCTGTCAGGGTATTCAACTGTACCCTGTGAGACAATTACCATTAAGACAAATAGCTTCTTTGCTTATAGCAAACAAGACTCTTCAGTTCTACAAAGTTAAGACTAGAATCTATGTTTACAACAGGTTTAATCTCTCCTCAGTAAAACCACATAATGCCTGTATTTTATACATGGAGTACATTTTCAAAATACCAGCATATTTGCTTAACTGCTGGGAATAATTTCTTTTGCAGGGGAACATAGCAACTTTTGAGCACAAGTCTCTTCAAGAACAGAAATTACTGCCAGAATAAAAGATGAACCTGTTTCTTGGCTCAGCTTTTCTAATTTGATCATTAGGTGTTTAAAAAATTTTTTTTACCTGTTTTGACACCCATGTTATGAAATTTTTCCTGCTTGTTGGGAATGATCTCATGGCATAAACATAGTTCTTAGTGCTTTCTTCAAATACATGGCCATAAACCTGAGTGAATTTTATCCCTCTATCTACACTACAGTGAGTGTCACAGGACTTTATTACTGCATTGCAAAGTTCTGTGTGAAGGGTTAAACCTTGCACATGGAACCTAGGTGAAGATCTGTATTTCACATCTATTTAGTGCATGAATGGCCTTCAATCCTGCAATTTTAAATCTGGAATTTCTGAAAGACAAAGAAATGCCACTCTATTAGAGTAACTGTCTTGCTCACCCTCACAAATCTGGCACATGGTTTTCTACATGACAAGACACCCCAAGGAGATCTATGTGTTTTGTCTGCTTTTTTACTCCCTACTAGCTGCTCACAAGTCTTTTGTTCCATCTTTTATGCAATCACCTTCCTTATTACTCTCCTTCATTAGGTTCTGAAAGATCTGGAAATAGCCCAGTCTGATTCTTCTCCTCTCAATAGCCAGGCTGTGCTCCAGGTGGTCTTCTGCAGACAGAAGCTTTACAGGTTCTAACTCAACCTATGCAAATGAAAAAGAAAAAAACCCAACAGTTCTTAATTTCACAATCATAACAAAGTGCACTTTGAACTTAGAATGGCATCAGCATTTTCTACAACCTCTTGCTTGTCCGAGATGACAAGCACAATAATACAAACAAGCACAGAATTTAAAGTTTGAGAGATTCTGCATTATCCTTTCTGGATCATTCATTAAAACTTAATGACAAAGTGCTTTTAGCTTTTAAATGCAAACATCCATGAGAGTACACAGAGTTTAAGACAGTTCTCACTTAAGAAAATAAAGGAAAAAAAAGAAAAATTAATATGAAGGTTTGAGTATTGAATTTTTGAATTACAAAGTTAATCAGTGATGTAAGTGGAAATTCCCGTGTATGTCAGTTCAATGACAAACTGATAACAAATATGTGCTGGCTTAAGAAAATTATTACATTTGGATAATTACAGAGGTGTCACTGAACATCACTTGTGTCATCTGTCTACAAGGTCTAGCCTCAAAAATAATGCACCAAGCACTGCAACACACACAGAAATTCAACATTTTGTGTCTTGCCTTGGTGCTGCTAACGTTTCTCAGCTTTTGACTCTTCCCTCAAACCCTCTTGCCATTTCCTTGCTTCCTTTCTGGTTCTTCTCAAGAACTTCCCATCTCCTTCCAGATGGTCCAGCTAACAGATTAAGATGGTGGGTGCAGAGTGGTTCTCTCTCCACAATTTTATAAACAGTTGTTCAGAAAAGTGGATTTGAAAAACAAAAAAAGTTCTTTAATTTCTCCAAGACTTTGTGATGGAATTTGAACTGAGCTCTCAAACTCCCTCTGGGACATTCCTGCTTTAAGCCTAATCTTAGTTAATCATCACCAATTCAATCCTGAATTAATCTCCCTGGAAATTTGGGCAAAAGGTAAACAGGTTGATTCCATGGATATGATATCAAACCAATAATAAAGAATTCTTACTGTTTCGGTGCTTTCAGGGAAGCAATTTGGCCATTAGCCTTTCAGTGACAAGATGGGCTTTAGTTCTGGTAAAACTGTTCCAGTCTGTTTCTTCTGCAAGTGGTAATATACCATCACAGAAGAGAAAGCAGAAATGGCTGGATATATTAACGGCTCATGGGATGACTCTGCCAGCCTCCAGTGGATGTTAAGAAAGCAGATGCACTGTCATAACATGTTCAATGAGACAGGAAAGTCAAATACATTCAAGAAAGTAGAATGCTACATAAAAAGGGATTTTGTTAAGAGAATCGGAGGAATATTTGGCCTTTCTCACAAGAAAACTTTAAAGGGATTGTGCCTGTCTGGTACAGCAATGTGAAGGCCAACAGTACCATGACTGATTTCTAAATACCTCCAGGGAGCCAAACACTGGGGAAAAGAAACAGCATTGGCATGAAAACTAATTAATATGAATGGCAAAGAATTAATTTGGATTGGAAGCTAGCTTAAAAATAACGACTTCTATCTGAATGGTGATGTCTGAACAACCTCCTCATAAGGGGAAGCAAAGGATAAAGAAACCCCACCCTCACATCCTTGCAGATTTCAGGGTTTATTTAGATCAGCCTCTGAAAAGGAGAGAGACTGTGGAGTCTCTTCCAGTGCTTGCCTCTCTCAATATTGCCCCCCTTACTACAGTTCTATGAAAAACAAATGTGCAAAAGAAAGTGGAAAAAATAATAGTAGTAGCAATAATAATAGTAGCAGCCTAACAATTTCAGAGCAGAGAATTCAAAACAAAACAAAATGAAACAACCTCATCTGTATGAAGTCTGGACTTTGTGCTCTTTTCCTATTACTGATCAGATTAAAATGGTATGATCATTTTCACTGGGTTTAACTGTCAAGAAAGTTGGGTGATTTCACAGACACTTAGTCATTTCAAGCTTAGAAGGAAACTGAAAGAATACCTTTCCAGCACCAACTGGTTTGGCTACATATGTTCCATATGCCACACTCACAGTTTTTTCAATATTAGTCAAAACATCCTGTACTGTAACCTTGATGCAAACCTAAAAGGAAGGAGAAAATAAGGTTTTTTATATTATTGTCAGTTGAGACAAAATGGTGCAGCTTTTATCAAATTTATTATGTCCAGTCTCTCTATGTAAAAGGGAAAAGGTAAAAAACTGCTTTGCTATCACTGATGCATCTTTGAACACCTGAGAACATCACAGCGTTCGCTGAGCTCTGAAGGTTTTTTTAGTACAACCACTGTTTAGTAAAATAAAACACAGGAAAGATACTGAGGTGTAGTTTTATGGATACTTCTTTCCATTTACTTGTGTGCCATTTGGAATCCCCATTTGAATCTTTCTAAGGTCTGTACGGGCTAAGAGGTCTGTCTAAATGTACAAAACACAACGAAACACTTGAAGGTGAAACACTGTATTTGTTCCCATGGATAGGCCTGACATGCATTGAAGCTTCTGGGTTTTTTTCTAATTTTTAGAGCCTTTTTTAACACATTCTCTGTGAGATGCATCACTCCTGTTAATATTAATAGAATTGGACTCGGGCACAGTGCAGAAAAAGTACCCCTAAGGTTCTGATTTCAATTCTGATTTTCAATTCTTATTTCCAATTTTCTGATTCTCAGTTCTGATTTCAAGTCACTTGGCAATGCACTGCATATTTGTTACAATATGAAGAGTAAGAACATATTTACACCTGATTTACCTATTTTTGTACCAGAAGTTTCAAAAATACTGAGAACTCCACCTATTCAGGGCATCTCATCTAAAGGCTGCTTGGAGGTCAACAGCTTTGGACTGGACCAACACCACCTCCCCCAGTACAGCTCCCAAAGACTTCCATTCTTCTGGGTCCAGTTTCTACTTTGACATTGATTATTCTCCAGGAAACACGTAATTATAATACTTCAAAACCAGAGTTTTATTACACAGTGTTATTGTTTAAATATCTGCACACGTATCTGTAACAAATAAATCTGCACGCATGTCTGCTCCCACCTCTGTTCTATTCCTTCAATATCATTGGGAATAAGAGTGGTGATCTCTTACCTCCATGCTGGTTCTGAACGCTCTGTTCACCTTTGCTTTGATGGTAATAATTTGTCCCACCCTGTTAAGAAGAATAACACCTTAGAGAATGCAAACATGCAGCTTGGTAAGGGCTTGAATGTGTCTCCCTATCTATTCCTAATAGTGAAGAAAATCTCATTAATCACTTGGTGTGTTCCATGTTGCCCTGAAAATTCACTGAAAAAGTTAATTTTTCAGTGTTTTCAGGTTAGCATTGTTATTCACCAGTCACACTTTGCTCATGCTCAATAAAATTATAGTTACTCAGAGAACTGCATAACATTTATGCTAACATTGCTTTTCCTTGCTGATGTCTGTATGACCCAGGTAGGCTCCAGGCCCCAGACAGACCAAGAAATTTTGGCTTAGATTCTGCTTTTGCTCAAAATCTTACTGTGAGTTACACCAAATCACTGAGTACATCTGGCTGCAAAGCACACAGATACACTCCACATACATCTCTGGCGTCCAGATACATGCATATGAGGAAATAATCCCAGGTCAAAAAGTGCTCTTTGACATATTCAAAGGATGGAGAAAGAATTCACAATCCAAGTCTTGGACAAGAACAGGGTTGCATCATGTCCCCCTGTCCTAGCAGCATACCTCTGAAAACCACTCTTCTCCATCTACCTACATAAAATACCTAAACAGAATTACAAATTTTTCTTTTATATTTATTGTTTTATTATATTATTTATTAATGTTTTATTGTATTACTTATTTTATTATTTATTCTATTTTTTTCTTCCTATTCTTATATCATCAAATCAAATTTAATGAGGAAATATTTTTTTTCCTTCTGGAATTTCTAAAGTACTTGTTATGTGTTGATACCAGGAATAAATCTTGTTTCCAAACCCCTAAAATCCTAACGTAAGCAATGCTGGGAAGGTGAAAGGAAGGTAGTTTCCCCTCAAGTTCTCCCATTGAGCAGAGTAGTGAAAGGACACATTGTGCATGGTAAGTCAGAGCCACAGCCAAAATAGCTGGGCATCAGGCCACTGCCTCCAGGGAATTTAAACTGACTTATGACTGCTAAAGATCAGCCTTGGGGCGGGCGAAGTGCTGCTAACTACATCCAAGACTGATGTAAAATATAGCTCAGAGCACCTGAGTACCTGTGAAACAGGCACTCACAGATAAGGATTTGGCACAGTTATGACCCCGGTTCATAAAAAAAAAAAAAGATTTCTTCCTAATTTAATAAATAGGGTTTTAAAATTTTTTTCTTCCAATGCCAGAACTATGAAAGAATCGTTGACAAACACTAGAATGGGAGATAGGAAACCTCTTCCTCTACAGGAAGCAATAAACTACACAGCAACTTTCTTGTTCACATTTAAGAGCACAAGTGGAAGCTTTTGAGTAGACAGAGGAGAAAAATGGTCAGTGGAAAGAATCAAGATCATCTGCAGGTACACAGCCCTTATTACCTTTTGAAGAAGGTATTCAGAAGCAGTATTTCCATTATTCATTGCAAAGAAAAAGCACAATCACTAACGTAACAGTTCTCAGCTGCACAGCTCATTTTCAGAAAGGAGAATGTTCAGAACAGTAACAACAGATACACAGGGGCGGAAGTCACAGAACACCACACTTACACCTAAAACTGCCAGAAACTTAATAGAATGAACTGACTATGATTTTCACATGGAACACTAACAAAATTTAAATAAGTGTAATTTAAAATTAGATGTAATTGGAAATCAGTACCGTTGAACTGCTGCATATTAAAAGACAAGGAAGAGGGATTTACTTGTTATCATGGCATAAAACTGAGTTTTGAACTACAGAGAGTTGTGGAAATTTCTGTTTCCATGTCAACTGGAAAGAAAGAAGCACAGAAGACTTAATCCTTACAGAACATTTAGTAACTTGAGTTAGGTAAATGAAGCCTTACAGTAAGTCACTTACAAAACATCTTATTAATTTACTAGAGGGAGCAGCAACAGCTCTGTTACTTATGTAAGATGTTTGTATAATCAACTGGATCAGGCACAATTTAGGAAATTCAGGATGCTAGGGATGACCTGACACTGAAAAATAATTTCTTTAACTACTCCACAGTTACTAGACTCTAAATTCTTGTAAAAATGAAATATTCCACAAGTGGAAGAAAAACTAGAGATGCATTTGGAAACAAATATGGAAGGAAAAGTATTTTCATTATATTTCAGAAACTCTGTTCTGCTCTCAGGAACAAGACAGGAAATTGCTCTGAAGCTACTAAGTATGAAGTATTATGCTTAAAAGAGAAATTTTGATTAGTTTTCACAGACAGGATTTTTTTCCTAAGGGCAAAATTAAAAACACAGAGCAATAGCAGGCAGGACAAACACTTCAATATTGCGACACAGACAAAGAAATGCTCTTCTGGGTTCTGGATTTGATATGATTATGTTCTCTGTCACTGGTTCTAGTTCTCATCCTAATGGCCACTGCTCTGAAATCATAAGTGTGAGTGGATGCTGATTTTATACTTGTACAGCAAACTGTTTTAAATCGACACCAGCTGTACCTCTGACAGCCAGTGTTGCTTTTGTTCACAGCCAAGACAACTGCATGTGCATTGGTCTGTGCAACCAGGTCTATCCCATCTAAGCTCTCCTTAATTCCCAGATTACAAGGCGTAAAGCACACACAGAAAATACAAAGTAATGGCTTTAAGTTAATGTAAAGACATGATTTAGGAATAAAGTTGCTATTTCCTCTTATAGTGTCTTTTATCCCTCTGAAAATCATGAAAAATGGTTAAAACAGGTTAAGTCCTGTGTTATCTTGTAAGAGTCAGCCAATTCAGTGATTAAGGAATGAAAAACATTTCTGGTTTTTCTACAAGAGCTGAAAGAAAGAGATGGTAAGAAATAAACCAAAAGAGCACTTGCAACAATACAAATGTTAATACAGTAACTTTTATAGGTATACACTCCTCATTTAACAGAGATACATAGTGGCCTGCATCATTCACTTTCACTAAAGCCAAAGACACCACGCCACAAGTTTCTCATCTTGGCTGCCAAGTCAAAGTAACAACAATTTATTTTTGACCTATGAAATCAATCTGTTTTCTAGGTGGGGCAGGTTATCACAGGTAGAAATGAGCAATTCTAGGACTTAGCCCTGTAACTCTGGTGAGTTCATCAGTCTGCTCTCTCTGTCTGTAATTTTATCTCTGCCAACTAAGGATCTCTGGAATGAAAACACCTGGTTTTCATTCAGCTGGTTCTGTACCTGGCAGCCTCCTCAAACTGTATGTCATCCATGGACACTGTCACGCAGGACACACCAGCATGTTTCTCAGCTTCAAAAGAGACACGGGGGCACACAGTTACCACAAGGCACGTGCAGTGAGCTATTCACCTGTAGACTTGAAACACAGAGATCACACACAGCAGATCCCAGCTCTTCCTGTGAACACCAAAATGCAAGTCTGCAGTGGGCCCCTTAGAAAAAAAGAGAAGCTAAATAAGATTAAAGTTAGTATTTATCATGATTTCATGGTAAAGGGTATTCATATTGAAGGGTAACATCACGAGATGAGACTAGATGATGACAATGATACTACTCAGTTTGAAAATTTCTATTTAATGTCGTTCTCTAACAATGAATGTTCTGATAAGAGAGCATTAACAAGCATGTTGCAGGACAGAAAGAGTCAAAAAGTGTTAAACAGCTTATAGAAATCTCAGCATTCTCCCTCAAAACAGTGTGTCATTAAAAGCAGCTCAGGTAAACCAGCATGTAAGTTTTATGACAGTTGAGGATTTTCAGATATGGGAGAAAAATCTGCTGCCTTACTAGCATGGTCATAGCAGTGGAAAGCAGGCAAGTACATGTCCTCAGTCCTGTACCAAAACTGCATGGATTAAATAAAAGCAAATGCAAACAAGATTTTAAAAAATCAAAACGAGTACTCACTTACTTACTGTAAAATATTTTTACCAAAATTTGAACTGTGTTCTTCATCTCCCTGGGATGCATTTGGTTGTGAAAAAGAATACAATCTTTTTGGATTAATTATGAAAGTTAATCTGGAATAGGTAAATATTTTCTTTACGGTTAATACTTAATAGCCTGATAGTTAAGTTTTTATCGCAAGTTATTGTGACATATTATTTATTTGACCATAGCACCTAGAGCTTCCAGTCAGAAGCTAAATCTCCACTGAACTAGGAGATGCATAAACATAGGGAACCTCTGCTTCACAAAGTTTCTGGAGTGGCAGAGGCAAAGAAGAGGAGTAGCAGGAAACCTGGAGAACAGCACTACACAACAGGCAGGAGTTCTCACTCCCAAGCAGTCCCATAATTTTAGTGAGCATGACAAAAAAAAAAGGAATTAGAGGATTTATATCAGTATCTGAGGAGTTCCCTTTGAAAATATGAGGGGAAACCATAGCCCTCCCCAAAAAGCACTGTTTAGGGCTAAATCACTGAAGGGTTGAAATCAAATCACCCTTTCATAGATCTCAAAAAACCCCCAGTGTGATCATACTGGGAAGTTGCCACACGCTAAGCGATTATTGTGTGGGACAAGTTCTCCAGCATCCCAAGTTTTTCCATATAGGAAGAGTGGATGGCATGAAGCTGCACCCAGACACAAGCTCCCCAGAAATACCCACATGGTTTATTATACGCTGCTAATGTATGCACTGGGAATGGAGTTCACTGGCAGCAGCGATGGCACAGCCTTGGGTTCTCTTTGTGCTTTCCATGTGGCTTGTGCTTCCACAAGTTAGTGAGGAGAATTTAGAAGTTTTCAAAGCTGAGTTACATCAGACATGGAGTGCTCTGCTGGCTGGATTTGTGGATGTTTCACAGAACCACAGGATCATAGAATTGTGAAGGGTTGGAAGGGTCCTCTGGAGACCACATAGTCCAACACCCTGCCAAGGCAGGGTCACTTTTCTTTTTTTTAGCATCCATGTGCCAATAATTTTAAATTTGTACTTTTCTTTTTTCTCTTAGTTCTCTTTTCTCATCCCTTTCCCCCTCTTCTGTTGTTCTCTTTTTAAATTGTCCTCACCCTCACATCCTCATTATCTTTTTTATTCTCCCCTGAGATCTGGTGTTCCTCCCCAACCCCACCAGCTGCCTCACCCTCACTGTGCCTGTTCCCAATTGAATCCCCAAAACTGCTGGGGTCCTCAAGAGAGACAGGGAGCTCCTGGAGTGGGTCCAGTGGAGGGTGACAAAGATGATAAAGGGACTGGAGCACCGCTCTTACAAGGAGAAGCTGAGGGAGTTGGGCTGTTCAGCTTTGTGAAGAGATGGCTGAGAGGGGACCTTATGAATGTATATAAATATCTAAAGGCTGGGTGCCAAGAGGCTGGACGAGGCTCTGCTCAGGAGTGCCCAGCAACAGGACATGAGACAATGGGCAGAAACTGATGCTCAGGATGTTCCACCTGAATATGAAGCTGTTGTCAGGGAAGGTTCAGGTTGGATCTCAGGAAAAGGCTCTTCCCCCAGATGATGGTTGGGCACTGAATAGGCTCCCTAGGGAAGTGGTCACGGTCCCAAGGCTGCCAGAGCTCAAGGAGTGTTTGGACAACACTCTTACGGACAGGATGGGATTGTTGAGGTGCCCTGGGCAGGGCCAGGAGTAAGACTGGATGATCCCTGTGGGTCCTTTCCAGCTCACAAGATTACATGATTCCATGAGGAAGAACTTTACCGTGAGCACTGGAATAGGCTGTCCAGAGAGGGTGTGGAGTCTCTTTCACTGGAGACATTCCAGAAGTGCCCGGACACAAAGCTGTGCCTGGACACAGTGCTCTGCCATGTGCTCTGGGACAACACTGAGGTCAGACCACGTGACCCCGCGCGGTCCCCTCCACACACCCCCCGCGACTGGGAAATCTGGAACACTTTTCCCTCCCACCTGAAACCTTCCCACAAGCCTCCCTCGGCCCCCAAGGCGGGGGGTGATCTCGCCGCCTCCTGGGCGAACAGCGGGACGAGGTTCCCGGTGTTCCGGGCGGGGTGTTCCCGGTACCTGCGAGGCAGGCGGCGGCGTCTATCCAGCGGAGCAGCTGCCCGGCGCTCAGCTCCCCGCGGGGGTCGGCGTGGGCCGGCAGGACCCCCTGGCACATGCACACATCCATGGGGGAATGTCTCATCCCGCAGCTGCCCCGGCAACCGCAGGCTCCACGCTCCGGGATCATCGCCGCCCGCCGGGATGGGCGGGACGGGCCCGCCCCGGCGCCGCGGGATTGGCCGGGATGGGCCGGGATCACCGCCTCCGGCTGCGGGAGGGCAACGCTGGGCTGAGGGAGAGGGGGGACGGGGTGAGGGGAAAGGGGGACGGGGTGAAGGGAAGGGGGGGGACGGGATGAGGGAACGGGATGCCTGTGGATAAGGAAAAAGAGTTGCCCGGGGATGAGGCGGAGGAGGTCCCCGGAATTAGAGGAACGGCGTGATGGGGCTGAGGGAAAAGGGGTGCCCGGCATGAGGGAAGAGGGGGGGTCGGGGATGAGAGGATGGGGTGCTGGGACTGAGGGGAATCGTGGAATGGTTTAGGTTGGAAGAGACCTCAAAGCTCATCTCGTTCCACCCCTTGCCACGGGCAGGGAGGGACACCTTCCATTATCCCAGGTTGCTCCAAGCCCTGTCCAACCTGGCCTTGGATACTTCCAGGGATGGGGGAGCCACAGCTTCTTGGGGAAATCCATTCCAGCCCCTCACCCCCCTCACAGGGAGGAAATTCTTCCTGATGTCTATCTAATCTAAACGTACTCTCAGTTTGAAGCCATTCCCCCCTGTCCTATCACTGCATACCCTGGTATAAATTCCCTCTCCAGCTCTCTTGTAGACCCTTGAGGCACTGGAAGGTGCTCTAAGGTCTCCCTGCAGTCTTTGCCTCTCCAAGCTCAACAACTCCAATGAAAGGGGTGCTGGGTATGTTTAGGGCACCATGGAGTAGGTGTCCAACGACTCCTGCTCCAGGACCCCTGGGGTCACCTCATGGCCTGGCACCAGCCCGTGGTGAGTTTGGTGTGTGCACTGCCACCAAAATCTCTGTAATAATCAGCTTCATGTTTTCATTTTTATTTCTTTTTTTTGAAGTCTTGCTCTCTAACGTTGTCACCAACTTGACAGCCCAGCAGGTATGTCCAGGGAAGACACATTCCCCTCTCCAGATGCAGGTGAGCCACTGGCAGTGCTGGTATAGAATTTTTAATGCCCACATCAGTAACCATGGTCCCAGTCACCTGTTCCTGCAGGAGTTAATAACTGGAGAGCTCGCAGAGAGCTCCTTCTCTTACCTCCTCCTCCGCACACAGCTGGTATAGACATTGCTGCAACACCGTTAAAATACCACCTGAGGAAGAGCAGAGCCATTGCTTTTGGACCAGTCAGGAGGGTCAACGTTTTACTACTGGCATGGATACAGTGCTATTGCTACTGAGGGCTCAACCACTTTGGGGATGCTCTGAGCTTTTCACCAGTTGTCCATGCAGCTGATGTGTTACTTTAATGTAGCAGAAGGTGTAAACTGTAAATGATTTTCAGGAAAGACTGCAGGCCTTATATTTGACTCTGTGCTCCTGCATGGTTTTAATACAGCAGCAAGGCTTTGCTTTCTGTAGCCTTTCCTTACAGCCTTTCCTCTTGGTAGTTACTATTCCAATGAGAGGCTTCCCATGTTTCTTAAAAACATATATATAAATGAGTTTATATCATAAACACTTGTTCATTTAAACATTGTTAAAGATCCAGCTTTAACAATGTCAGCTTTAACCTTAACAGTCAGGAAAATCTGAGTTTTAACCAATCAAGACAGTTTCTCAGTGTAGTAGGGATTTTCTTCCCACACTGTCTGTTACTATCACTGCACAGCTATTGCAAGAGTGTGTGTCACATACTCTTTTAGCAAGCAACAGGATGGCTGTACCATCACACTAGTTGCATTCCAGAGGATCCTGGCTGTGAAAATCAGCATGCTGTGCTATTCTCTACCTTTTTTTTCATTCTGTTACTTCAGAAAAAGCAAAGTTTGTACAGGTATCTCTTTCCTTTGGCTTCTGTGAAGGGAAGAAATAGACTTTGTTGACAGTGGCAGTGGCACACCTCATTCTCGCTACCTTAACAGGGTTTGTGAAAGGTTTGCAGCCAGTGTTTTCTCCTTCCTCATCTGCTCAGTCCAGATGACAAAAACTCAAGTTATCAGCTTCTCAGACCATGGATCGTGAATGCCAGATGGAAGAGTCTGTAAACAGAACTAAACCTTTTCCTATTTAAAAAACCTATTAACTTGTGTTTTGCCTATCTGGGCTAGTAATTTTTAAATTTGTTTCCAGGTTTACCTTGTCATGCTCAGGTATTCTCTAAGATAATGCTCATTTTTTGTTCTTCCACAGGTGGCTTTCACCTCCATTTCACACTGACTGACCCAGTGATCAGGTGTTTGGCCCAGTATAGATCTGTTCTCTGCTGTGGGATGAGGAGCTACAGAGCCTCTAGAATCATATATAGGTGAAGTAAAATCTAAATCTGCTCACATTTATAACGTTCTGGAGTGTGTGGAGGAGCAGACGCTTGGGGTGAGGAGTTTTAGAGAAACACGAAAGGTAACTTCTCTTGTTTCTGTTAGAGCAAGGGAAAGCTGATATTTGAAAAACTTTCCCAAATGAGCCTCTGCTTTCCTAAACTGCATTTCTTTTGCACTCCAGCTAAAGGAGCAAGAAGGTAAAGGAGTGTAACTGACTGCAAAGGAACCACTGAAGCTTTTTACACAGTCTCCACTGGAGTAATGGAGTATTTTACAGCCTCTGGTGTGCTTGTGCTCAGAAGATAACCTGCAAAGTCAATACTGTTCTCCTTTCACAGCTGAAAAATTTAACAGAAATTAAGTTACTGACCCCAGTTCACAGAGTGGATTTGTGTTTTTCAATGGTTTCCCAGTTGAAAAAGTACCTTTTGTGGCACAGTTACACCAGCACCTGTGGCAATACCAACAGGTGAAGGTAGCTGGACCTAAGGCAACCTCTAGGAAGCATCTTTGCGCACCTTTTCCTGTTAATAAAAGATGAGCTCAGTATGAGATGTGAATAAATCTTCTGCAAAGCCATCAGAGCTAGTAAGAAGTGCTCCAAAATGCATCCTTTTGTTAACGTTTTAAATACATATGTCAGCTACTACAGTCAATCAACTGCAACATACAGCTGTGCATCTCTGTAGACTGCATACTTCTATATTCTTGAAACAAATATATAACTGCCTGAAGTTACAAATGTTGTATGTATGCTTCTTTCATAACCCTAGTTAGTAATAGAAAAAAGGTGAGGGTTTTTTTTGACATAGCTTGTGAAAATACAACTAATTCTTGTAAAATGAAACTTTATTCTAAAATGTATCCAAAATTGCAAGACACAAGCACCATTAAACAGATAAATAGACATATATTTATGTACAGAGAGCATCAAAACACAAAACAATTGTTAATATAATTCTTATACCATTTTAATGAGTATCCATCAATAAAACTTTACAATTTAAAGGAGACTTTTCAGTTGCAAAACAGTTGTAAAATCATATGTATAAATTATGTTTACTACAATTCCAATAACAGAGGCAAAGTAAAATACAAAAATAATAATCAATACTGCAAATTCAAATACAAACCCCAAAAGTAATGCTGCACAGGTACGTATGTACACTGGATGAAGTCATGCAGCCAGGCAGTGCAACAAATTAACTGCTGAGTTTAACTTATGACAAAATGGAACCACCATGTCGGCAAACAGAAGAAAATATACTTTTGTAATAAATCATAGTGCATTTTGAAGTTAGACTTTATAAAATGATTGTTGAGTGATATACTTCTAATATTCCCCATGTGATCTGAGATCCCCCCAACTCCTTTTTTCACAAAATAAAATACAAATGACAAAAGCTAAAAACCCCACTGTAGAACAGAGTCTGATGTACTGGTACCATCTTCAATTTATTTATTTTTTTTTTAATTCTCGGTATCAGACTTGTTTGCAAGTGTCCACGTCCACAGGGACACATATTATTCCTTGCTACCAGAAGTAAATCTTTTGTGCTCCAATGCTGTCTCCATAAACTGCACCTCACACAATGCCTGGACTGCACTGGTTTGAGGAAACACAGCTGAGCCTTGGAAAAAGAACCCTTAAATCCCTAGGAAGTACAGAGAGAGAGTAAATGAATGATAGAGAGACCTCATTATTCCTGAAGCTCCTACCCCTAATTGCTTTAATTACATAAATAGAGATTAACATAAGAGGCTTTTATGGCTTGGGTGAAATTTCTGCTAATTTGCTGGGCAAGTGCGAAGCCCAAGTGTCCCCACAGGGCTTTGCCTTTCAAAGTGCAGAGGGCTACAGACTCTTGTGTTGGTTAAAGAAAGCCTCAAGTAACTCTATAGAAAAATACCTCTGCAATGAAAATGTGTTAAAGGAACAAAAAATCCAAACAGAACCTCTGGAAACCCGTGACTTCTTGAGTAGCTGCAGTACTAAGACAAGGCTGTCACCTTTCAGGTCTGTGTTGGTTCGTGTAGCATAAACATGCAGGTAAAACTGGTTAAGTGTCAAAGTTAGATGAGATAAAATTACACAGTCTGACACCTTTTTCTTCTGTTAAAATCTTAAGGGATAAGCACGCTCAGTGTTTTCAGTAGGAAATTACAGCTAAAATGCTACATTTCTTTGCCGAAAAGACATTTACAGCAGCCTGCAAACTACTTAGGAGTTGCTCCCTGCATCCTTTGTGCAGCCAAAACCCCCTTTTGAGCCATCACTAACTTCCAAGACAACAGGAGTTCTGAGCAAAAAAGGGATGCAGAAGAACACCTGTATTGGGTAATAATGTAGCAATTTTATACAGCAGCACTTCTGAATTTCCAACATACAAGCACATGTAGAGAGAAGCTAAGAGACAGCATGCACTGCAGTGTTATGTCATTGTGCTTATGTCTGCTGAGGGCACTATGGCATTTTAACCCAGAAAAACATAAATGTTAGCCCCAGAAGACTAAAATAGTCAGTATTAATGAAGCCATCAGCTACTGTTGTAGTGAAGAACACCCGAAAAGAGGGAAGTTTGTCTGCTTGTAGCGTATAGATACTGAAGCTGAAGCGAATTACAAAGGCACAATACAAGCCTATACGTCTTGTAAATTATATATATTCATATATTTCTGCTCATACCACCTGAAGATACTGAACTGTACAAGAATAATTGAAGGTACAAATGTTAACTGACAGCGAAGCACTACAAATAAATGACTGCTGGAGAAGACAGTTTGTTACTTGCTACATTTCTACCCTTCCTGGGTGGTGAGCTCTTTCATCTTCCCTCCATTGGGTGACAACACCCATCGAGATATTCAACAGCATGGTGATCCAGTAAAAAAACTGGAACAGTGTCAGATGACAGACAGAATGGCCTTAACGTATCTGAAAAGCTGTCAACGAGTGGCTGCCACAACCATCTTTCCCACTGTTTTACCTTTGGCTCAGAATTCAGAGAAACCAGGAACAGCAACTGGAAATTCATACCCATTTTCACACAGAGCTGATGCTGAGATAATCCATGAAGGTAACATTTTGGTTAACTTCAGCACTCGAAACACTGAACAGCAGGGCAGGGATTGCACCAGCACATCCTAAAACACAACTCTCAGTTCTTCTATTCATAGCAACACAAGACATGTATCATTTCCAGCACCGAGTGACTCACAACTTAGGAAATAAAGTGAATGGATCAATATTGCTCCTGCTAAACTCATAAAAAATGACACCCAATTTTGTGGGATGGAGCTACATGGCAACTGTGGAGGTGGCTGCTGTCCCAGCCCAGCTGTGAGAACATGGACAGTCCACGAAGGTGAAAGGTGCAAGCTACAACATTTGTGTTTTTAAACTTCACCTGTTCCTCAGCTTGCAACAAGAACTCGTACAACTGCTGTCAGGATTTTGTACCAGCAGCAAGTGAAGGAAGGTATCAAAGTGAACTAGAATGAGGTGGGTGCGGTGTGGGCCTGAGGTGGAACCTGCTGTAAACAGGCTTTGCCAACCCACCGTAATGCTGCCTGCACAGATCTGCTCTGTCTGGCATGGGATATTCCCTCATCTCCAAACCAGCACATGAAATCGCAATACATTTATCACATGTTTACAAAAAGAAAACAAACCAACATAAACTGCCATTGCTACATGTATTCTCTCAATCCTCAATCAGGACCTCCTAGATTTATTCCTTAATGCTCTCAGGAAAGGAATCTTTAGCCACACCTGGAAAGTATGAACATTAATACCTTAGTTCCAAGCTCATAGCTGAATTTAAAAGCTGCATACGCTATTGCTGGTGTTGATTGATCTATGCAATGGTTTCTTCATGTGTTGCTTACAATAAATGAATCGGTGCAGGCAACGAGGGAGCCCACTTAACAAATAAAGGTGAGGATTTCTAGGCAGGTGTAAACCTTCCAACAAGTTAGTTAAAGTTACACCTGTTCATAAAACCTGAAGTAAAAATACAAGAGCAACTATGGGGCAGAAATCTAATGCTTGAGATTGAATTCAGAAACTCATCTGTAAGCCACTCGGATTCGGGTTCAAAGAACCGGCATTATTCTTGTCCTTACCAAGCTCAAATAAATACACTTTTGTGAAGAGGTATCTAAGCCAATTGTAAACTTATGGATTCATCCCACCTAATTCCAGCTGTTCACCAGTGGCGGGGCAGCTGATGCCATCATACAATCTTCCAGAGGTATCTCCTCTCCTGTCCCTCCTCTTATTTACACAGGAGATCCAGGATGGTAATTTTTACCAGCTGAGATTATGGCGGGATGAATCAGGCCACAGTGTGGAGCGGAAACAAGTCTGATGTGGTGGCACAGTATCACCATGACAAATTGTCTGTCACAGTCCCGCCTGAGGCTCCAATGCAGACACGCTCTGGGTCAGTGACCCGCACCATCCGTGTCTTTACAGTTCTCAGTCTGGCAAGGAACTTTTCACAGATAAAACAGTGAGGCTTGACTTCATGATGATCCCCCAAAGCCAGACCCGAGGCCATGTGGGATGGGATCGCTGTCAGGCAGCATCCACACAGGCTGCTGACCTCCCAAACCCATACCACAGGCTGCTCTGAAAATACACACAAGGTCTGGAGGAGTTTGTAGCTGGAGTGGTTACTCATCCTAACACAACACACACACATGTCCACATATTTATGATGCTGTGGGAAGTTTGTATCTCCACGCCTCAGCTACAGCATGGATTGGCTCTTTGCAGTAGCTGTCGGTAATGAAGATGAAGCATACACTGAGGAGAAATACAGCGGTTTTGAAACACACAACATTTGTGAGATCCCCAATATTATCAATATTAATGCTTAAGGTCAGAGGCAGTATCAAGTTTTGCATGCACTTTCTACATTAATATTTATATTGACAAGTTTAATTCTTGCTGGTTTGCAAAATTACTGAGGTTTCCTTTACTTCCAGAGACTGGAACATTGAACATTTGTTTCATTTATGATGTTGAAAGTCATTCTTTGTCTAAAATACACCTACAAATACTTGGGATTATGGGATTGGGATTGCCCTGTTGTTCTCTGTAAAGGGCTGAAGTAACTGTAGAAATATTTTTTGATCTTAGAAATATAAAGAGTTTATCTACATATTGGACTGTAAGTGTGAGGAACATTTATTGCAAGTTCTCAAAGTCTTACATGAAATGGTGAAGGTGCAAAGTCATTAAGACTGCCTTGATTCAAGAGATTAACCTAGTCATTTAAGTTATCAATAAAAACATTTAAAATAATCCAAGTAAGAATCCCCTTCAACTTTCCAAGCTTTTCCACCTTTCCCATCATTGCCTTTCAGACTAGACAGGACTTGAATTTCTGATGTCAGAAACCAGCAAAGAACACCCAGACATTTTCAGGTCTTTGTTGTACATCATAAAATACTATAAAAAAGAATCCATAGTCCAAGAATTCAGGTTATTTTTCTCTCTTGACAGACAGAGAGTTAAATTCTCCTTAAAACACCACCTCAGGTGGAGCCTGTGGTGGGTGGGGAGGACACAACAGGGAGGCATCACTGCACCTCCTGCATGCCCTTAAAGATGGGTTTCAGTCTTGGCACTGATGCAGTTTTTGGGAAAAAACAAAGACACTAACTCACACGTCTTTGTAAGGCAGTAGCCTGCCCAGGCGCTGTACCTGGGGCACCCCTTTGCCAGGGGACACCTGCCCAGGTGTGACACCTCCCAGGTGTGCAGGCAGCCGCAGCTGGGACGCCATGGAACCTGCTGACCTGCAGCTGCCTGCTAAAATCCAACCGCCAGCTCTCAAGAAAGAGTACGAACTGGGTTAGATTCTCTTACACTACATTTAATATTCCTGTAAATGGCTTATAGATCTGCTGTCTGAAATAAATTCTGAAACCATTACGCATGCTTAACAGAGCTTCAACTCTATGTGGACAGTGAGTCTAGAGGACAGAACAAGGACTGCTGTAGTATATAATACACATGGCTGTACAATCAAATGCCACCTCTTGCTTCAAAACAAGAATTTACAGTAGTAAGCAGTGGTGACAAGATTTCTTACACAAAACCTACAGGAATTTACAGAATATGCACTGATCACCTAGGTTATAATGCCAGCAGTAGACTACACAGAGTATCTTGTGCAACGTGAACAGAGTTGACAATAGTTTACTAATGCTTTAAGTAATTCACATAAATATGCTCACCCACCAGCTACCAAATCTTCCTCCTCTTCTCACCAGAACCAGATGTGTGTACAGAAATTCAGGGAAAAAAAAGGTGGGTTTTTTTGGTAGCTTTAGACAAACATGCACAAAATAGATGCACTGCAAGGGGATACCTGCCAAAAAACAAAAGCCCTGAAAACTGGTCTCTGAGCATAGCATTGATTCATACTTCTCAAACAGCCAGAACAAGGCTAAAAATGTTTATTGTTTGGATGCTTTTTGTCCTGGAAAAAGAATAATATAAAAATTTACTTGATTCTTTACTGACAGAAAGCTCCAGCTTTACTCAAGCCACTATTCCATGTCTGTAATTCCAGCTCTAGTTTAGGAACTTGTGTTCTCTTCCTTATCCATTAATGTAAATTCAAATCAAATCAAAACTACAAGTTAATCAAAAAAATTAAAACAGACTTGAAAAATGGAAATGAAAAATAGCTTATAGCTGCTTTTGAATGTTATGTTTATTGACAACAATTTAGCAACACTGCTTTGCTTTCCCTCTAAGTTGTTGGATGCTCCTGTTAGAGATGGCTTTAGTGAATTTCTACCTCAATTAAATACATCCTGTATTTGGCATTTTATTTCCTCTAATCTGCATGACAAGAATTAGCTTTTATTTCAAGCTATTTTATGTCACTGTAAGAGCCATTTCACCTAATTTGGGAGTCTGTGGGATGCTAGCCTTCTTGATCTGGAGCAGTGAGAGCTCTTGGGATGCTGCACTGCCACTCTTATCTCTTCTTATGCTCAAAAGTCTCTATAATGAAATAAACTCTCTACAGCAGGGCTGTAGTTACACATGTGAACAACTTTCTGCAGGTTTATTGGGCAAAATGCTCCTATTTTTGTGCAAAGATCTGGCACAGTACATTTAATGGGAAAATCCAAATGAGAGAGGATAAAACATGAAGATTAAACAATAGGAAAAAAAGCCTAAAACATCCAGTTCACCCAGTTGACAGTTTGATTCCTCAAGGATCAGAGCAGATCATAGCCAGTGATTTTTCCCATCAAAAGCAATTACTGATGATTTCAGTATCTCTATAACAGTCCAAACTCCTAAATGGTACAATCTATTTCCTAGCACACTCAGGGTACTGAGAAAACACATCACCTTTCCAAATCCCCATGTTTTGAGCTGTTTCCATACGAAAACTGTTGCTAAAAACGGCCAGGATTTTCTCTTAGCAAAACAAAGCTTCTTGTCTCAGCAATGTAAAATCTTAAAGGATCCCCAGAACCTACTGGCAAGAAGAGTTGTGCAAGTTCTCAAGAGAACAGCGAGGTAGCGAACAAACACCTTGTTTCTGGTGGATAATCCCCTGGTCCTGAACCCCCTGACCCTGGGAACAAGCTTGCTCGACCACTCGGTCACTGTCCTGAGACCACAGAACCCTGGACCTCCCATGAGACACACTGAAAGCACAGGACAGACAAATTAACTGCTTGTGAATCAGGCTCATACAAAGCCACACAAATCAGATGTCAAGAGATATGCTTTTGGGGATGTGGCAGGAGCTTTCAACACCAAGTCCACCTGTACTACTTACAATTAGGCAGCAAATGTGGTTTTAATCTGATTTCCCCCATCTTTCAGCAAACATTTATGACACTAAATTAAAACAAATAAAAAAAAATATCAAACCAAAGCAAAACAAAAACCCAAAAAGTGATTTTTTTCTCTCTCACTTTCTTCTGCACACAAAAATTAAATAGTGGCTAGAAACTGACCACTTCAAATTATAACTGAAAACTGTGTTTTTATTAAATGTGAAAACATGTACCCAAGAAAACCTTTGTACATTTTTATGGCAAGTTTTCCCATTACATGAGAGGCTTTCTTACACACTTCGAGCTTAAATGAAGAACAGCGACCAAACAGAAGTTTGGACTAGAACTGCAAAGCTGTTGGCTGTGTTGGGGAAACTGTGGCCGCACAATTTAAAATAAGGTGGAAGGACAATTCACAAAAATAGTCAATGTAGTAGTGAACAAAGCTCTAACAAAGTAAGAAACAGAAGAAATCCAAATCTGCTCCGCATGTCAGTACTATTGATACATAAACATGCTCCTGCACTGGTGATATCTTTAAAATAATGTCTGCTTAGGAAAGACTTAATTTGAGCTCTAGACCATCCATGCTCAAGCACGGTTTTAGCATATTACAGTCCTACTTTCCTAATTTCCTGAAGGATATTACCTGTATTCTTAAATCTGTTTAAAATCATCAATGTGCAGGCCTAATTTCAAACCAAGGCAAACTCATTGGAAGGACAAGAGTTTTAATGTGCTGAATAAGATGATCGATTTTTATCTCTAAATTTGGTAATTTGTTCCCAATATATAAACAATATGCAAGCATGCACTTAAAGCTGTATTTTAAATACTTTTTTCTTATTTTTCAGGTTGAAACATAATTTCAGTAATTTCAACGGACCCTCTGTATTTTGTTCTAAGTACTCAATTTACACATCTACCAAATAATGTCACACCTCAGGTAAGTTACAGATTTGATCCAGATCAGGGTGAAGTCCTACCCAAAAAATGACCTTATGTGAGTGGTTTCATCCAAGTTTCAGCAGGAGAACTGGCACAAGCAGTAGCCTATAGGACTGTACCAATAATAACTGGAAAGTAGAGAGAGCTGCATAGAGTAAAATCTAAATCTAAGTCATCTGTCTTTTAATTTTTATAGTTGTTTTAGATCATTAAATTCTGAATTAGATCCTTAGTGTGAGATGTCACTGTTGAAATAATTGTTGGGGGTTTATTTGAGAACTGTACTTTGTCAGGATTCCCATCCTTAAGATCCAAGCAGGACAGGAGCCAGTTATATCATCACTTACAGTGAATTAAAGAAAAGTAAATTTACCTGTACTTTTTACATCATTAAGCTATATTTTACATTATTGAAATGCGAACGTGTAGGGTCAAATATTGAAGAATCCAGTCCATATTTAGCCATCATAACAACAGATCAGGGCTGACCAGGAACAGGAGGAAACACTCAAAAACAATTAACTGATATGAGAAATAGAAGTTAGGTGCAACATGTATCAGCTGAAAAGTCATTTTGTCTGGTAAGGGGGAAAAAAAGGAATAAAAAGTTCAACACTGAACTTACCAGGGCTCTGCAACCAAATAAGAAATGGCACTTTTTTTGGCAACTGCAGGTCTTCCTCTTGCTCAGGCGATTAATAACTCAATGCATACATGCAAATATCTGGGTATATTGTTGATGCACATGTCAGGCCATGTGCTTTACCTGTGATTCAGACAGCTGCTTCCTTGCCCCAAGCCCTGTTCTTGCCTGTACAAGATTTAGACATGGTGATAAAATCTGGGTGATGTGCAGATAAATCTGGGTAAGAATACTCATTTTCATAGCTTTATGCAGCACGTTAAATACTGGTTTCACTGTGAAGTTCACAAGTGAATTCCAATTTCAGCTGATTTCTACAAGGCCAGAATACTTGCCAGAGTTCTCACAGCATGAAAGATGTCCTACTCTATATTTTTACTACTCTAAGATTTAATCACTTCTGTTTTTAAAAGACTTACTTTAACCTTGTCTGAAAGACCCATTTAAAGATTCACCATTATTTATTTCTATATTAAAGAGCAAAATCTATCTAAAAGCCCAGAGGAAAAAAAAACTATCCTGCATCACTTAAAATAAAATTGCTTCCAGAGTTGGACAAGGTCTGATATTATCAGTAATGCTGTTGCATAAGGACAGTTACAAACAGCAGTTACATTGCTCCTGATATCTGGAGTGTAAGAAACATAATTAGGAGCAAAAACTCAGTGCTTGGCAATAGTCTTTCTTTCCTTTCTTTCCACACTGATACTCAAGGTACGATGAAAATCCTACAAGGATTTGTAAGCAAAAGAAAGAAAAATGAACAAGCAAAAAGCCCAGTGCATCTTAAAAAAAAAAAAAAAATCAGCTGCTGTCGGTGGGGCTATGTGGGTATGAGAAATGTTGGACACACCAAGTAAATCAGGTGCCTGAAAGGACGTTTTACTCATGTATTAAAATGAGGATAACATATTTTGATAGCAATATCCAATATATGTTGGCAATTCCATTTAAGGGGTTTCCTTGACAGCTTTGGTGGCCAGACTTCTATCCTTCAAAGGTGCCCAACAGGACACTTACCTGGGGTGCGAACAGGCTTTGACACCTGATTCACAGCCCCCATCTACCTCAGTCCAGGAACCAGTGACATCACCTGACTGCAACTGGGCAGAAAAGAGTCCCCAGGTCCTTCCTGGAATAATACAGGTGTCAACACAGGCTGCAAGGACACCTGGACTCTGGGAACACACCAGTGGTGTGAGTGACAACAGCAAAGGGTCTGAGGAAATTAACACCTGAGTTTGTGTTTGAAACTCAAGTCGATAGTGTCTCTATCTTTGGAGACAGCAACAAAGTCTTATCCAAAGAGAAACAGATGAATGTGACCTTCATAATCACTGGGAATACAGTCTACAAAACCATATAATGACTATATAGTTGATGTTTACAACTAATCAAAGTAGTTCTTATTACTAAAAGGTAATGCTTCCAAAATCTTTCATACTTTAACATAATTTTAAGCCTCTGAGCATGAATAGCCCTAACAAGAGAGTGAAGTGTTAAATCTTTTTTATTTCCATATATTATATACACATATAATACATGGAAATAAAAATGAGTTAGGAGATTCTAGTATTCCTTACACATCCTGGTACGTGCAGCTGCTATCACAACAAGCCCATCCCATATGCTCCTTTATCACAATTCATAAAAAAAAATCCCCTTGTACATGGAGATACCACACCCGAGAACTGCTCCTCCTCTCTAAGTGGCTCTTCTATCTGTAAGTCCAAGGAGGGAAATCTGCTTTTTGTCTGTGGCCTGAATTTCTGCTGAGCCACTTTGCGCCCACATTGCTGATCATCAGCCTGTTGATCACTACAAACTGAAAAACTCTGTTTTCTTGGGGAAGCTGTGAATCACTAGGAACTAAATAAATGTACCATGATCTCGGTTTCAGAGCTCTGCCTCAAGAGACATGGGATGGCTTCCAGAAGCATTTCCTTTAGGACCTTTTCTCCCTTCTGTTCCCAGCTTTCACACCTAACAGGTTGTCCCACTCTTAAAATGGTCCAGAGCTTTGTTCCTCTTCTGTTCATGGCAAAATGTACTGCAACATTTTGGCTCAAAGAGCTGCTGACTAGAAAGTTTTGGGGGAATTAATTCTGGCAGACATGGTAGAAAACATACACCCAAGCAGCAGCATGGTGACCTGATTCACAGAATGGGCTTGTGAAACACTGTTTATAATTAGGACCATGACTATCCATTCGAGAATCACTGAAAACGGGAAACTTAATGTTAAGTTGTTAGAAAGGGTTTTGGTGATAAGGACTCTACTGTATTTCCACTAACTACCACTCCTACAGAAGACCATGCTAAATAGAAAACTCATTTCCAAGGGCAGGGGAAGCCCTGTCCTTTATTGCTAGATTCTAAAGCAATTGGAGCTCACTTACAGTAACCTTATAGTACTCTATATAAACTGAGAAGCTTGTATCAAATTCAGGCTTCCATTTAAAATAGATATTGCAGATATTAGGCTTCAGTTAAAGAAGAAAAATAACCTTCAGTGCTTCTTTTTTTTTTTAAAGGCAAAGTATTAAAAAAAAATCCCCAAACTAGGTGAAAGTTATTAAATTTCTCAAAAAAATTAAGATGAGCTTTCTTCTATTTCTTGAGACAGTACAATTTGTGATTCACAGGCTAGCTGGTATCAAAAACAAGTTAATGAAAGCTCTTATAAGCAATTTTTTTCCTATCCATAATAGCAGACATTAACAAAATCAGAAGAATTTATCACTTGAGTTCAACTTAAAAAATAATTTATAAAGCAGTGATATATGCAATGTAGAACAGTTCAAGAGGGGACAGGGAAAGCAAATTTTAATAATTAAAATGTAAACGTGAAAAAAAAAAAGACGGAATAGAAGTCCCTACTTCTCATTTCTACCTAAGATGTGATGTGATACTATTTTAAATGTCCTGTGGGTGTCTGGATGTGTGTGTGTGTGTTTCTGTGTCACACACACACACACGACATTGACCCACACATGTCACACACAGACAGTCTTGTAGTTCCACCTTGGACAGGTCTGTCACAGCACTCTTTACAGTTGTCTCAAGCATGGGACCCACTTCCTTGACAAAATGGGGGAGATGGTAGGAAAAGAAAAACAAACCAGGTGGGTCTGATTGTATCTGAGATCCTTTAGTTAAACTGTACACTGGGTCGAGCAATTTTCTTCTGCAGTAGTTCTCTGGAGAGGGCCAACTCACTGTGGTCTTCGTGGTGACACTGGTGAGCGGGTCACACACTCATTGTCATGCTAGGGGAGTACTGCAAAGAGAGCAATCCACATTTTAACAACCTCTTCTCCCCCACCCCAGGGAACCAAAACCACATCTGCGCCACAGCAATGGGTTCAGAGGTCAACACACTCCTTGAGCCTCCTCCTCAATTTGTGCTGCAGCCTTTGCTAAGGCTTTAGTTCAATTTGTGGCATCATAACTACCGTTGTGCTTCTCTCATGTACAAATACAGCTGTTGCTGATAAAGGCAGTTTGGAGGCTGTTTTGGTGTTAACTGGGTGATGTGATGAACCAAAACATCACTGCTGCTTTCCATGCCCCTTCCTGGCCCATGTCGGCTACTGGGGGAATTTAGCTGGGCAGACCGGCTGCATTCACGGTTAGCTGAACCACAGAAATATTTTGTGGAGCTTTTTATTACTTTGTGGAAAGAAAGGAGTAAAGATATGTATGACTCTTATTAAATTAGGCTTTTAGTCTGTATTATTTTGTGTTACCAGTTTTAGGAGGCAAGCTGCATCAGGGACCAGTGGTCATTCCATGCTGACTCAGGGACCAGTGGCCACTCTCCTTGGTGTGAACCACAAATTCAATCACCACGCAGTCACACTATTACAGTGACATAACTTAAACTGCAGCTCTCACACAAGCTACAGCTGCCCTCAGGTTAGCAATACTTCATTAAAATAATCACCAGGATACCACAATGCCTAGAAAAACTGCACATCTACACACCTAATTTGTTTTTAAATTGCAAGTTATGGACTGCAAAAGCACTTAATTTGGCCTAAAATCCTCTAAGTAGAGGTAGGTGTTCAAGAAGTATCAGCATTTTGAAAACTAACTGAAAAACAGAAAGATAAATTTGCCTTTGTAAAACTAGGTATGCCATAAATATCCTGCCAAGGCTTGAGCTGCAAGCTGACCATTTCCAAGTGTCCAAGCTTATAGAAAAAGTGTTTTGAATGGGTCTTCCCTGTCATCTGAGCTACACAGAATGGACTCCAGCTCAGAAAGCTTAAAGCAAAGCACCTGCTCAAGTGGGGAAACATTTTGGACAAGGAATAAATTGACAGTCTCAAGGTGTTTAGGATTTTTAACTTGTTATTAGCCAAGCACCTTTCCCCACCCCAACCAAAACTCCTAGTGAACTGAACAGACAATCTGCCTGAGAAAGGACTTTATGATAATGCCTTTTCTGAGTAGCCAGGTGGCAAAATATGAATCAGAAAGAAGGCAGTTCCCAAGGACAACAGTGTGACCTGTGTTGGAGAGGAACTGGTACCTGGAGCAGACCAGAATGTACCTGGGATGTGTAACAGAAGCCTTGTAGGCACACGACTCAATAAAACCCTGAGAAAAGTAGGTCCCTGGTTCCTCCAGGCAGGAAAACAGCATCCAGGAGCACCTAGAATCCAGTAAGTGTCTGAAAACACTGATTTTCTCTGGAATACAACTGATGTCCTCTTCTTCCCATGACCCATGTTTTGGTGACCTGGCCTGCATGCCCTCAGCCAAACTGAGAGTCAGGGGTTGCCATGAATGGGGATCACGTTTAAATGGAGGCTCTGTGGTTTTGGCAGACACTGAAACATTGGTCTTTTTGGGTTGTACAAGACAATTTTCTCTAACACTCCACACAACCTGAGTGTGTGCCCACCAACAGCTAACATGCCGAAACTCTTCCTTTCCACTAGTGAAAGAAGAAAACCCCCAAAAAACCCTCAAAATCTGATTCACATGAAATTTGCCATGGAGTTCAACTGCGTTGAAATCTAACAAAACTGTTTACTCGCCGTAATTCCTGAGCTGCAGGCCACCACTTAGTAGTTAATGAAGTTACACTCCTATTTAGAGACCTAAACATGGATTTAGAAACCCAACTTCAGGCACATGAGCATGGAAATACCACAGTCTTGCTCTGTAGCGTATTTTACACCACATTTTGCTACCTCATGCATTATTCATTAAAAAAAAAAAGGCATAATTTGCCCTGGAATGAACGCTAGAGGGAACCTTTGCCTTTTATGGCTCTAATAGCACATGGTATATTTGCAACACGGAATCTACTGATGCTCTAATCACATACTTCAGTGTAAACCCTGCTCTTTCACTGACAACTGACCTCTTAACCCAGAAAAATCGTTTCTGCAGTAAACCTACACCTCCCAACTTTTGTTTTTTATTCAAATTTAGAAGCTATTAAAAAACATGCACTACAAGCACACTACAAAACTTGTAGTTTTTCTTTTTTTAAAACAAAAAGTCAGAAATAAAGGTTCACAAAGTAAAACAAGCCACCAACCAATGTAATGAAATACTTACACTCTCACTCTGGAAAGGGTTTAGGAAGTTTCCACCCATCTCACTGTCATCTCTGGGAGTGCCAGGCTGGTTGCTCATGCTCATATTACTGGGAGAGTTCTGTTAAATAAGAATAAGTGTTGAAGATTCCAGTTCACTTCTCAGCCTCACCATGTGTGCCAAACGCATGTTTCACTCAGCACTGTGGTGCACTCAGGTGCACTGTGCAATGCAATGGGGTTTTCAAGGAAGAAAAATCAGCCCCTGTGGGGTTCTGCATGATTCACTCACTAATTTTAGCCTGTAAAGTAATGTTTTCTTCCCTGAAGCAAGGATTGTTTACCTGTAACTCTTGTTTTCAGGTCATAGCCAGCATCCGCTTCTGCTGAAGTCAGGAAAATCTATAGAAGGTTGCAGCAGGTGCATGAGAAAGTTCTGCCACCACATTAAATCATGTGGTTAAATGCAGCCATCTCTGTGAGTGTGTGCCTTGCATATGCGAATTATGAAACAGGTACTTAGAGGAAGACATAGGATGGATCTGGTCTGCACAGACCTCTTCAAGGGCCTGTCCCTGGACTCTTTGCTCACTGTGGTCATAATTTACTGAAATAGTAACAACCTAAAACCTCCTGAAAATAATTTTTTTTTCCTTACAGAAGTGCACAACTACCTCTCCAACCTTCAGGAAGAGAATGGGTGAAACAAGGTAATTGTCAGAGAAATTATTCTGAGTCAACAGCTCACATTTTGCACACACCACAATTAGTCAGGTGCCTTTACAAAGCTGATTTGCAGTTCCCTACCATGCCTGGGGCACAGACAATTCCCTTTCCATCCCTATTAAAGACAGGGATGCTTAGAAGACTCGTGATGGAAAAAAAGAAGTTGGAGAAAGGGAGGAGTGAAGTAATGAACTTCATGATCAAGTGCTTACATATATTATAGTTCTTCCCTTGGCTTTTTTTTTAACCTAGAAAAACTTGGATGCAATATCAATATAAATACAAAATTAATTACATAGGTGACAATTAAAAGCCTAATGAGTTTATTAACATAAGACAGTTAAGTCTGCTATACAGTGAAGCCAGTATATAGGAAATATGATCAAGTATATAGGAAATACAGATCAAAACCATTGATATCTACTGCTTTAGCTCAACCACAGTTATTGTACCTTAGGTAGGAATTAATTCAGGGAAGCCCTGTTGCCTGTGTGATGCAGGAGGTCATACTACACAACCATGTCAGTCCCTCTGGCCTTACAATCCATGAATATAAAGTTTTAAACCCACTAAGGCCTTGTCACATTTATTTTAATAATGCTCCCGCACTTCTGCTCATTCCTGGGAGATTTGCCCCTATTTTATCTTGCTCTGTGTGGCACTAAGCTTTGAAATTCTGCCACTACTAGAGCACACCAGCCCCAAAGGGTCAAATTCCTGACAAAATCCCTTTTATAGTGACTCCAGGCTGCTTTTATGGCCAGTTGGGGTCCAGCACTGGAGCACGAACTGGGCTCTTCCAAGTGAAGTGTGTCCTTGATGCCTTCACAAATTCCATGGGCATTGCAATAAACACTGGTTATTGATGTTTATTTAATATGCATCATTTCAGTTAATTTATTCCCATCCTCCCCAATCTACTTCATAAAAACTTTATGCTCTGGCATTCAGCCAGTTAAATCAAAATCTTCTGTAGAAAACTCTGGATTCTGTGAGCTGTACTGATACTGACTGAATTCATTTTCTATGGACAACTCTCTACACCTGAAATTAGCAGCATTTTTATTTCAGTTATTTGAAGACAGAGCAAATGTGATTCCTGTGAGTTATTCATTAAGGTTAACACGTTATAAGACTTACAGGTAAATTTTTGTACCCAAATTTTCAGAGCTCCTGCCACTTGTACTAGCACGTACTTAATGCCTCTGAGTTGAATACTGGATTTAAAAATTATCCCATGGAAAATAAAATGCTTGGGCTTTTTTTTTTTTTTCTTAAAAAATGTTTCAGTTTGCAATAAAATACTGAAGAAAAACCACAGACATTAATTAAAAAGGTGCTGTATGGTGATTATATCACTGGAGGATTTTACTGAACCCATCACTGCACGGCCCAGCACAGCACAACTGGGGCAACATGGTCATTTTCATCCATCACTTAACTTTCTGCCGAGCCTGAAGATGTTACAAAATATAAGAATATAGGGTCCTTGTTATTTATGACACTTTACCAAACAAGTTAATTAATTCCCAAGTTAATGATGATCACGTATGTAGCAGTTCTATTTTTACAGAAGTGACGCACACAATCACAGCATTATTTTTGTAGATGGAAAACCCCTGCAGGTTAAACTCACATCCATTTCCAACTAATGGTCGTGGTAGCAAAATAGGGCTTCTCCTGAAACTGCTTCTAAATCCAGCTTTTTGGAACTAAACCTAATGATTAGGATATTTAACCTAATGATTAGGATATTAACACTACCTTACAGAGGTGGCAAAAGCAATCCTGCAATATCCTAAAGACATTGTCCCAAATTTACAGTTAACTGGAGTTGATTATCAGAACTGTTTCCATTTATCTTCATAGTATTGAAAACTACAGTGATAAATCAGATTACGGACTGGGTACAATCATACATAATATAGATATAATAAAATAAAGATGCATAACAAAGAGCTTCATAACAGAGACAAGGGAAAATAGTTTAGAGTGGAACATTCTAAAAATTCTAAATATTTGATCAGATACTCACTTTGGAAATACTGTCCATGTCTCCTGAGCCTTAAAGTAAAACAGACAATTAATCAGTTTTGAACTGAAGTTAATCCTGTACTATTTTTCATAGAAAATATATAGTGTATCAGAAATATTTTAAACCATAATCAACTTAGGAAAAGTTTATAGTCAGTATAATCAATTCAATCAATTAATTTGAGGTTACATCAACTTTTGCTGCATTACACATACTGATGACAGTATCTCTTAGAAGAAACCAGATGATCCTGAAAACTAGAGTAACAGAAACCAAATGAAATGAAATATAATCAGTATGAGACTATTAATTTTTTCACATGCTGTAGTTCTCAGGTAAAGCCAAGAATAAAGGAAATGCAACCTTAGGATGGATGTAGCAAGAAAAGCTTATTTTAGCAGCAAAAGACACCTATTTTCAGGAAAGACAAATTCTGGAAGAGTACTGAATGCAAAACTAGAAGAGCATCCCAGGAAAACAATCAAAAAATGGAGCTGTGGGAGAAGACTGAAATAGTTCACTATTTGATACAGACATGCAAATCAAGGCTGAAAAGGAATATGATTTCTCCTCTCTATAAAAACACCATATACATAGATGTTATCAAGAGTTATTTTCTCACAGTCCAAAGGATAATTTTTGGTGGAAATAGGGAAAATATTTCTTTCTCATCACCAAGAGCTGTGAACAGATATCCAACAGAAGGGTTGTGGTCAAAAAGGCTGGAGAGGTCCAAGAAAATAATTAAGCGTATAGCAGGTACATGTAAAAATCCTCCCACAACTGTTTCAATTTAATTTTTCATTTTAGCTAAGAAATCAGGCTGTAGAAAGTGACAGAAAGAAGGTGTGGCTGCCTTTTACACAGGTTTTCATTGATCTGAATGCAATGTGCATCAATATTAATTAAACCAAGAATCCATTTTAGTATTGAAATAGGTAAATAGAGGCTGCAAAGTAATCTAAAATTTCACAGACATTCTTTCTTTAAAAAAAATGTAATTTTATTAGCAATAGGTGTGTACTGCTGAATTTTAATTGTTCCGAAAAAGTATAGTGCTAAGGGAGGTGATGGCTTTTTTTTCTCGTCTTTAAATTTCTCCCTTTGTTTCAGCTTTTCCAGTTTTCAGGAGATTTTTACACACTTTCATCCACAGAACTCCAAGAACCAGCCACAGAAAATAGCACTGCCATTGACAATTCACCACGTTGTCAATAGTTACTGTCATTACCTAATGATCCATTCATATGATGTGAATCCATTCCACCCAGTCCACTCATCGGCCCATCTGACCCTGGTCCCAGGGGAAACTACAAAAGGAGTAGACATTAAAAACTGTAGAAATACTTTTTTGTCGGGATACAGAAATTATGTGAACAATTTCTATTGCATTTCTGAGACCTTTGCCTTGGCATGGCTGGGTGCAGATAGTAAAGAAATACTGCGCCACTAATATGGCTGCAGCTCTTGTGCCAAGGTGAAGGAGGAGTTCTTTTGGCAGGCAAACAAGTTTTATGGACACCTGCTGTAGTCCAATTAGTATTGTACAGCGCAGTGTGTTTTCCTTATGTATCCAATGTAGCCTGGAGAAGAATCACATGTCTGTGTGTCATAAGCAGTATATAAGCTGTCTTTTCTCTAATAAAGCTGACATTTTGCTGACCATAATGGCCTGTGAGCATTTGTCCATGCCCCTCCGCCGATATTTTTTAGACAACCTAATAAAGAGAAAATATTCCTCAAAAGGAATAATAAAAACAGTAAAGGAAAAATTCACAGTCCCAGCTCTGAATGAGAAGGGACTCTCAAGTTCCATTCAGACCTTTAAGAGAAGGTCTTCCACGTGACGACAGAAAACTATCATTGCTTTTGGTCACTTTAATGATTTTTGGAGACTGTCACCTCTGTAGGCTGGTCTATAACTTACGAATAATTTATTATTTACTTAAACACTATATGTATGACTTTCCAACCTGCTGGTGCTGACCCAGCCCTACTCCCATTGAAGTTACAGGGAACTTTATTACTCCCTTAAATTATTAGTTTAAGTAATTAATTACCAGCTTTCAAACCCTGACTGCTCCACATTACCTCTGCAACTTGAGCAGTTTCTGTCTAATTTCATATATTAACCTTAAATTTACCTCTTCACAAAATTAAAGACATTAACATTATGGCAAAAACAATCTACAATTTACTGCATAATGATTTATCAGTATTTATAGAAAATTATTTTTAAGTTCCACTGGTGATTTTTTCCCAAAGGCCCACAACTGAAGGCCACCCATAAGAATGGAAAACTTAGCAATAATGACACCTGATGGAAATGCAATATTTGGATACACAAAAGGCTGCATAATTCAAAGAAACATACAGCTAAATTAATATTTACATTAGGTCTGTTGGGTCCAGGAGGTACAGCATTCATTAAAGTGTACATGTTGTCTCCAGAGTTGGTTGAATCTGTAATGAGATATTATTTTAAGCACTAATATACACTTTTCAATAAAACTACTCACCTAATACATATCCTGTCATTTCTACGCCTGGATCCCCGATACACAGTGGCAAGATAATGGAAGATTTTATTCCCTTTCTACCCATTCCTGCCACACAACAGAGCTATGAAAAGAAAAAATTGCCATGGTCCCTCAGTAGCTACCCTCTGGTCTCTAGTTTTTATGCATGACTGTTAAAAAGTTTATAAATAACCAAGTATCTGTAACTATTTAATTCCATATTGCTGTTTCCTGGAGTCCTAAATTACTTCACTCATCTTCAATATTCTCTATAAAACAGGAGTTTGTTTCTTATCAATGCTTCCTGCAATTTGTTTTCCATCTGTAAGAAAAGATAAAACAACTTTTCCTTACACAGACTGTGAGTTAGTGAAAGTTTTTTACTCTCATGCCTGTCAGTCTATTTGATTTTGGGTATATCCAGCTCCTCAGTGGGACACTGTGCAACAATCCTCACTCTTGAGGGAGGCTTTGTCTGATGGATCTTTATGGTATACCATGGTGCAATGCTTCAACCCCCCCCTCCAAAATGTTGAAAATCTAAGGAAAGTCTAAATGCATCCCTAAAGGTACAGCATGATTTAACAGAAAATACTGGCAACCTTGGAGCAATTTTTTTCTGCAGAGAGAATAAAGAGAGCTCAGCACTCTGTACCCAGACCCTGCACAAGGCCATTCCACATCCAGTGCATTTCTGTGTACACAGGGAAGTTAAATCAAGGCTTTTGTCTACAGCTTCATCTTCCCCAAATGACTCTCTAAGCATTAATTAAAATAAATAATTGAGTTATATACAGAGCACTATAAATCACTAGAACATTCAAACATGCTGTCCAAGGAAAAGGGGGAAACAAAAGGCGTTCAGCCTAAAGTAAAATCAGCATTTTAAGTTATTATTCAATGAGGTAGGCAAAAAGTTCTTTATTCAAGATACATCCCTGGCTCTGCCCATGTCCTGCTAGCTCATGAAAAATACACATGGGATGGTTAGACTGTGGGAATCCTTGAATTGTTTGTCTCAGGGGAGAGTAAATACTTTGGCAAAATTTGTGGGTGGCCAATTCCTAAGCGTTTTCACACTTTGGAAAATAGAACTTTCAAAACATCTTTACCCTAGGTTGCTTTTTTTAAAAAAAACAAAATTATGTGGAATTGTATTTAATGAAAATAATATTATGGTGTGGTAAGTTTTTATGGCCAGTTAGGAAAGTTCCCTGCCCTTCAGTGCTGCAGACGACAGCAAGTAGGGGAAGAAAAACCTGATGCAGAAAATATAAATCAAATAATTTATTATCTGACACTTTATTAAAAAATATAATTTGTGTGCTTCCTAAAATCTGTTATGACTTTATAATTTCCAAGTACATTTCAGTACCTGCAGGACTAGGCATGATGGGTGTTCCTGGTGGCCCTCCACCTCCTGGAGGACCCTGGAGACAGGAAAAAATGTCAGTTAGCATGAAATGAAAGATTAAAAAAAATCCTCAAACATAAAAAACAGCGAGGAACACCTGTTTTTTTAAAGTTTCGGGTACTTCCGGGTCACAAATCTGTTCAGGACTAAGCACACAAACCACTCTGGCTGTTAAACAGGAGTTTTAGGGTTCTTACAGAATTTCTCTAGGAATTTTATTCTAAGAATCCTAATCATTTAGTAAGAACAGAACCATAATGTTTTGTTTCCTATGTTTGCAGAGCCACTAATATCTTTAAGTAACGTGAAAAACTACCAACTTCCACTGTGGTAAAAATGTCTGTGTCAATAAAAGTTACATATTAACTTTCCATAATAAAAACCAGTCAGATTGCTAGTAATACATTATTTTTCCACTGCCATGTGACTATTACTTTATATCTTTTGTTATAATTCAAAACAGTAGACATACTATTTCAGACAGGAATATTTTTTTTTCAGTGGCAGCAAATAAAAGGGTTTGGTTGTTCCTGTCTGCTTACAGGGTATCTATCCATATACTTTTTATCCATAAGCTTTTATCCATATAAACATAACCATATTTTATCCATATCTAGGCATGAAAGGCTATCCATGTACTTTTTATCCATATACCTGTGCACTAAGTCTCACTAACTTGATTTTTAATGTCTTTCTATGTATTTTTCAACATCACATAAAGAGATGTAGAAACCACTAACTGACCATTTATCAGAAAAGTTACTTGTCTTCATTAACTTTTGCCTCTAATTGTAAATTTGCATTTACTTTCATTGTTTGTTTATTTTCTTCTCTTACAAACCCTTCTGGTATCAACTATTTTCATGTTGAGAATATATTTATATTTATGTATTTTCTATATTTGTGCATTTATATATGTTATATATACTTATATATTTCTAGAAGTGCTTATATATTAATATATTATACATAGAGAAGTTCTCAGTGTGTAGTTCCAGATGACAAATCCTTTGACAAAAAGCCTTCTTTTAGGAGCTCTCTGGCCTTCCCTCATCCCCGAACACTTGCTTTCCATGAAGCCAAATATTCCCAAAATACCTTTAAGATCTCCAACAATAACTGGTCACTAATGCTGAGAGCAAACCCACAAACCTCTTCCACACAGAAAGAAATGTGTGAAGTTCTGAGTTAAAGGAACTGGTTTGGAGATCAGCAGGTTTGGGCTGTTTCTTCTAAACATGTGGCAAAAGGAGGACCACAGTTATGGACACTTGTGGGAATCATAACCTTTTCCACAGCTAACTGCATAAATAAAGGACAAAATAAATTGCTTTTAAATACGTAATTCTCTCTTATTACCCTGTGACACTAGTTCTATACATGTGATAAAAACAGTCCACACAATCTATCTTAGAAAGTTCATCAGACACACAAATAATCCGAATACAACAATAACTACAACAATGAAGAGCCTAAAACAATAAATAAGGTTTATCTCTGGGGACAGAGACAAAAACCAGTGCTATACATAAATATTTTTTTCCTAGAGAAGTTCAGAAGCTCAGACAAAACACTGTGTCACCCAGAAAGCTGAGAGGTTTTTTTGCCCATTATTACTGAAGACAATACATTTGTATTAGTTATAAAAATGTTTAGTGGAGTCAAAAAGCACTCAGGGCAATTCTGACCAGACTGATAATGGTCCTACTAAAGAACACCCACATCTGTACCAGGAATGGCTGAAAAAACACCTTGGTGCAGACCAGATGTGCTGCTCCCAACCAATATACGGGGACTCCTCTCAACATCTGGACTGGGTTTTTTCGCCTAAATAAAATGCGATGTCAAACAAACAAACACACAAATGTACTTACTACGTAGTTTCCAGGAGATGCTGAAGAGTAAGGTATCTGTAATATCAACAGAAACAAAACACTGATTTCCTCTGCAGTAACACGGGAGTCCCTGCAGCTGCAGGTTAATGCTTGTTTTTTTAATTAGGGTAATTAAAACACATAGTTAAAATTATGGGAAAAATTACTCTGTCATCAAAATAAACATATTTTCAGCACTATTAAAATATTAATTATAAAAATATTAAAATATCAAAAGGTTTACTATTATTAAGGCAATATACTTTTTAAGGTTTATAAGCTTCAGCAGCACATATTTGCATTTCAGTCCACAGGACTTCAGAGCCATCCAAGCATGAAATGAATTTGTACATTCTTACAGATACATAATTTGGATTAAAATCTTGACCATAAAAGGAAAGAAAACTGTCATATCTTTCACCTCAGAAGACACCTCTATTTCTTTGCATTATCTTTTATTTTTTCCCAAGGACAGTTTTCATTTCAAATTCAAGTGTGGTGTTTGTTAAAGAGGATATCTGGAGAAATCTTGTGAATAATCTGATTTTCTTCTTTATGACAGCCTTTGCAATTATTCTCTCCAAAGTAGCTCCAGCCAGTGCTGATGCAGGAGAAGCAACTGTGCTGACAAATACAAATTTCTTGACAGACAACTTGTCAATTCACTGATTGTTACGAATACACCTATTACTGGACTATCAATTAATTTCAGAGAATGAACATATTTCAACTATCAGCTGAAAAATATCCATTTTAATCAGGTACCTACACGCAAAAGAAAACTGAGGAAGAGTTTCAGCTCTCCTCCTCCCCAATCATCATTACTAGAATTAAAATACCAAAACTGAGAAAAAAGAAAGAACTGTTTAACAGCAAAAGCCAGACCCACCTTATTCAAGTGCAAATGCCAAAAATGGACGTTTTTAAACTAATGATGTGTGATCCCTGAATGACAATGAAAACTTTGTGTTTTCTGAAGAAATACCAGGCACTGCTGCTCATGTGGGATCCCAGGATAACCTTCATGCTATGGAAGTGCTGGACTTGACGTAAAGATACTTCCCTAAATACAAGATGTCAAATATATGTTTAATATGTACTTACAGAATTAGCATTGGTTGGGTTTGGCCATGGTCTGCCACCCCCAGGACCCCTGTAACAGAAGATGAATGATGAGACACAGAATCGTCCCCGTCCTCTGACCACCTCTGGGGAACAAAATCTAAATTATCTATCTCGAGGGAAGGAAGAAGGTTGCTTTTTTCAAACTAAAGTGAGTTTATAAACCATAACTACACCAAGTTAAAATGCTAGAGCAGAATTCTCATTGTTGCACTGCCTTTTAACCAGTTGGTGAGTCGATTAATTTATTTACTGTGAAATTAATAAATATTAGTCATAAAACAAATAAACTTTCAGTCATAAAACAAGTGATCTTGCTCACATAACTAAGCCCCCTTCCTAAAGAACTGAGGATGCAGGCAATTTATTATGGATCTAGAATACTGCAATATAGTAAGGTTTCACCAGCAGAAATTATGCTATTAATATGCTACATAAAAGAGAAAATTACATTATTATATATAATAATATATTATAAAATAAATAGAAATAGCAATAAATAAAACTAAAAATAAATATATACATTAAATGTAAATAAATATAAAATAAAAATAAAATATAAAATTATGCTATATGAGACATGCTTTGAGAACACCTAATTTATAAAAGAACAGGCCATGAAAAATATGTTGCTATAACCCCTCGATGATGATGATGATGATGGTGGTGGTAAAAACAACAAAACAAATTACCCAGTAATAATGATAATAATCACCACAACAATAATAAATTTTTTAATTAAAACCAGAAAACTCTTCAGATTGAGAATGTTTTTCTCACAATTCTTGCTGTTTTTATAAGTTTCTCACTCTCAGCTGAGCTCAGAAAAATAGTTTGGGGGTGAGGCTTCATCTCTCAACAATCCTGAGGGAACTAAAGCCACACAAGAGGTAAAAGCTCCATATTTACAGTCACAGTATCTCAGTAACCATAATTATTTCTGGCAGCATTAAGAGCTCCTTGTTATTTATAAACAAGACAGAATCACTTCTTGAAGGTCGTGACAACAGAGCAGACGACAAAACTTCCACATTTAAAATGGCCTTTTGGCCTCATTAGCTGTAGAAAAGCAACATTAACCACCACAGCTCACCAGGCATGGGGGAGTGATTTAAACAGAGAGAAAAAATCACGCCTCATTAATGAGTTCATAGAGTTTCCTATCCCTTTTTTAGGTCTTCCAAAACTAAAAACTCTTAAGTGTCTATGTTGCCTGAGGGCTTTAATAGTTATTCTTATTTTTTTTTATTACACTGTTGATGAAACTATAAAGGAATTAGCTCAAAAGAAAAAAAGTCAACTGAAAACTGATTTATTTCCTCTGGTATTATTGTTGGAATGTTGGAAATCAAGAATGTTGGTGAGGGTCTTTTCTGCCTTATTCATTGGGAGGAAATACTTCTCATGTCAAATATTCAGCAATTTCTCCAATGCTAACATGAGATGGTGAAATATTACTGTTCTTTAATTCCCCCCCATTGTTCTTTTTTCTTTTGATTTATTGGATCCTCTCAGAGAAAGAAATCAGGAATATTTGTAACAACACTTAAAAGTCTGTTTTGACCTCAAAACCCTGCACTTGTTTCTGTGCCAATTAAATAACTCAGATAAATTTAGGAATTTACCCTTAGACCAGGAAACTCACCTTTTATCTAAAAAGCCATTGGAATTTTCGAATTCATTGGCCAGGTCTCAGAATAGACACAAAAATCACTGCAGCAGATTCTGCTGTAAAGCCATATGGATTCTGTGGAGCCAAATGCTTACAAAACACACCTGAAAAAACCCTAACCTGCAGTTTTTTTCAATCCAATGCAAGCAGGTCTTTTGCCCTTCAGTAAATGTTTATTTTGGAAGCATCAACAGAGTCATAAAACATTATTATAAATGTACCAATTCCAAAATAATTAATGAAGTATTTACCACTATGACCAATTTCAGCTTAGTTGTCCTGTCATGTCAATCCTGGTGCTTAGAAAAATAAAAATCTGAAATTTTAGTTTCCCAAGGGGCAAATATATTCCAATAGGAAATTAAACATCCAGACACAAGTTTGTGAATTGAAGTTAAAAGACAAAATCACACTTTTTTTTTTTGAGGCATGACTGAGATATTCTTAGTGCTTGAGACAGCACTGCACGTCACACAAGGAAAGCATCAGTGAAACATAACACTGCTCTCTGAAATCTGCCTCTTTGTTCCAAAAAATGGCACTTTTTTCCCCCACAAAGACATGACACTTCTAAAAATGGCTACACCAAATCTTAGCTTAAAAACTTAAAGATAAAATAAAGTTATTCTGCAGAAAAACATGGGTTTTTCTGTTTCAAACAGAAATCTGACAGTATTACTGATGACAGAGGAAGAAATTACTTAGGAGTGCTGCATTAGTGGAGTACATGGACTGAAATGCTGTCTATGAGCCCCCAGGCTGCCATTTTCGATGGTAAAGGACACTTTTTCATCCAGAAAAATGTACAATTATACTTGGCAGATGGTCTGCTCTTGACCAAAGCAGCTTCCTTTTGAGCCTTCCGAGAAGAGAAGACTGGATTTTTAAATGGTAGCTGTTTCTGCAGGCACACATTTTTGGATTCGAACACTGCCAAAAGTTGAAAAACATTAAACAGAAGAGTGAAAAATTGTCATGTAAAGAAAAGACACAGGTATGTAAAGACAACTGTAGGTTACTAAAAGGTAACAGCCCTAGCGTGCAGTTATCCTGTTTCCTGGAAATTTAATTTCCCTAAGTGACTCACACTGTTGTTTCCTGCACTAAGCATTAGATAAATTGTAAGGGATAAAACAGAGAACACATTTAGTACAGCTGAGTCCATCCACTGCCACTGCCCATGGGCCATCCTTGATGAACTCTGATCCTGAATGCTGGAACTGACCAGACAACGAGTCTTCACTGAAATTTCAGTGTTAACTGAACTCTGAAAAACCCTGGTGTCCTGAAAATACAATTTAAAGAAAACCAGATCACAGCAACCCTGTTGTTTAATGGAACGTGCTTATTAAATGCTGCAACATTAGCATTTCCATCCATCTTCTCTCTTTCTGGTAGGCCAGGAATTCTTCCTGTCATTCAGAAACCTCTTTTCTTACCTTTCCTACGTAAACTCTCATTTGTGTGGACAAAATACCTTCAAAATATCTTATCTATCCTCAGTTTTACTTCTACAACATTTTATTTTGGGAAGTTAATTTTCTTTTCTTATAATTCAGACTTCTTCCGAGGAAATCCTCTATAGTGCTTATTCTACACTCATACTGAATTTCAAATATCTAAATATCTGTTTTACATCAATTTAATTTAAAAGTACAAATGCCTACCCTTGAGAAGGCTCCTAGAATTACTTGAGTCCCATATGTAATGTCTATGATAGGAGTAACACACCACTCTAAATTTTACTTCAAGAACTCAAGGTATGTCTAGAAATCAGAATAAATTAAGAATATGGTGGATTAGATTTATTCTTTTTTAACGTTATTATCAATCTCAACACCTCTTTTACTTTCTCAAGTTGGTAGCTCTACTTGAAATGAAAATTACAATTTTTTATTCATGTTTTCTATAAAAACAAGAGAAAAAATGGGTGTCTATGATATAATGATAAAAAGCATATCACTGTGTTTTCCTTATTTTACATCTGAAGTATTTCTACACAATTAGAAAAGGGAGTTGTCTTCAGTTATAAAAAGCATAATACAGACCCATGGCTAAACCCATGCCTGGAATAAATCAGTACAGCTTAACTGAACTCTGTTATTTAAATTTTTACCAGATGATGATCCAGCCCCAGAACTACACAGAAAAACTGAAAAAATATACTCATATCTATAAAGCTCTTCTGTTTAGAGGGAAAATCAATGTAGTTATGGAAATAAAAACAGCAATTGGAAAGAATCATCACCACTTCTTCTTTCAAATGTATCTTTTTTTTTTAATAGTTCTAGACAATGGCTATTTTGTTAAAATTAAGTACTGATTTATTTTACAGAGAAGAACCATAGTTGTAGCATTCTTCAGTGATTATACTGACAAAATATTCCCAATATTTGAAGTTTGATCTGTGAAAGAAACTGAGTATTTGTACAGACTTGTTGGGACAGCAAAGCTTCCTCTGAGAGACTGTGAGTTCAGTTCTTAAAATTTCATTTATTAGTTATCAAAGCATGTTCTCCTCATCTGATCTATTGCAAATGATACTTCTACAGCGAAATAATGACATTTTCTAGATAGTGTAAGAGTTATTATTGTGCTTACATGTTCATCCCAGGCATCCCTGGGCCACCTAAAGCGTTGAGTGGGGGTCTCATGGCACCTCCATAGTTCTGCAACGACAACCAAGGGTCAGACTACCACAAAACAAAAAAACAAAACCAAAGAGGAGGGGGAAAGAAAGGACAGCAGGTTAATGATGTCCCCATGGAACTGCTGCCTGCACAGGCCAGTGCCTTTCATGCTTTCAGGAGTTCCCTGACAGTTGACTTAAAAAACCGATATTGTTAATCCCATGGAGGAAGGTTTATAAATGACAGAAATAGGCTAAGAATGGTAAAAGTTGTTCCAGGAGAAATTATTTACACATGTTGAGGGCAACTTGATGGCCATCAAAGAAAGTTTTATAATGAATTCGACTTTTAAACCAAAGGAGTTGAAAATCAAAAATCTGGTCTGAGGTTCTGAGGTTTCTATATCATGGAAGTCAATCTGTATTCTGTTAAATTAGATTTTGTTATGCTTGTATAAAATTAAACCATATCATATAACTTTAATAACACACAGCATAACCACTACATCTCTCTTCCAATTATTCTAATAAATCATAGAATCCCAGAAGGGTTTGCGTTGGAAGGGACCTTAAAGACCACCCAGTTTCAACCCCCTGGGCAGGGATACCTTCCACTAGCCCATGTCTATGATAACCAATATCAAGAGTATTTCATATGATACTTAATGTCATAGCAATGCTAATAAATGAATTACCTGATGCCCATAAAGCCTGAGTTTATGCCTTGATATCATGACAGAAGTTGAACTCTACTACTTAAACAAAAAGGTAAATTATGCCTGGTTTTATTCAATGGGATATAAGCAGAACAGTCTGTCCCACCTCACAGTCTAACTGTAATTACTGCAATTGCTAAACAAATTTACTCATTTGTCCTAAAATAAGAGCACTCCCATTTATAGAATAATTTGTGAACTTAAGCTTTGTGTAGGTTACCTTTTAAGAGGATGTTTGGCACAAGAAAGGAGAAACTTACAAAACCACTGGATTTTAAGCAACAGCAAAAATGGGAAAATTATCCTCATAAAAAAACTGGCATGAGATTTGCCTGCTGTGTGACTAATGGTGCTGCATAAAGGATCAGCTCAATCTCACATGGCAGCACAGCAAAGCTTCTCCTTCTACCTCCAAAAAAGGTAAATGTATTTCAGTGCTACAGAAAAAATTGAGAAGTGTATTTAATAATGTTTTGTTGGTCACACAGATGATGTGTGGAACTGCATAACCGGTTTGTACCAAGAAAACCCAAAATTGTAGAGACAGTTATGGACAGAACTGGAAAGGCAAAGCTATTTAATCATTAAAAATGTAGCTGTTATCCAAACAAGAATCCACAAGAGAAATTATCTGAAATTGGGAAGTGAAAATGCAAAGTGTGGGCACAACAGGCACACTGTAAAACAAAACACTGGCAGCACCAATATGAAACACCACCACCTACAGGTTCCCTCAATGAGAGTGCTGACAAAACGCAGAATAATATTTTGGACTTGTGTTTCAGGTGTGCACCAGAGCTGTTTGTTTCCTGTCTTGGTCCACTGCTGAAACAGAGCCACAGATCTGCTCGTGATGGACAAGGGCAAGAAATGGCAACAGGAGGATCTTGTTTTACATTAAAACCTCTCCAGCACTCACCAAAAATTTAGATAACAGTGGATGAAAGAAGAACTTCACAGAATTTCCAGGGGTATTTTTGGTACAAAGAGTTTCTCTAAGTTAGAAGTATTTTTCCTCCTAATCAGCATAATTACCCATGAGGAGGATGAGGGAACACCTACTCCACTCTTGGTCTACCTTACCAATGTCAGTCTTGGAAGACAGCAAACATTTTTCTGAAATAAGCAAGTGAAGGGATTCCCCTTTTAATTCCAAATCTTAACGAAAATGACATATTTTTCCTTCTGGATTTTGCACAGCTGCAATTCGGAGCTAATTTTTTTTTGTAAAACTGAAGTTTATTTTAGAAGGGGATTGTGAAAACAAATCCTGGGCACCTTCAAGTTACAGAAAGTCAGAGGAATACATGTACAGGCCTGTCAAGTAAGAATAACCCATCTGTAGAAGGTACCTGGGGTCCTAATGGCACCATTCCCCTCGGAGGAGTCATCCTCTGCATCGGTCCTCCCATGTTTGGATGCCCTGCAATAAAGTCACATCACATTAAAAATTACACAATACACAGGCAACTTTTAGCAAATTGATCCTTTCTAATAAAAAAAAAAAGCTTTAAGAAGTGCAGTAGGGTTTGAAATACAGGGAGAAATATGCAAGTTTGTGAGGGTAGTAATTTGGAGTGGCTGAACTCACCCTGCTGCCGTGTGGGGTCCATCCCGCTGGGCAGGAGTGGTTGACTTCCAGGGACACCTCCCAGGGCCTGAAGGAAGGGAAACCACCGGGAAAAGCACTTAATGCTTAGAAATTTATCTTAAAGACATAACACATATATTTTATTTTTTAATTCCTGGCTGTTTCTTCTGAGCCAAGAGTAATGTGCTTTAATGTCCCCACTTGTTAATCTACCCTTTGGGTTTGCTTAACGAGGGTTAAGGCTCATTTTCACAGGATCTTAACTGAAGTTTGGTCAAGTAGAAAATCGTTTTTATTAATGGATCTTTGTGGCTGATCCACTGGGTGCTATTTAGCACTCAAAACACCACCAAATTTTCAGTACAAATGTAAATCACAGAACAAGTAAAATCACAGAGTGGTTTGGGTTGGAAGGGACCTTAAAGATGATCTCGTTCCAATTCCCTGCCATGGGCAGGGGCATGTCCCCCTAGACGAGGACCAAACTACCATCTCATTTGAGCCTTAAAGCTGCACTATAATAGTTCATTTCTTCCACACACTGCCCATCCACACTGTAACCTGAGTCATGGTAGTGCTGCTAAAAGTAGCAATTCATGAACATGGCATAACATGAATGAAGCCAGACCTGTAATTCACTGACATTATCTGATTACATTCCAGCTCTGAACTGAAAATATCACAGTGTGCAGACAAAACAACACTCCTGGAACTAAACCTGCAGGTTGGCAGCGCTTCCACTCAGCACGTCCAGCTCCCCCCTGCCAGGATTTGCAGTACCCAGGAACACAGAGGGTGTGGAACCCAAATACTTCGATAAGGGGCTCAAATACCTTTGCTAAGATACTATTTAAATTTCATCCTTTCTGGTGATATTGTGCCAAACTAGAGACAAATTTGTTGACACTGTTTCACATGGATATAAAAAATAGCCACAAATGAGACTGGGGTATAGTGTGACAATAAGAGAGGCAGCCCTGGAAACACTATAGAGAACTTAAGAACATAAATGCTCTCTACACTTCCAGAACTATCTTTTCATAGATGGGCCAGTGAAGGTCCCTGTTGACCAACAGCAGCTCATTACTCATTACTGTCTTGCTGGCAGACGCATCCTTTTATAGGGAAGAGGGTAAACTGGGAATTCAACATTTTTATAAAGTCCTTAGAGTGTCTGTAAGAGCCACAGAGCACTTCATGGTATCTGTTTTTCACCAATAACCTCCATATTTACTGTGAAGTAAACATAATTTGTATGTAGAGAGATTGATGCATTTTACACAGAATTAAATAAAACAGCAAACACTCACTCTGGAGTGATAAATTCTTACCTGATTGGGTATTCTTAAAGGTGGCCTTGGACCTCCAGGGTACCGAGGGGACATGAAAGGCTGTGGAAAAAAAAGAAATACTGCTAAATAATTCCACTTAGCTTGTAAATACCACACTGGGTCATTGTCACACTCACAGCTGGAGCATCCAGCCTAAATAGAGTATTTAGGATATTGTCCCACAATGTTTAGCGGAATTTAATAAATTTTAAAATTCTTAGCCAATACTTCTATCACGGTATATTGCTTAAAACTTTGTTACAGCAGTTGTGAGAATATAAATAACTTAATGCATTACAAAGAAGAATAATAGACCATTCAGATCATATAATCAGACATCTATACTGGTGAAGGGGGGAAGATGGGAACCCTGGAATAGAAAAGTGTTCTTGGGAGAATCCAGAGGTAAAGAACAGCATAATAATTCAGTAATATTTTTCATGCATTTTTTCATAATAAGCTACAAAATTTAACCTGTGAAGACATAGACTCCAAGTTTTTGTTGTAAATATTTAGAATTGTGGTGGTTTCATCAGCCATATAAATTCAGTGCTGCACTCCTCCTATCCCTCCATGCTCACACTCCTCTCTCAAACTCAAATTTATACCCAAATCTGCTGTACCATCCCATGAGGTTCTAAAGCCTCGTGGCTACTCCTGAACTCCCTCACAGCCCATGATAAACAAACAGTACTGCCAGCAAACATATCTAACATCTCTGCTTATTCCACCTCAAAGTGTGACAATAATCCAGAAATCTACAAAGATTAGTGGCAAATGTGAAATCTGCAGGAGAAAGGCAAAAACCTCTGACTGAACAGATGATGAAGAGGATGGCTTTGGCAGGCAGGGTACCTGTAACTCCAGGCGAAAATATGGAGCTAAAAGTTATTTAACTGTGAGAGCACACACTCATAAAGTCCAGCAATAGTTAAGCACAGAAAATACCATCACTTCACCAATAATTACTGCCGAAATTTTTCCTATGATCTTGCACAAATAAATGAAACCTTTTACATCCTGGAATCAGATGAAAGCTGAAATAGTGTAAACTACATAAACACACACATAAAGTAAGTAGGAGAAAGCAATTTGAAGTACAGAGGGTTTACAAACTGGAGAAGAAAGTTCAATAACAATTGTGAGAAGCTAATAAAAAGGCATTTGATGTGCTGTAGAAGAGGGAGACTTCTTTGGGCACCTTCTGATGGGGAGAATCTCTGATAAGAAAAAAAGAATGAGAAAAGGACTGTGCATGTGGCCAGGCCCTTGTAAAACAGTAAAAGTGTGAGGAAATCAGAATTTCAACAATTTCCACAAAGGTCAACCAAGCACAGCCACTCCAGTGAGAACCTTGGGTTTGGACTGCCTCATCCAGCAACAAAACTCATCTTTACTTACAGCTCATAAAGGGGAAATCAGAAGTGTCTCTCAACTCTCCTAAAATGTAGAGTAGAACCACGCTATGAGTATTATGTAATAGTGTGTGATTTGCAAAAAATCTGATCCTTCCAAGCTTACATGAAGGTTTATATACTGCAAATGTTCATTTATCTGTATATTCCTCTTAAACATGCTTGTGGAATGTTTAAACCTTCTTCTGATCTTTAAACAAGAGAATCCAGGTGTAATTGCCATCAAGACTAATAGATTTCGAATAGTTCCTATGGTTTGGCTTACCCCAAAAATTTTACTGCTAAGAACTTAAATATTCTTATTTTTGTCATTTGTACTAAACTTCTTCCTCTCCACCACCAATGTCGTGATTGTCCACAAAAAGATTCTACCAAGATGTCTCAAGACAACAAAGAAATTCTGTCCAACATTTTAAAGAAAATATGTTAAAGCTTTTCCCTACAGTGGGAGCATTTTTTAAAGTCTCCAAGATCACATTATTAAGCACCAGGATTCTGGAAGACACGAAGCAGCAGAAAGTTTGTGACACATGTTTTTTCACTCCATCCTTTGTCACTGATAAGAGCACCTGACATTTAGTCTCTGAATTAGTTTTACTAAGTTTTCTACTAATTCTTTGTTAGGAGTTAGCGACATTACCATGGTCTAGGGAGGCTTCACATTTCTTATGGCAGGAATGCCTCTCTCATCGACTTCTTGGGAACTTTGTCTTCCCCTTCTCTTGCAGCACAAACACCCCAAAACTCAGTGGATCCAAAATCCTGGTACTAAACCAAAACCAGTGGCCACAGACTTTGAATTGGTCTCTCAGCACTTGTTTCTGATGATAAAAATTAATTCTGTGCACGCTGAAGACTTGGACCCAAACACAAAACACCTGTGACACAAACACAAAACATCAACCATTCCCCCAAAAACCCTCTAAACCAAAACCAACCAACCAACCAAACAAAAAAAACCCAAAAATAACCTAAACCAAACTGAAAAATAGGAAAAAAGCCCAAACCAAATACCAAACAAACCCCAAACAAGGGAAAAAACAAAAATAATATGAATAAAACAAAATATCTAAGATATGCCATATCTAAGTCATGTATGAGATGGAGATGCCACCAACACACCTACTGACACCAGCATATCATAATTCTTGCCTGCAGGTATGGAATTCAGTAATTTGGCACCACAAAAAGTATCTTGAAGTCAGTCATCAGGCAACTAAGACCAAAGAAAGCAGGAGCTTCTACTTAACTGGGTGAAAATGAGGTCAGAAAGGAAAAACCTTTTGTGTAATTGCCACAGAATATTTGCATTTATCAACCTTGAGTGAAAAAAAGAAAAACCCAAAAACCTAAAAGGAGAAAATAATTAGAATACTAAAAAAATACTAAAATGAGACTACACAAAATAAAATCAAGATGTGAAATGTTAACTTCAATAATCTCTTTGCTCTTATTTACAGCATCCTGTAATGTTGAATTGTTTAAAATATTTTAAAAGAGGACAAATTCAAGAACATAAATGATGTGCCAGAAGCTGTAGCACTTTTTTGTTATCTTTCTGATAAAGAACAATTGACTGTGTACAGGGACAGTAAAGGGTATCTCATATCTGTGTATTTAATGCAATTTTGTGAGTTGTGTGTGCATACACAATGTGAAAGTCTTGTAAAATTCTATTTTTCTTAGTCCACTACACAAGAGAATGAAGAGAAATCAATTTTCTGAGTATGGAAGTCTTTGAAGAATCAATGTTGCAGCACGGTGGTCTCACTGCCCATATGTGGGTGGCAGAAAATGTGATTTCACAAAAAAATATCCAGCAGGAAGCTGATGTCATAAAGGCACAGAAGCTGGGATGTTTCTCTGCCACTTGTGCAATTCTTACTCTCTTTTAGTTGTTCAGGCAGCTATAAAATATGGCGTGGTTTAGTTTTATCTTTACCTAATAGTGGTGGAACAAAGGATTTAAAAGATGATGTTCTACTAAGCATAGCAGATTTCAATAAATCTATTTTTATTTTTAATTTACTTCCCTTCCAGAAGCTGGAATTACAATTTACTTCCTTCCAGACATGGGTGAGGGTTTTTTGCATTGACATCTTTATCTTTTTTTTTCCCTCATGCCATTACCTTTATCAATCATATTTTGACTCAGGTAAACTTGCAAAATTTACAATAATCCATGGCTAAATAAATAATCTGAAATATTTTAATTCCTATTGAGACTGAATTGACTGTAAATATATTTTTTAATTTTTTTCAACCTGCATTATCAAATTGAGATCAACTTTCTCAAATTACATGTTTCAACACAAACCCTGAGAGATGGATGATGCTTTTAAAATGAAAAACATCTCTCAGGGGAACAACACACACAAATTAAAAAGCACAGGGTGAGACAGAGCTTTAGCACTTGGTATGAAATGGTATTAATTGGTTTGTGTAATTCAGTCACCGCCACCAGCACAAACACTAAACACTACTTATCACTAGACGCTGAAAACGTAACACAAGCTTCGTTTGCACACAATACAACAAATAAGTTTAAATTAATTGTGCAGCTACTTGAAGAGCAGATATTGGAAGAGGGTTGAAGCTGCCAGAGACAGGGTTATATCCCATATGGGAATTCTGAAAATGACTCAATCTCTTTCTTTTTAAAATTAAAGTTCTAAATTTTAACAAGTGAAACAAGTAAAAAATCTTTGTTCTCCTCTCCCTGTTAAAAAATGAATTGCCAAGTTACATGTTCTATCTGTGAAAATACAATTAACCTTCATCTTTTTTGTTTTCAAATTCTATTCCCAGTTAAAAGGTTTGGTATTACATTATTATTATTATTATTATTATTATTATTATTATCATCATCATCATTATTATCATTATCATTATTATTATCATTATTATTATCATTATTATTATTATTATTTCTCCTCCTCCTCCTCTTTTCCATCCAAATGGTAAAAAATAAGACTGCTGGATATTTTTATTTCATTTTCTTATTAGGGTAGGCAACATTGTGATACAACTCCTTAAGACTCCTATATTTTAGAAAATGCTTTAGAGGTGCTTTACAACTACTACTTCCATTCTGAAATGGAAATTTAAACCCCTCTCAAAGGAATGAGGGTTTGAACTCCTGAAAAGGACCAGCAGAGAACCACAAAATAAGTGTGAGTTGAATTTATTCAAGTTACCTTACAATTCATGTACTTTTCATTTATTTAGTTTTCACTATGATTTTTTTCTTTTGTGAAATCTCCATCAGCAGGAACAGTCACCACAGTTTTAAAGACACTCTTCATTAACACATTTTTAATTCTAACCGGGACTAAACTCAATTAGCTCCCAAAACTACACATTCTGAGATCAGATCAGTGCAAACATGTAACTTACCCTCTGTGAGGCAGGGACAGGTCATCACCAATTCTGAACTAAAAGTTGTTTTCCTATTCAACTGCATTTTACTGTTAATTATCCTGCTAATTACAGTACCTTCTTGTCCTGCTCTGCTCTCCCAGTGGCAACCACAGTGTTAGAGGGCTTTGGCTTGTATTTTACTGAAGTATTTCAGCAGTGAAATTTGGGTTATATACTACATATCTTGCAATCTACCGGTGCAAACCAAACTAGCTGGTTTTACTT